CAAAGAAATGAATACCTTCCAAGGCCATAATGTAGTTATAGCAGTCTCCGACATTGAGAAGAAGGCAGACAGACCCAGAAGCGCTGTCAAAACCAAACCTTGTTCCTTAAACACCTTAAGAAGCATAGATACCTTAGGCCAAGCACTCCTCAACAACAATATACACTGCCCAATCACCCCATAACCAGCATTAACCACTCCCTCTACAGCAAACACTCGTTTACATCCAAACAGCAATACACCACAAACCATTGCCACCAAAATTCCCCTTTTCACCAAAACCCAATTGTGATAATTTCCCACAGCTTCATTTTCTTCACTTAACAACCCCAAACGTGCTCGACTTCCAAAAATACCAGTTTTTGGCAATGCAAAGGCTTTGAAAACGTGGGGATTGGGAAAGCTGGAGATAACAGGAGCTGGATAGTGATTACTTTTGGATAAAAACTTAGATGGGTACTTCAAATTTCGATTAAAAAGCATGAAAGATGAGGACTTTGTTGAAGAAATGAAAGTGGGTTGGCTGAGAATTGAGGATTCAAGTGCCATTTCCATCAATAAGAATAAGTCAAGAATCTACAAAAAGAAGGAAACCAAAACGATCGAAATTTAATTAAACGAAGAAAAGACAAAGAGACGTTTCAGGGTTTATTGGGATGAAGAGAATTCCCATGGAAAGGTGGTCTCTTCATTACTCCAAGAGAGGGCCTTTGGGAGAAGCTTGTGTTTGGTGAAGGAAAGATTTTGCTTGCCGCAAGTGGGCAGCGAGTGAAGCAGAATTGACAAAACTTGCCCCTGTAGTTTTTAAAATTACAATTCTCCCCCTAAATAAATCGGTCTCCGACTGTGTACTAAAGAAAAATTTTTGGAAGAAAATATGACTTGAATTTGGCATTGGAAAAGCTCCAATTCTCCAAAATGAATTGAATTTGAAAAAAAGCATGACTTTTAATATGAATAATTGAAATTATTGAACAGTTCTGCTTAATGGAAAATGGCCAGTCAATGTGGTGTAAGTGCCAAGCAATGGTAATGTTGCTTTAACATAGTTCAAGGGTTAGCCATGTTGGCAACTGGATTTGATAAAGGAATTTGATAAAGCCATGCTGCTTTTTTTTCAACTGTTTGTATAATTTTTGGATGGTTCAAACACCCAGAAATTACTAAGGAAATATCAGTTCATTTCTAAATAAAAAAAGAGTGTACTACTAAGAAAACCAAAATCTTTGATCAGACAAAGCAGAGAAAATTTTGCATTTTGATAAAGGAGTCCAGAAGATTTTATCAACCTTGAATGGTTTTACTATGCATAGTTTCAGGAGATGATTATAAGAAGGGTTCCACTGATTTGTTTTGGCTATTGGATAATGTCAAGCCACAAATTATGCTTGCCAGTGGTTCTATGTGAAAAGCTTCTAATGCTCCAGCTTTAATCATAGGACCATTTTCAATGTTGCCCTTCCTAGTTAGAGCCTTCAAAGGCCAAAACTATTTAAGTTCTAAAGGAAGATAAGACAAGATTTATCTTTTTCTGTTTTCCATACCAAGCAAGATTTATCAGCAAAATTTTCATTATAGTCCTACTAGTTCTTGATATAATCTTCATCCCTGCATCTTATCTTAACATCCTACTTATTATCTTGCTGTAAACGATACCTCTTGGCCTGTGAAACAATGCTTGAACAGTTTCTTTAATAGGCCCAAGTGATCCTTGGGGAGCTTTTTTTTTTCCTTTATTTTTTTAAATTTTTCAAGAGAGACAAACAAGTTATAACAGGTAGGAAAAAAAAAGCAAATGGAGTTCCCGTATCAAGGCAAAGCTGCAACTATGCAACATGTTAGCCAGTTACAATGTTGTATATCTTTCTCTTTGGCTAGCCTAGTATATCCAAAAACACTTGTTAAGTAAAAGAAGGGTGATATTGATACAATAAAGACAAAGACCAGAATCATTGTCATGGCAATTGGAAGAGATCGTAATCATTGGCCTGAAGCTGAAGTGTTTTACCCGGAAAGGTTTCTGAACAGTTCAATTGATTTCATGTGGACAAGTTTTGAGTTTATCCCATTCCAGAATAGTTCGATTGATTTCATGGGGACAAGTGGAACAAATTTACCTTAATCAAGGGACATCTTGAGCAACTTATACAAAATTAACCTAAAGCTACAGGGTTGCTTCTTCACAGCTTGACTTCCACATCCGCTCCAGAAGGAAGGTGAAGCTGCATCAAAGAATCAATTATTTGTGCAGTTGGGTAAAGAATATCTATAAGGCAAAGAATATCTATAAGGCCCTGGTGTGTCCGGATCTCAAAGTGGAACCGTGCATCCTTGTGTACATGTGGGGACTCAAGAACACAATAGATCCTCTTCTTGGTTGGCAACGGCACATGACCATGGTCTTGGCATTGGTAGTCCTTGCAGCATCTATTATCTGCTTGCAAGGGTCCTCAAACAGGAGGACCCAGTATGACCTAAGTTTAATTCTAATCTTCTGGTTAGGTGCTTCCTGTGAAAAGAAGCGTGAATAAGAATTTCCAATGCAAACACCAGAAAACAAGATAAAAATATAAACTATTTAGACAAAATGGGATTATCTAAAGTGGTTCAACTTCATCGTTGGGCTTCCAGTGATTTCTAGTCACTTGGATTTCTTATCAGGCCATTTGGAATCTCCCTTGTTAAACCACATGGCTAACAGCGAGTTCCCTGTAAATTACAGTTAATTATTCTCCCAAAGAAGCATTTCAGGAGCTTGACATGCAACAGAACATAATTATTTCCCAGAAGGATAGTATTTCAAGGTAAAAGAGGCAACCACGGCCCCCTCCATAATTCAGTCCTTCTCATAGTATTTGACTATGAAAAAGTTTCTAAGCAGAACTTCCGAGGACCAGCTAGATGCTAATCAGGCCAAGATTAACTCATATATAATCAGTAGCACACATGACTATCACCGTGTCCAAAGAGAGGAAGCCCATAAAACCTATTGTTTAAATTTTGTAAAGTTTTACAAGATTCTGTTGGCTAATGTGGTCGTTCTGTGAGGCAATAACAAAAGCCAGGAAAATAGTTAATTATAATTTGATATATGCAAATATTTCTACAACAAAACACTGAAATATGTAAAGAAGACACCTATCATCCAACTCTCATAGGGCCATAGTAAGCTACAAAATGTTTGTATTTCATCCATAGAATCATATCAGAAGATAGGCAATGTACTTATTTCTATCAATGGTTTTGATAAATATTCCCTATGCCTCCAGGGGAGTATTCAGGAGAGCAAGTATAGTATCCTCAAACAAGGATGTCATACCAGTAGTCCAGTACAGATGGGAAATCCATTATTACAAATAATATCTTCTATTCTGTTAATTTTGAGGACATAAGCTACTCACTATGGTGTCCACAAAACGCTAAACAACAAGGTTAACTCCAGAATTTAAACTTCAGTGCCAAATATAATATCACAGTTTTAAACAACTTTCACAAACTCAAAAAAAATAATAATAATAATAAATAAATAAAGCTTGAAAGATAAATTGTCAGTTTCTGCACTAACAGATGAAGAACTGGGCACCTCAGAACCTCCAACCCGCAAGACACAAAATCAAAATTAAAAAAAGGAGGAATTTAATGTCAAACTAAGCTCACTTTTTGCTGTCATGGGCTCCAAATTTGACTAACAGTAATAAAAGAGGTTCATATGAACAGAAAGGAAATGGCAAAGGTTGAATTTTTTTCTCACATTTCTTAGCAAAAGAACAAAGAATTATCCAAATGCACTTTAAAAAAAATCAACCCGTTAAACTATATTTTTCAATCCCCATGGTTTCTTAGCAATCAAAAGCTTAAAACAAAATTGTAAAGTTCTTAACATTTCCGAAAAGGAGCAAAAAAAAGAGAAACTTTCCAACCCGGGGTGTTTCTTCGAAAGCTTCAGGAGCAGCAAAAAGCTTGGTGGGTGATTGTAAGAGTCTTGAGGGTATTGTTACTAAGCTTCAAAGGGTTGAAAGAGAGTGGTGAAGGATGAGATGAGATAGAAAACTGAACATTGGTTCGGATGAAGGAGAACTTAGGATTGTTATAAAAGGTATTACAGTGGAAGAGATTGATGATATCGCCATTGCAAGTTTTAACTTGTTTTGTTTGAAGTGTTGTTCTCTGTTTCTGGATTTGGGTAAGACGAGCCGCTCCTTTTGTCAATTCCAGTTTAACAGCCAGTGTTATCCAAAAGTAATACTCAATTTTTGATAAGAGGTTTTCCTAGCTGGGCGTAATCGGAAGCCCCAAAACAGCTCTAATTTAAATGGGTTTGGTTGGTTCTGGTATTTGGTTTTGGCTTTGATTATGAGTACTTCATTGATGATCACCTGCATGAATCGAAATTACTCATTTCAATGGAGGCTATGCTGATGACCCATCATTGTTTCATTTGTTTACTTGTACAAAAGTCAAGAGGCATGTTGTTGGTATGTGTGAGGTAGTAATTTGTTGTTTGATAATTGAAAGAATTGGAGTCAAAATTTCTTAGTCTATTTGATTCTGATTCATGCAAACGAACCTTAAGAGGTAACGTCCAATAAATTTGGAGTTCCTTTGCTTATACCATGGCATTGTCACATCCTCTGCAGTGAGAGACCTCCTAATGGCTCACAAAATGAACCCTTAGACAATCTGATTGTAAAAAACTGCTCATAAAAAGAGGCTGGTTTGGTATATAATCACATTGAAAATTAAGGAGAGTTTTCTTTTTCAGTTTTCAGCTAAACGAAGCATAACTGCTGTTTTGCTTCACAATTTCTTTTAACTACACGTCAAGAAAACCACCTTCTCCATGTTCATAAAGCTGCCAATTAGCACATTTTAAAGGCTCTTTTAACTAATTTTTTTGCCATGCACAAAACTCTCATGAACTTCCGTCTTCTTTTAAGAATTGGGTTCTTCAATCCTTCACAGCTTTAATATCTTCACCCTCTCTTTGCACTTGTTCTATTATGCTTAAACTTCCTCTTAATTCAATTCCAAATTACTCTAATTCGCACACCACTTTGCGCTCCTTATATTTATTATTCTCAGCTCTTTCACACCCTTTCCATTTCAAACAAGTAACTCCTAAAATGCCAACGACATTATAAACTCTACACAGTGAAGAAGAAAACATGAATTTTTATCAGTTTGTGGGGGTTTTTTTTGCCAGGGCTTTGACTTGATCTAAGCTATGGACTACAGCTGCGCTTTGGTTATGGTTGTGGCTGCTTTTCTATGTGGTTTTCCAGTCGGTTTATGTGAGACTGATGTTGTGTATGGGAAGAATTTTATCGGTTGGGATGACATGAAAGTGGATGAACATAAAACAAGGTTGAGTACTTCAACAGTTGATTATAATCAAAGCCGAGTTATTATAGTTGATAAGAATGGTGGAGGAGATTCTGTCACAGTTCAAGGAGCAATAGATATGGTTCCAGAAAACAATAAACAAAGAGTGAAGATTTATATTCTTCCAGGAATTTACAGGTTTATACATACTTCACAACTACTTATTGTATAATTTTTTTTTTTTTTTGTTACTTGTTGCTGTCTGGATTTGAACCTTAATCGCTGAAACTAAGAGTTCAAACACTCAAGGGCACGCGACTGTTGGCCAATTTTGAAACATTAGTAATTTGTTTTTGCATGTCACTTGGACATTGGAATCAGTTAAAATTTATAGTTATTCACTTTTCATGCTATATTTTTGGGTGAGTGGGAAGCTAACAGTAGAAACGTGGGTACTGGACGTGCAGAGTTATATAGGATTTATCGGTTATGAAGAACAATATTTTATTTTTGTAGTGATGCAGGAATCTGTTCAATTGATAGATGAGAATGGATAGTTGATAAACTTCCATCATGCTTTAATTTGATATATAATCCTGGAATCTAGTTAATTTTTTTGTCATGCAGGGAGAAAGTAATTATCCCAAGTTTCAAGCCATATATATCATTCATTGGGAACGAAAGTCAAATGTCCAACACCATAATATCTTGGAAAAACAAAGCTTCTGATAGAGATAGCAATGGAGGTAGCCTGGGAACTTACAAATCAGCATCTGTAACCATAGAATCTGATTATTTCTGTGCAACTGAGGTCACCTTTGAGGTAATAATCACCTCCTTGTTTCATTCTCCAAAACTAATGGAAAAGCTAGTTTCAGCATTTTAAACTATGATAATTGAGTTTATGATTTGCTGCAGAATACAGTAATTACATCTTCTGGAGAATCTGGAAGGCAAGCTGTGGCCCTTAGGATTTCTGGTGACAAGGCAATGTTCTACAAGGTCAAGGTTGTGGGGGCACAGGACACACTCTTGGATGAAACTGGATCACATTACTTCTACCAGTGCCACATTCAAGGTAGTGTGGACTTCATCTTCGGTAAATCAAGATCACTGTATCGGGTAATTACCTACAACAGAATTGTGAAATTTCCCTTGAGATTGCCAGATTTCCTTCATAATTATGACACTCAGACTAGATTCTTTGAAACAGGATTGTCTGATTCAGTCCACTGCTAAAAAGTGTGGAGCAATTGCAGCTCACCACAGGGATTCACCAGATGATAATACAGGGTTTTCATTTGTGAACTGCACAATCAATGGAACTGGTAAAATTTACTTGGGTAGAGCTTGGGGAAACTATTCAAGAACCATCTATTCTAACTGTTACCTTGACAATGTCGTAACTCCTGCTGGATGGAGTGACTGGAACGACCCTTTCAGGCAAAAGTACGATCTCCATTCCTGGAAAAAACTTTGATTAATTGCTTATCTAAGTTGAATGCAGAAATCTTCAATTTTTGCATATGCAGGACTGCAGTTTTTGGGGAATTCCAGTGCTGGGGAGCAGGAGCAGATACAAGCGGACGGGTGCCATGGTCAAAGAAACTTAGCTACCAAGAAGCAAAACCTTTTCTGGACATGAAATTTATTGACGGAGAACAATGGCTGAGACTATGATTCTTCACTCATCTTCATTCTTTAGGCGAGGCCTTCTCTCCCATACCTAACCAAAATTTTTACATTTTTCCCAGTCCTTTAAAGTCAAACAATCTTAATAGTATATTCTTTGAAATGTATATGTAGCACATTACAATAGTGTTTACCAGTAAGCCAGAATACGAGGTCGAGAAAATATTATAATTTTGATTATAACAGAATACATATTTGGGGTTACAAGACAAAAGCAAAGCCCATGACCAAGAAACCGAGGAAGAACAGACTATTTTAGAGGAGCTCCCTAACCTAAGATCTTCAAATGCAAATCCTATTTCTGATACAAACAATTATCATAACAGAAACCACAAAAACTAACATCGTTACTGTACACTGACCAACGCCACCAAGTCAAAACACAAAAACATAATGATTTTGAGATATGCCTGCATCACTATTTACAGAAGGTCTTAACTGACTGAAGCCATGTTAGTTAACACAAAACTTTAGTACCATCATCCCCATTACAAAAGAATCGGTTGCACCAGAAACATTCTAAGCTTTCACTCTCATGAATTCCATAGTTTTACAGTTCTGCTCCGTGTCATTTTCCATCTCTAACTCACTCTCGTTATCATCACTGCCGATGTTAGTGTTGATTTCATAATTGCCATCCATGCCATTTAGTTTATCGTGAATGATGTTGGCATCATCAGCATTTCCATTATCACCATTTTCCGATGGTGGAGGCTTCTTACTATCACTATCATCCCCATCTTTTTCATGTTTTGGGGATTGAAGCTCCTTACCATCAGTGTCTTCTAGGAGGTTATCAGAACAGTCCTGAATAGCTAACTCAGGTTTTTCCCCTTCAACAACATTGGGTATCATTTTGGCAGCAACAACTTCAACTGGCATTGAGCCACCATCAACCTTGGCATCCATGACAACAGTAGAGGAAACAGAAACTTTCGTTTCCATGTCAGGGCTAATGGCAGCATATATCACAGAGAGTATACTGGGTCTGGCCTCAATATCAATCCAGTGGTCCCCACCCCAATCTCTGGAAATTCTTAGAACTTTTTTGTGTATGTTCAGGAATAAATTTTCACCTAACACAATAAGAACAATTATTATTTGAAGTGGGAAAAGAGAAAGCATCAATTGGATCACAATAAACAAGAAGGAGCTGCAAAATAAACATATCAAAATAAATACCAGGAAAGTATACTTGCAAATTATCATCGCCACTACTGTTGACTCCAGTTATAACCCCTTCCCACCAGCCATCACTCCACCATGCATCAACAGCTGCCCCAACCTTGAGAGCAAGTTCTGCTTGAGAGCTTGGAGGAGCAGGTCGTACTGTTAGGCGGCCTGAGTATCTCATGCCAAATTTGTCAGGCATAGCAAGCTTGGAAATTGGGATCCATTCCTACACAGCCAAGAATGCATCAGCTTTCATTTCAAAGAGAAGAACAAACACATTTATGTGAATAATATGAGACATTAAAATTGAACCCAGTTTAAAAGCTAGCATAACTAAACTAGAGATTCAGTTTTGCACCTCTGCAAAGTGACAAAACATTTCAAACCATGAACTGGAAATGCCACTGTTTGTTATGAACATCCAGTGGAAATTTGATCTTTAAATACCATACTACTATATGGAGATCAACTTCTTGGGAAGATATACCAATATAAGTTTTTAAAATGCCAAAAACATACCTCAAGATTACCATATCCATCTTCATCCTGCACATCATCATATTGAACCTTCATCTGTTTTCTTGATACTTGCAAGACTGTGCATCTGAACCAGCAGCCTCGGATGCCACTATCTTGGCACAGCAACTCTATCTTTTCATCAACCTTGAAAACTGAGCCATACCAATGTTGACTCTCAGTATGCTTGAGGGAAAGCAATCTCTTTTCAGACAAAGCATATTTGATTTTCTTGCATGAAGTTTCACAAGTCATCAAGTAGTTAGCAGAAATCCTGTTTCCTGATTGATCTGTCACAAACCTTTGATTACTTCTGTTAGTTCTGGTCCTCTTATTTCCCAACGTAATATTTTCACTGGGGCTTAGTTTTTCCTCCTCTTCTTCATTTAGGCCATGGCTCATGGAGTCAGGCTCTGAGAACAGACTGGAATTCAAACATGAGAGAATTGGTTGATCAAAATAGCCACGTAATTTAGTCAACTCGAATGGCTTCACTTTATTACTTCTGAACTGCCTAGTACATACATGCACTCTAACTAATATCGCATCAGGAAAAACAGCTGAGCATTTCTCAAAGTGCTCACGAGTTAAGACACTCGCAAGACCATCAATACACTCTGCACTAATGACCTGTGAATAAGGAGTGATGAAAACTTCTTTTGGGTGAGGATTCCTTACAAGAACGACACCCTTGACTTCCTTAGTATGGTGAAACCACCTCACTTTGACCTTCTTCATCCCTCGCTTGTCTTCGTACATGTCCTCCAAGTAAGCAAGATAGTGATTCTCTCCTCTAGCCATAACAAAGACAAAGGATTGAACCTAAGCATCAGGAAAAATGTCAGTGGACTTCACAATCAAAGAAAGAACAAATAATAAAGTTGCATCCAAATGCATGATACCTGGTCCCAAAGAGAAATGATATTGCTAAACCCATCAAGGCCCAAAGGTTCATGCCTCCTTGTATCAGGATAAGAATGAGAAACATAGATGCAAACTCCATGCCAACATATCACATAATTATGGCCTCATGCAACAAACTATTTAGAAACACTTCATGAATTATAGCAATTTGTTTCAATTGCACAGTTTACTTTTTCTCATTCTACCAATTAAATGTATGATATCTGACCAAGTTTCGACATGTAACTACAGTTTAGGCAAGTAGATCTATGCATTTCATTTCATTAATAAAAGTCCAGCATACCAATCCATGCCATCTTTCTTTTTCTTTACATGTTGATGCTTACCGCTATTGTGGTGCCATTGCGGCAAAATGCTGGGAAATGTTTAAGCTGTTTACTACATGTCCATGCAGTGCCTGACCACACAATATCTGAACTTTTTCCATTCAAATTTCTCGAAAGATGGCCCTTTAATATAGGAGTCAGTGTCAGACAGAACCAAAGAAAGAATAAGGAACTCAACTAATAGAAAATCAAGATGATATACCATATCATCCAGTCCTTGGGCCTTCTGAGCATCAATCTCAATCATTGCACAACTAGGGGAACTTAAAGCCAGTAGCACTTCATGTTTCAGTGATTCTGTCATTGAAGATGTAATAAAAACTGTAAATTTCAGAGACATTCAGCTTAGGGTTTCCTTTCCAAGGAAATATGAATTCCAAAGATCAATGACTGCTAGTTTTTTGCTTCAACCATAAATGGTAAGAACAACCAGACCATTCAACAATAATTGATAAGAACATTTCTTGTTTTTAATCCATCTAAAATAGTACTACAAGTGACTCATAAGGATTATAATTTTTGGGAAAAAATGGAAGAACAATTGAGATCAAGCTACAAGTGTGTGATGGGCAGTAAAGAAAACTCATACAAAACCTCAAATTCATCATGAAACTCTTGCATAAAGGATTCTATTGTGATTTATAAGTATATCATGACTGATGGATTCTATTGTGATTTACTATCTTTTGATGCCAAGAAAGCAAAAGAATTAAAAGATCAAAAGGTGCAATACATACTAGATTGATCTCCCTGCAGATGCTGCTTTGAGAGCATAGATGTAAGCCAATCTACAACCTCTCTTCTTGACCTCCATTTGAAACCAGCATGAATTGAATGCTCAGCAGCATATACCCTCACAAACTCCTCAGCAACAACATAAAACATGTGCCTAACACTCCTCTCAGTACCAACAACTGCACAGATGGATTCCCCAGCGGAATCCTTCAAGAAATAGTGAACCACACGGTTACCACGCTCCTGTGAAACAAATTCCTCCTTCCACTCGACGAAACAACGACTATTTCCAGACATTTTGTTATAAAGCACCAAGAGGAGATTCACAATACAAGTGTCTGCTTGACTACCTATTCACATAGCTAAAGATGCCCAATAAAACTGGCAAAAGATTCTAACACTGGCAAATTAGCTGCCAAAAAGACAACAACCATACAATCATCCAGAAAATAGCTTGAATATGGCACCAAGTTATTACTTTAAAAATGATCCCTCTACCCAAACTGACTAAAATTTACAGAAAACTAAATGTTTGACTATCTAAAAGATCAGACACTACAACTACCTAACAATAGATTCCTCAAATATGCTACAAATGGTTGAACAGAAAATACCCAGCTCACTTGGCCACCTTCAAAATGAACAAAAGAGAAGCATTTTGCACTCAATCAAAGCTACAATTAACTGATACTAACCCCCCAAAGATGCCACCATGAATCTCCAGCTGAATTTTCAAAGAATTCTACCAAACCAGAGAAGGGAATTAGAAAAAACGGACCAGAACTCAGTAAAAGCTGAGCCTTGAAGATCTTCAAGTAGATCAGAGATAAACCTGAGAAAACTGACGTCCAAGCTTGAAAGAGCCAACAGGGACCAAGATACGGCTTTGACTGACTGAAGTAAGAGAATCATCAAGAAAGGAAAATGGGCACTTTTCTTTAGGCCTAAAGTTACAATATTTAGCATCAAAACAGGATATTTTCTGGGAAAATTCAGGTTTTTCAAGGTTCAAGAAAGAGATGAAAGCTGAAGATTTTGTCTTTGTTTTGATGTGTGGAACAAGAGAGAGTGGAAGAAGATAGGGGTGACAAAAGATTATGAGGTAAGAGGTGAAAAGAGAGAGTCAAAGAAGGACATTTTGATGGGTAGTATGGAAGTTGCAGAAATTTGGCATGCAGCTGCTGATGATGAGACAAAAGAAACCAGAAATGGTATGAGAAGAAAAGTGAAAATAAAAACAAAATGAAAATGAAAAATAATATTTTGTAGCTTTACATATTGGGGCTGAGACCATCACTCATTTGGATAGGCCTTTAGATCCATGGGAGCCATTAAAACAGTTAGGCTGCAGTGGGGTTTTCCCATTTTCTTTGTTTTCTTTTCATGTTCTTTGTTTCCAAAAGGTTCAGCTTCAGCTTAATTCCCATTCATGGCTTTTAAAACATCAATTATCATGATTTTCAAAAATGAACTTAAGAATTAATGACTGAATATTCCATAAATATAACTGGTAATAATTGATGTTAGCTACGAACATGATGGTAGTTTGGCTATTTTTGTTTAAATGATATACAAAGGAATGAAAGTTAGCCTTGAAAGGGTCAAATGCTGTATTCAAAGTCAAATTCAAATTATCTGTGGGTGTGAATAAGTAATTGCAATGACTTTCCATTTCACATATTTTTCTTTGTTTGGTTCTTCAAAGCCAAAAAAGCAAATGATATCTGCGTGCATTTTCAAAGATCCCAATCAGAAAGCATCTTATTTTTTTAGTTCTTTCTCATTCCAATGGTAATGAATTCTCTTGTAGCTGCTATTCCAAGCTTCTTTATTTTATTTTCCCACTCAACCATTAACAAATATATAAAACTAATGTCAAAGGGTGGGGTGTTTTATAATTCAAGCAAATGTTTTCCTTTCCCAATGGATGCATTTGTTCATCAGCATTTTATCTGTTCAAACCCTTCAACTGTTTATCAAAGGTAAAAGATAAAGCTTTTCTTTTTTCAATCTTTATTTTTTGTTCATTGATGAATTGAATAAAATTACATACAGAAGAAAAGAGAAGAGCCATGAAGTATATAGAAGATTTAACAATTTAAGAAATTCCTTGTGACATGTGTAGTTAGAGCTGGTATTTACATTAGAAAGATACCAAAAAGAGCATCATTTGGCCTCAAAATGCTACACTAGTCAAATTACAATTAAAGATGATAATGGATCGGTTCGAGACAAATTTTATTTGTTTCAAATCTAATTCAGTTTTATAATTTTAATACTCAAAATCAATTTAAACTAATATTAAAATATTATTTTTTATATCTAAATTTAATCTGATCTGTATATGTTTAAATTTATAACTAATTCGATTCGACTCAAAATTAATAAAATATTAATTTTTTAATATTAATTTTTAAATATAAATATAAAATTAAATACATATAAATATATATAATTAAACATAAAAAATATACATCAAATTAGATCATGATAGATTTATATAAAATCAAACTCCAACTTAATTCTAACTTATTTTCAAAAAAATATCCTACTCAAACTGAATTTTAATTTAAAAAAAAAAATCGACTTTATAAGATAAAATCAATCGAAACCCGACCCTAATTACAATCTCTCCCTTCCTCCCTTTTTCTCTCTACATGGATCAATAGAAATTTTTAGTAACAGTCCAAAGATAATAAAAATATGGGCTGGCAAGCAACCAGCCATAGTAATACCAAATTAAAAGCAACCGAAAGTGGAAAATGCCTCCCTATTGCTTCTAACAACGGCAACAGACTTTCGCCAGGGAAGATCTACTGACTTGGATAATATGAAGCAATGGCATAAAGCTATTACTTCTCATGTACCAACATTGGGAGCTTGAGTCGATCCTGGAGGACCATGTGAGTATCTCCAGTGGTCACATGCTGAGCATTTATCCAATTTCACATTCTTGGGACCAATGTCTCTGGGCTTTTCTGTGCAGCAAAGTTCACATGTAGGTGCTAATGGCTGCAATGGTTCAACATCAGTGACATGCAAAGCAAGCTGCTAGGAAGGAATTTGAAGGGAAAACAAAAAGAAAGAAAAACATATTTTTCTCCAGTTCAAGATGCAAAATGTTAACACGATGGAACTATCACTAAAAGAAAGTAAACATGGGGGGAGGGTGTCAATATCAATATTTAATATATCAAGGCCCATGGGCATTAGAATTGCTTGCTCACAATGCTTCAATTCATGATTGTTCAGAACAATCAGAGTGAAAATTTTAATATATCCGAACGGACCACAAATCACATAGCACAAAAATATTTGATTATGATTGATAATTCAATTCGAATTTTGATCTCATTCAACTTTATAAGATTGATTTTTTTTTTAAATTAGATTTCAGATTAAATCATATTGTTGAAAAAATATATTATTTATTATTATTTATTTAATTTATATTTTAAAAATAATATTTTATATTAAAAAATTAATATTTTATTAATTTTACATCAAATTAAATCGATTATAAATTTAATTATATAAAAAATTAAATAAATTTAAATATAAAAATAATATTTTAATATTAAATCAAATCAAATTTAAATATTGAATTTATAAAATTTAATGGAATCCGTCTCATTCGGACCGTTTCCATCTTAATATCCAGCTCCAAAAGCAAGACTCTAAGCATGGGTTGACATTACTGGAGAATCATGATTAAGCATGGGCACAGAAGAAGAGGCACTTGAACTAGATTGGCTAGGTATAAGGTCATTAGATTTACAAATTCTTTTAGGAGATTTGGCACCATGATTGATAACAGATCCAAACACTGGAGCATCTGTTGTTAAATCCACAAGTTTTGCGATTTATTTTTTTTACTTTTTGTATTTCCATAAAATTAAAATATAAGCAAATTTTATTATAAAAATGGAAGATTTTTAAAGAAAAATTACTAAACAATTAAAAAGCTATTTCTATTTCCTACCTAAACGTGATTGAGGTACAAAAATCATATTCTTTAATTCACAAAAAAAAAATCCAAAGTAAAAATTTCAAATTTCTGTATAAAAATCATCTCTTTACTTTTTATTATTTCTTGCTTTAAAAATAATTACTTACATTTTACGAGTAAAAACAGAACCAAGCCAATGTAATATCTGAGTCTTGCCTCCTAGATTTTTCAGAAACCATAGAAATAAAAAACACAGCAAACAAGGAATTCATCCAATAATAGGGGAAAAAGACAAAAGGAAAATGCTTAAAAAGTTGCTCTCTCTCTCAAAAATCAAAGCTTTAATCTTTTCTGCCTTTAAGGTCACCCTAGTTAAGAGTAAAAACCACCCCATGACTTTAACTTTCCCAGAGGAAACCAAAAGGCAGAAAAAAGGCTTGAGCTGATCATTGTTGTGGTAGTGATATAAGCCAAAGTGGGTCTTTTTTGTTTGTTGTGTTTAGTTGCATATTGAAGGATAACAATGGCGGGAATAGCAATATTGCTAGATCTATGCAAGAAAAACCCAAGCTTTTGCTCTCCACAAAGCTTTCACTCTTCTGGGTTCTTCTCTGCCTCCGCTGCAGCCGCATCAGCGGCCGCTACCATCGCTGCTGGAACCCCTTTTGCCTCTAGGTTCTTTTTTGGGTATGTTTATATCCATATAGTTGTTTACTTTGTTTATTATTGCTTGGTTGTCAACGGTGATTAGCAGAAGATTCTGGCTTTTGATGGTATTTGGACAATTGTTTTAGTGTTCATGTCATCATGTGTATGTGTATGCATGGGTGAATTTGATTTTTATATTGCTTAGTGAACTGTCCTGATTTGATTGGATTGCATAGTTGATGTTTATAGAATTTATGTAATTGGGTTCTGTTGTTTGGTTTCATATACATTTTTCATATGTATATCTATATATAATATATACACATGAGTGTACATGCCATCATCTGTGTGTATATGTATGCCTGTGTTTGATTTGTTTATTGATTAATGGACAGTGCTGACTTGGATTTTATTAGGACTCGATTTATGTTAGCATGGTGTCAATAGTGTCCAATTCTGTTTTTAATACTGTATAGGCAGCTGGGTTCGATTTAGAAGGCTACGTTCTAATTGCTTAGTTAAATATTGTTGTAAATTTGTGACTCTTTTGTGCATGAAGTTGACATTGTTAGCCAAGGTTGTTTTGTTTTTACATTATGGCTTAAGAATTACTACTAGCTTAGGATGGTGATTTTGGTAAATGGGTTGATGGTAAAATGAGTAAAAAGTTTATATTTAGTCCTAGTGGTTGTGCAGAAGTTATCCCAAGGTTTCTCATTGTGATGCTGCTGCGGAATTGCCCGAAGATTACTTTGCAAATATAAAAAGAGTATCTGAAGATATCTTTAAGAATGATGCTCTCAAATACACTGTCAAGGAGTACAAGATTGAGTTAAAGCCTCTTTTTTCAGCTTTTGAGTTGAGACCTTTTGCTATGACAACCTTGAGGTCATTTCTGATGTTCTATTTGCCTCTATTGGAGCCTGCTACAAACATAGAAGAGGATGATGATGACTTCCTGCAGGACACTCCAGAAGAGCGCCACATCGATTTTGTTGTTCCCTTCAAAAAATCAGTGAAGCAAATAGTTCGTGAGGTGAGTTGTTTTCTTTTGGTCTTGCCTTTTACTTTTATAGGATATCCTGCTGCTGAGCCAGTTTCATGATATTGTTCATCTGTCTTTCTTAATTTTTCATGTCTTATGAAATTTTGATATGCTTTTTCAGCGAGAGTCATGCAAAAAACCTGATATTGTATAATTCATCAATGTAACCTGTTAAAGTTAATAAAAATATTTTAGATGCTAATTAAAGTCATATTTATACATGAAAAATATGTTCAATTCTTCTTTATGCAGTGTTCATTCAATCTAAGCTCCAGTCATAAGTCTGTTTGCTGTAGATTGTTGAATCTCCATATTTGAAGCAAATTGCACTGCAATTGAGACACTCCTTTGGTAATTAAGGAACAGATTAACTTATTATGTTTTATGCCTTCTCAGACTACCGTTGTAACAGCAAGACGGGTTCTTGAAAGACTTGCTGTTATTTATGTTTCACAACGCATGGCATGGAAACTCCTTAAAGGTAGTTTTTGTCCATTCCACAAAGTCATGGTGGTGGATTGGTGGTTGTCCTTTAACTTGCATGTGAATGTAAAAGGGAAAAAAGAATGCTATTCTTTTACTCTTATTATTATTATAAGATCAATATTATTATTCAAAATCTTCTTGCTGATTATTATTGTAAGCTGCTAATGAGTTTGAACAACATACGCAGATGTTCCAAAATCAGCTGTCCGGAAGTCCCAAAGGGGAATGCCAATCACAATGTACGTCTTCAGAGTTAGCAGAACAACTTTCAGAGGTTAAGACCATTATCAATATGTCCTCCGTTTCGTTGTAAATATTTACTTTAAAGTAAAGCTTTGTAACATCTATATCTCTTTCCCAATGTTTATTCAGGTCACCTTCTTGGAGTTGAGGCAGCATGGCTTGTCCAAACTGGTATTGAAATCTACCGATGCTTTTCTCGCATAACAAACTCTGAAGAGAGTGATGAGGTCAACATAACAGAGCAAGCTAAACTTCTTGGAAAGAAGATTTCTGGTATTACCATCAGGTGTGGAGCATCATTGGTATTTGCTTCCATTGGAGCAGGGATTGGAGCTACTCTTTTTCGTCCTTCAATTGGTCAGTGGATTGGTAAGTTAGTCATCTATATGCATCTTTTACACTTTGTTGTTTATGGCAAATAGTTACCTGTCACTGACATCCCAAATTTGTGCATAAGCTTAACCATCTTACAATGGCATCATTTTGTGTTGTGCTTTTTTTTCCCTACAGGCTGTGCTGCTGGAGACTTGGTCGGGCCCATTATAGTATCAGTTTGCCTCCAGAAAGCTCTTCATGTGGACCTCTAGAGCACTGAATATTACTCAAGTTTCACATTTGTATTTTAGCACCTTTCATTAGAGAATTCAATGAATTTTACCAATAACAACACTCTTTATTGTAGTTTTTCTTGAAGCAGAAACTGCTTCTCGAGCTGCTCATCTGAATTTTCTCTTTTGGGGCAATTCTTTTTCTCAGTTTATACCAATGAACTTTTCCTAGGTCAGTCTCTTCTCTCTTAGTAGAGTATTATAAAACGAAAAACGTTTCAATGCTTTTACTGTATGTCTGTGTCTGATAGTACATGATTGGCCTGGAATAGCAAAGGAATTGGAGAACCCGTTGAACTCAAGCAACAGGTCAAGTAAGGCCTTCATTTCTTAGGGCAAAACATGTTGCCGATCTAATTATGTTTCTAGAAGGCAAGAGGCATTACCACATTAGATGAATCTTATGTTTTGTCCAACCCATCTGATATTATTGTATAATTGATTCTCTGTTCGTGATTCATGCATGATGGTAAGTCGATCTATATTGGTCAGATTCCATTGTCAGCATCGAATCTAGTTTTGGCAGATTCCTCAACTTATCCTTACATTCCCAAGCTTTGATCCATCATCCTAAACTAGATTCCAAATCTATGCTTATCCAAAATATGTATGATAAAACTCTTTCTATGGAGAAAAATGAGTTCTATCTTCTATGGACCAGGAAAATGTAAGTGATGACACTTAACAATGAAAGCATGGTGCTCCAGCAACTATGACATGGACAAGAGACAACCTGACTCGATCTATTTGGTTCTGAAACTGCCAAGGTACCCAAGTTGAAGTTATTACTTAACTGTCCCAGATCATTACAACATCAATCACTCCAACACCTAACAAGACAGCCAAAAACTTGTGATGGGGTGTGTCGACTGAAACTGTCTTCTGGGTTGTGTAACCTTTGGATAACAGATGGTTTATAGATACATAGATGAACACTCCGCTCGCTACCCCCATTGATATGGCAAAGATCCAGTCAGCCACAACACCCTGAGTTGTGGCATCAATTATGATCCCAACGGCCACACCAACAGGACTTGAAATGGCGAATGCAAAAGCGTAGGATATGCATGATAACAAGGGACGATCTGGGATCATTCGGAGGAGTGCTATCCCCATTGCGATTGCTGCAAAGATCTTGTGCAAGGATATTGTCCATAATGCTTTCCAAGCATCAGCTTCTGTTTCTGCAACCCCAATTGCAATGCCCTCAAAGAGTGAATGGAAGCACAAGGCAACGATCAACAGAACACTATCCCCAAAAGAACTCACAGATGTGAGCGATGAGGACTGTGCACAGACGGTATCAGTGCAGTTATCAACCTACAAAGCATAGAAATCTGTCAAATATCAACAGAAATCAAGTCTTAAAATCAATAGTTTTTTAGGCTATTATAGCTTACCGGTGGATTGCCATGAGGATTACTTTTTCTCTGATCGGCCCCTGCAGTTTAGACAGTATAATTATGAATTGAGAAAGTGAAACTGTAAATGAAGACATGTTCTTACCTTGAAGCTCCAAATCACCATTATTACATGAACTCTTCCCCTTCCCATACACGTAGGAAACCACACAATCAGCCACCATGGTCAATAAATATCCAGCACAAGCCAACATGAAAGCAAAAGGGTATTTTATACTCGTCAAATCCTCAAAAGTTTCATTCGCATCACTCAAGAAATGCATCATAGCAGTCCCCAGGAAAACCCCACCAGCAAACTGCGTTCCCATCACCAAGAAACCCTGGTTCCACTTAAGGAAATAAGGTGACACCCCACCAATGAAGGTCCCTACAAACACAAGAATCAAGCACCACAACTTGACCAGAACCAATGATTTGGAACGTAGGTTATGAGGCTTATTGCTGTCACCTGCCATGCTATCAGCACCATTGCCTCCATGGGGGGTGGCAGAGAGGAAAAGAGAGAGGGAGAGAAAGAGGAAGAAGAGAAAACTAGAGATTTTCATTGAAAGAACGTCAAGTTAAAGTGTGTTTGAGTTTATTATATGATACATAGATTATATAGAAAGGGAGAAGAGTGAGGGTTTTGTCGTTGTCCGTAGTGCAAAGTACTAGAAAATGGCACACAGAGAAGCGTACTAAAAAAAAGAGATAATACCCCATTTGGCCCTTAAACTATTGATCTTTTTTTAATGTGGTACCCAAAAAAAACAACGTTTAATTAAGTCCCTAAACTAGATTTTCGTGTATTATATTACTTCAATCCTTAACATTATTAAAATAATACTAATGAGATATTTAAATGCTAATGTGGATGATACATGATCTAAATGTAATTGTCATGTGTAATTTTAAAAAAATAAAATATAATTTTTGAGAAATTTTTTTATTATTTTTTATTCTTTAAAAATGATACATAAAAATGACATCACTACTATATAATAATTACGTGTTATCGACATCAATATTTAAATATCACGTTAACATTATTCTAATAATGTTAAAGCATTGAAATAATTTAATATGCGAAATTAAAATTTAAGTACTTGATTAAAAATATTTTTAGTTTGGGTATCATTTTAAGAAAATTATAAATAATTTAAGGGTCATATATGGTATTATCCCAAAAACCTGAAAAAAGACAGGCTTTTGAACGAGCTATTTAATTTATTTCATTTGTTAGATCACAAAATTTGTCCTTTACAGATTGATGATTAATAAAAATAATGTTTTTTTACACTAAACAATAACGATTCTTATCAAGGATCGATTTGAATAATGATAAAAGTCCTCGCCAGAGCTCTCACACTACGTAAGAGTTTGTTAACTTATGACTAGACCACTAATTATGCATCCAAATCAGACTTAACACCTGATGTCAAAAGCATTAGTTAAAAATATTTTACTAGTTCTTTTGATTTAATCATGGTCGAACTCTTTCTTTTTTTTTTTTTTTTGAAGATGTTGTATTTGAATAATAACACCAAAAAATAATAACAACCATATCTACAAAGAATTATAAATAATGCCGTCAAGTAGAGGTGTAAATATAAGATATTTGAATTTGATTTGGATAAAATTTAAATTCAATTTAATTATTATAAGATTAAATTCAAGTAATTTGATTTATCGAATAAGCTAAATTCAAATATTTTAATGTTATGTTCAAATAACTCGTGACTTTAATAAAATTTTTAAATTTTTATTATTTTATTTATATATATATCAATTTAAATTTGAATTTAAACATAATTAAATTTAAAATCGAATATGAAAATCAAATTTATTTTTATTAAATGAATATATAAAATTTGAATAATTTAATTTTTATCTTAAATGAAACTCAAACTTAAAAATTAAAACTTAATCGATCTCAAAATAAATTTTGAACAATAAATTTCGAATCAAACTTGAACTTCTTACTATTTCAACTCCATTAAGCTAAACCTCTACCGTTAAGTACACAAAATGTTCATTAATCTTTAAGTTTATGTTGTGGAAAGTAGATGTTTAAATTGGAAGCAAAATATAAGAACTTGTTGGTTTATGCTAAGCTTAAATAATTTTTTTTTTAACTAAAATGAAATCTTATTTGTGTGCCACTGTAAAGGAAAGCTACATGTCCTGAAAAAACAACCAAGTTGAGCCCCGTCCCTACAGACTTTCACAATTGAGACCAAAGTTCAAACTTCTCACATTAGATTTAATAATTTAAATTATGACAATATATACAAATATGATATAAAAATAAAATATAAAAATAACATAATTTAAAAGTTTAATAATAATTATATATAAATTTAACAAAATTAAAAAATATATTTTATATTTTGTAACACGTAATTTTCGTATAAAAATCATATAAATACACAAATTTTAGTATTTTACATGATAAAAATACACAAATCACCATGTCTAGTTGTTGGTTTAAGACAGATTTGTGAACTAATTCTGTATTATCAAAATGAGTCCACTTGCTCAGTAGGTGATTTATCAATCACTCAAGTTTTGGAAAGACTAGGATTATTATGTGGAAAAGTAACTGAATAATGCAATAAACAATAACCGTACATCAGCTGTGACCAAAATTTTAATTTCATCAAATATCTAAGATATTGGAAGCTTGCCTACATCTCGGCAAAAAAATTTGCAAGTTCTCTTGTCAACATTTAAATGATGCAATGCAAGATGCAATTCATCAATGCATGATCTTTATCAGGTTTACTGGCAAAAATGGAGCTTGAAAAATTGAACAATACTGTCTTTCAAATTCTTCTGTTCCATCAGCTATACATAACTCTGTCGTCATCACCGCCAAAAACGACCTTGCTGCCTCTGTTCTTGCATTCGCCTGCATCATTATGGCTCCAAATCAAAATGTCGTTCAACAATATTTTCATATGGATGTGGTTAGCATTTATCAACGTTATCATCAAGTAAAATGGAATATATGAGACAGATTTGACAATACACAAAGGTAAGAAGATACTTCACCTCTGATACTCTTTAGAACGCTCAAGAAACTCTTTTGCAATATCTTTCCTTTCATAAGATTGTAATACTTGTCTAATATCAGCTGGACTATTACGGGCTACATCTGTCGACAAACCAAAACAGATGGTACTATTCTCAACAAAAGAACATAGCAAATGCCCAAAGAAAAAAAAGCTAATCAAGTGAGACTCTTTCGATCAACCATAGACCCTATCAACTACACTAGTTAGCACATATACCATGTAAAATTTGAACAAAGGCAACAAGCAAAGGGCAAAGAAACAGTGTAAAACTTACATTCAAGAAACGGAATAAGATCCAAAAGTGCTGTATCATCTGTCTCAAGCTTAAAAGGCTTAATAGGGACACAATTTTCGGGTTGAAGGCTAGAATCAAATGCTTGAGCACTCACATATAAAATCTTGGCTGGATTCCTGTTAAGCTTTGAAAGATCCTGCCAACGGGAACTATTTGTTAACAAGAATACTCATTTTGAAGCAGCAGCTCTTAAAGACACTGTCTCATAGATTAATACACTTAATATAGAGAGAAAATTGCAGAGGGGAAAACAAAAACAGAAATGCTTCAATGGAAAGTGATCAAATATAACATACTCTATAATGCTTGCCATTCTGATATTTAGTAGCACCCCTTGATAGCCTATATCGTATATAATTGTTAGGATCCAACCTTTCGCAAACAGGATCGACATACTGCACAAGCCAAAACAAACAAATAATTACATCACTGGCAACCTCAGTTGTCAAATACTTATGTATTTAAAATGGTTGTCACAATAGAAAAGATCAAATTACCATATTCATCTGGTCAGAATATACAACAATTTCGTAGAACTTTGCCAGATGTTCCAAAAAGGCGTCAACTCCAGGTCTTTTGAAGGTACGCCAACCTCTCTCTCGCTTTGCCAACCAAAAAGAGAATAAAAAGATAGAAAAAGAATTACAAACATTTGAACATGAGCTGCAATAATCAAAATACCAAAATAAAAAATGTAGGTTTTATAAAGGAAAATGGAAAATAGTTTTAAGTCAAATTCTTACCTTCCAATCTGTATAAAGTAATGTCTCATTCAGATCTAGGACAAGAGTGAAAACATGTTGTTCTTGAGGATGCAAATCAGGAAGAAGCTTATCTGAGGTTGGTTCAGTAAATTCCTGCAACATGAGATAAAAGTAAGAAATAAAGAAAATAAGAGCTTAACGCTAATATAAAGAAGAAAAAACAAAAGATAGGCAGGCAACACTAAAAAACCAGAAACAAAAGAAAGAAGAAAAGCACTCACCAGCACGTTTTCTTCCACCAACCTCCTGAGATCCAGATAAGATTCAAGTGCTTTAGCTGGAACTGAAATGTTACAAGCACAGAAACCATGAGCAAATGGGGTGGAAGCAGAACATGTAAACAAGTCAATCGTCAACCAAGTTAATAGAAAGCAACAAGCACCAAGTAATGAATTTCATTTGCTGGCTCAACAAATCCATTTATAATGAAGCAGCCCAATTTTTCCAAAGAAACATTGCCCAACAACTAAAAAGCTTACATAAAATGCAAACTTAACTCTCTACTATGCAAATAGTGTTCTAGTTATTTGGTTAACATACAGAAGAGTGTAGAAAAAATTGTAGCTATGAACAAAGAACAGAGCAATAAGAGATACGGAAACATAATAATGTCCTCACCTGTCAGTGCAGCAGAGTAGAGCATACCTCGATATTTCTGAAAAAAGATAAGGAAAATAAATGATTCTTTCACAGAACCAACTAAACAATGGCTACATCACATTATTAAGACTTAGCACAAGTACCATACATGAGCATTCATAAGCAGAAGGACATTAATATACATACTCACGCAACTGATATTGATGTATGCATCACATCACAGCTACCAATCATACAGGAATGATCTGTGGGGCACAATGATGGATGGCTTTTATGTGATAATTACTGATGTGAGTAAATAAATTATTTTCCTACAGATTGAAAAGAAATTGCGGTGAAATTTATCTACCTAAACAGCAATGCAGAACACATTAAACTCATATGAACGAGAACCAAATTATACCTAGACCACCTATATGCCTTAAACAAATTGTACATGGCATCATTCAAAGTTCAAACAACTGAAATCAAATAAGAAAAAACTTATAAAAAAAAAAACAATTTCAAAACAAATTCAAACATACATCAACAGCAGAGGCATCTTCACAAGGAGTATAACTCGCTGCAGCCCGCAATGCCTTTGCCTTATGATCTACTTCCTCGTATGAACACCCTGCAAATCAAATTAAACATTTTTAATCAGATAAAAACCCAAATTTTAAACAAGAATATAAATTGAATCACCAAAAATCTAAAATTTGTTAAAAAAAAAAAAGACTTACTATAAGAGAGATAACCAGTATAGCCAACAGCTCCAGTAACAGCTGCGGTGAGTCCGTACTTGAGAAAGCTCCAAGATTTCCTTCCCGAAGCATGTGGGGCAGCTTCCGACTCAGGAGAAGGAGAAGGCGGCGTAGATTGATCAGAGAGAATAGATTGTGAAGCGGCGATCGTTTCTTTAGAAGGATTTGAAGAAGAAGAAGAAACCACTCCTGAACTCAAAACCCTTCGGTTATAGATCTTTGAACTGCAATTATTTGAAATTATTCGAGATCGAAGAACAATTGAAAACATTTTTATTAGGGTTTTGATTTTGGGAGAAGCGGGTTGTTTATTCCAGTTTTAGTATTCGTTTAGGGGTTTTCCGATTCTAGGGATGAATTAGACTCGAGGATTTCAATCGGGGTGTTTGGGAGTCGGTTTTGACCAATTTCATGCTGGAGTCTAGAATGGGAATGGGGGCATCTGCTGTTTGGTGGCCGGCATTAGATTAACTATATAATCTTTTATCATAATTGTCATAATTAACCTAGCATTAACAAAACTGAAAGTTTTTATAACGGTAATTTTAATGTTATTAGTATTTTTTAAAAATATTTATCAGTTTAATTAATTTAAAATAATTTTAAAAAATAAATATTTAAATGATATTTATTTTTAAGTAGAAATCCACTTCCTTTAATGTAAAAATTATATATTTTTTATTATTACATCAAAATTAAATTTATAACGCTTATATTTAATTATTTTGATTTAAAAATTAAAAAATGTGATACTTATATTAATTTTTTTGTATTTTTAATATAATTAATTTAAAATAATTTTTCTTTAAATTGCTCTGAAATGGCTTCTCAATTCAACATTTACTCAGGTTTTTGGCCATATGGATGACAATAAATTGCACACCAAGGCAGTGGCAGCATGTCCTAACGAAGGATCGATCCATGGAAATCTAAAGGTTGCAAGGTAGAGGTGAGAAAAAAAAATCGAAGATTAATTTAAAATTATAATGTGTGGTTGAATCAATTTTTTTATTTGATTTGAATTAAATTTAAATATTAAATATATATATTAAATTTGAAATGAATTTTGAATTAGGGAAGTGAAAATTAAAAAAAAAAAAAACGAATCAAACGAATTATATATTTTTATTAATTTTTATATATTTTTAAATTTTTATAAAATAAAAATAATTATGTGATATCTAAATTTATTTAAATATATTAAAATTTATATTAAAATAATATATATAAAAACAAAAAATTAAATTTAAAAAAATCATTAAATCAAATCGAACCGATTGAATTTAATTTAATTCAAATAATATAAAAATTCAATTATTATCACCTCTATTTAAACGTGAATTATGAGATGGAAGAATAAAGGGTGGATTTACTGCTCAAAGAATATTGATTCAGTCTTAAGGGCAGTACTGTAGACTAAGAGTGTAATCAAGTCGAGTCAAGTTGATACAGTGAGAAGTTCGAGTTAGGGTTCGGCTCACAACTCGAGGTTCGATACTCGACTCGAATTCGATCAAGTTTTATTTTTTAAGCTCGAGCTCGATTCATGATTAAATTCGAGCTACTCGAACTGGCTCGATTAAATTCGATTAATATGTAAAATAACCTTAATTCATAACTCGATAAGAGTTCGATTATTTATGCTCGATTTCGAAATATTTTATTAATTAAAATAATAAAAATATATTTAAATATAAAAGTTCGATTAAGCTCGCGAGTTAATTGAGTCGGATATAAGAATACTTGAATTTGACTCGATCGATAAGTCGAGTTACTCGAACTTGAGCTCGACTCGATAATAATCGAACTGAATTCGAATTTTTTTAATCAATTTTGAATAATTTGTGAGTATCAATGTATCATTTACATCTCTATTGTAGACGAAGAAAGGGCATTTGCCATCGGAAAAATTTCTATGGCCTATAAATGCTGCCTTCTTTGTTTTGCAGGTTTTGCTCTAGGAAGTCTTTACATAAAGGCAAGCTAGCTTTCATGGCAAACTCTTCTAATGCTTGATTTGTACTAAATTAACCGCGTGCAATAATCATGCTGAAGCATGATTTGTATAGAAATTATGTGTTTATTGGGGATCTGAAAATATTATCAGTATTAAGCCATTATAAATTATATCTTTTGTTTTTTTTTATTAAAAAAAGTTGCAATATAAATATAAAAAAAGAGTTATAGGTAATGAAATTTAAATTTTAGATTTATTGAATCTTACCTTTTAATAGTGACTGAATGAACAAACAAAGCTAAATTTAGAGTTTTATAGTTTTATTAATCTAATTAATCTAGTTTGTGATAATATTACTAGTTAAGATTGATAATTCAATCTATATATGTCGAGTTAATTTGATTTTACAGGATTGAGTTTTTTTTTTTTTTGAAATCAAAACTATCAAATTAGTTATTTTTGAAAAAAAAATCAAATTGAATTTTATACAAATCTATCCTAACTTAGTATATATATTATTTATTTAATTTTAATTTTATATTTATATTTAAAAATAATATTTTATTAATTCCATCGAATCGATTACGAATTTAAATATATATTGATTAAATTAGATTTGAGTATAAAAATAATATTTATTTAATTTTAATTTTATATTTACATATTTATATTTAAAAAATATATTTTAATATTTTCAATCGAATGATTACGAATTTAAATATATATTGATTAAATTAGATTTGAGTATAAAAATAATATTTTAATATCGAATCAAATTAATTAAATTTAAATATTAAATTTATAAAATTAGATTGAATTCAAGACAAATAAAAATTTATCTTGATTCATTCTGTTATCATCCATGTGAGTAGCAAGAAAGCTAGCCAGTTTTCGAAACGAAGATTTGTGATTTCTACAACTATATATATGATCAAAAGCAAGCATAACAATCAACCCTCTCAACTCCTTGTGATATAAGAAATCTTTTACCATCTAATTATAATCTATATGAAATCAAGTTCCTATTGCTAACTACTAACTACCACTAGACAGATTAGTTGTTTCAAGTAAATGATTAACTGCTATTGTGTTTGGTAATAAACAGGGCTTGTGGATAGCTTTAGAACAAGATAATGATGAAGAAATTTAACCCTTTTTTCCCTTTGTCTGCCATGGCCAACAACTTGATCACAAATATTCTTATTTTGCATCACTTTCTGAGGAGGCTTTGGGCTGGTAGCCATGTGTTCATGAAGCTTTTTTTAAACGCTTTGTTGTCAGGCAGAGAAATAAACTTGGTGTGTTCACCAAAATAAAATAACAAAAAAGGAGGGTTGATGCTATAATAAAAGTGTGTAAATAAAGCAAGCAAGCAAAGTAAACAAAGGAATAAAAAAAAGTGAAAAAAATCATAAGAAATTAGATTGGAAGGGAAACAAAAAGTACAAGATGAAAAAACTTCTCTTTCTTGTACCACTGTTTCTTAGTCACTCTCATTTTTTGGAGAAATATTAGGTTATTGATATTAAAATTTAATTACATATCGATATATATATATTTATATCATATAAAGTATTAAAATTTATATATTTATATCGTATTGTATATGAAAATTATATGTTATAATTTATATTAATATGAAAATATAAAATATTTTTTTATTTTATTAAATTTATATATATTTATTATTAAAATTTTAAATCATATTATTTTATATTTTATTTTTATATCATATTTATCTTATGTTATCGTATTATATTTTAGATACTTACGTGCAAATAAAAGAGGTAAAATGATGAAATTTTTAGTTATTTTATGACATTATTACCCACAAAAAGATCAATAAAAATATTTTTAAAAAATGGTTTATAAAGTTGGATCCATCCAAAACCTTAAAAGTAAAGCAAAGGTATGATGAGAAGCTACAGTGTTTCTATTTTGGGGGGGGGGGGGGGAGAAGATGGGAAAAGAAAAGGAAAAAAAGAGCTGTGACTTTGTGACCCTGCATTCATGCCCATTACTCCATATATAGACTCCAATGGGGTAGAGGTGACTTTAAAAGAGAATGTGAATCTCTTTTCTTTTTATTTTTTCTTATGGATTTTGGTCCCAACTCCCCATTGGTTGCCACATCTGACCTATTTCTCAATGATGAATCAAAAATTCTATCTCAAATTGTTAAACAATAAGGTAACTCTTACCTAAAGAGTTGACAGGTAGAAAAGTTCTAAATTATCAAGTAAATGGCAATGTCAATCCCCTTCCAAATGGCAACCAGGAATTTGATGCAAATCACACAAATCTTAAAGCTTGGATTGCTTGCCTATAGACTTCAATTTAAAGGTGATTCTGTGGCTCTGATGATTTGGAAAATCAATTCACATTTCATGGAACTCAGATGCCTTAATCCCTCTATAAAAAGGGCATGCCACTTGGTTTCTTTTGGCATACCAATTACCAACCTGCAATGCTCATAGCATACATCCAATTTCAAGCCATTCCAGGTTCAAACTTCAAACTCTAACACCCAAAAGAGAGGTTCAGAAAATGGACCAAACAGAAAACCAGCAACAGCAATCTTTGAGTCAGTTTATAAAATCTCAGTTTCATAGAAAATTGACTCAGTTGCTTCTCTCAGTTTCTGTTTTTTCCCTATTCTTTTCTCGTTCATATTGGCTTTCTTGGCTCCATTCCTATAGCTTCAACTTCCATAACACACTTCCTTTCCAGTTGTTTAGCCATACCATAGATAAGAACTGCATATTCCTTTTATGCAATGGGCTGCTTGTTTTTCTAGCAAAATACTCAGGATTAATCAGTTCATCAAAGTACAGTCTTAGTGATGATCAGTCTTTCAAGAGCTATGAAGATGTTCAGCAAACCAAGTCAATTGTCATGGAGCCAAATGCACCAATGTTGGAAAAGGAAGTTGAGGAGACAGTAAAAAACATTATTATAATGGAAGGAAGACAAGAGAAGGAAGAAGCAGCAGCAGAAATTGTAACAGGAAACTTCACCCTGGAAGAAGAAGAAGAAGAAAATACTGCTTTTGTTGGAGAAGATGAAGGAGAGTTAAAAGGGTCAGATGATGACTTTTTTGCACAAGACTTCAGAGAAAGTGAAAATTATGACAGAGAAGAAGAAGAAGAAGAAGAAGGAAATAGAGTGTTAAGTACAGAAGAGCTAAACAAAAGGTTTGATGAATTTATCAGAAAGATGAAGGACGAATTAAGGATTGAAGCTTGACAACAATTAGTCATGGTCTAAGGATCATTTTCTGATGCTTTGCTGTTCCTCCTATAGTTTGTAAATAAATGCTAGTAGTAGTTTTGGTAGTCTAGCTCATTTGTTTCTTCTTTTTAGTGCAGTAAAATTTCTTGTTCTTTCAGGTGATGAGACTGCAGTTGCTTGTAAATTATGTGTTTGATCATACAATATTTAGCCTTTAGTTTTAATGCTCCATTTTCTAGGAAATGTGCTGATAAAGATCCAAACCGGATGCACATATTCCAAAATTTATGAGTTCATAATCTAAATTTTCCTGGGCAATTTGACAGAAACTATAAAGTTTAAAGAGAAATAAAAATTCATGGTGGCAGAGCCAGATCACAAACTGATTCAGAATCTGACTGCTAACAAATCAACCAATCAGAAGTAACCTATTGATACAGGTGGATGATGAGAAAGAAAATATGAAAGGGAATACCCCAAGCCTCTTTGTATCATACGGTTCTTGTCTGACATCAGGTCTTTTCAATTCCTATTTTAAGTGGTTAAATGCTATTAATTTAGTGTTCCATTTGTGCTAGACACGAAGGACTCTGTGAAAATGATGGCAATTAGGACTAGCTGTCTTCATACAAGGGTTAGTTCATTGGTTGATTTTGTTGATTTTGTTTTGCTTTTGTAAGAGTGATTAAGATTTCAGTTTCAAGTGTGCAACTTTGATCATATATTACAGATCATAATTCAATGCTCCTTTTGTCTTGCTGTGTACCTAAAATATATCAGAAATCTTTATGCTAAGAGACATAGCTTTGCAGTCAAGTAACTTAGAACAAAACGATTAGTTTAAATCGAGCATTTATGTTGACCAACTGACCAAATACCTTACCATGGATTCCTTCAAAACTCAAATGGTAGTCCCTTTTCCATAAAAAAATTACTTTGCAAAGTTGAAAAAGGAATTTCATGGGGAAAAAATGATGCATGCTGGGATTTTGCAGATATTGTTGCCAAGCCCAGATCAATTTGCTTCAATTTCCACATATTGTGGGGAACAAACATAATGACATAGTTTCAGTCCATCTCATAACAAGAATGTTTTAGGCTAGCTAGGCTGCTGCTTTTAACCGATTAAAGCTGATACTAGTCACCACTCATCAGCATTGACATATCCTCTTTCAATTCCTGATTACCAGGGTTTCGAAATTGCCAACAAGGCCATGTCCAAAGAAAAGCTTGAAACTTGAAACTTGAATGTGGATGAATTTATCCCAATATGCTTTTTCACAGTAGCAGAAATGATGGTGCCAAGGAATCAATGATTCATGTCCTAATCAAGATGCTGCAAATTGTCATCATATAGAAAAAATCTAAGAAGAATACAAGTTAAAAGCTGGAAAAAAATATTTTTGTTACAGCAAAAGACACAAAAATTTGTTTTCCATAGCTGAAAATAATTGAAATCCATCATCCACTAACATTGTTCAATCAGTAGAAGTGAACAAAGAATCCACGATTCCTTTACACCTATGTGGCTAGAAACTGATGAGCTTTCATTTTCAATTCCCCTATGTGGATTTAATCACAAAGCAGTCTACTCTCCAACTGGGGTCCTCTTCAATATAAAATCAATCTAAAAAATGAATGAACATGTTTTTATCAGTGAATGTGAAAGATATAGAAAGGACCCCTCTTCTTTGGTGGACTTATGAAAGTGAGTGACCCAACATAATTCTCATAAAAAATGACCAACTTTACTTATCTTCAAGCTAAAAGAAAAGTTTTGAACCCAACTAAACCCTAACTGCTTGTTCGGAAGAGTGCAGATCACTGAAAGAAAACAAAAATGAGTGCTTTTCAGTTGGTAAAATCAACATTCCTCACATTCCATCAGGCACCCACGCGAGCGATACACGTGAAAAATGGGAAATATATCATAGCCAGCAGGGTTCTTGAGTGGTTGAATGCAACTAAGCATTGCCAGAAAGTTAACAAAGACAATGGCTAAAATATGATTAAATAAATGGGCTCATGCAATGCATGCATAATAATCAATTATAAAAGTAGGGTCTCAAGCTAGAAATCAATGGAATGGCCCATGAAAATTTAACCAATTCAAATGGACTGATAGAAAAGGAAGAAAAGAAGATGTATCAGAACATATACTTGATAGATATTGCAGATCAATGATTTACCTTCATTTACAAAAGTCTATCTTACAGAAAACAAAGCTTCACCTCTTATATCTGTTTGTCAAATGTAAAACAAATATGCATATAATTAATAGCAGAATATGGACAAGAAATCAAATTCAGGTCCTTAAGACACACTCTCCATAAAGGAGCTACTCAACTGTTTTCTGCCACCTTTCGATGGTCATATATATTCAAATTAATTCCTTACCACACAAGGAAATGGGGCAATATCCATTCCAAACTGGTCGCACAAGTGCTACTAGATTGTGGAACTACTTGTTACATCCTCCAGCATGAATGATACAGACAAGAAGTTAATGATGCAGCTGAGTGTAAACATCAGTTTTATTCAGTGACTTGTTCATTTGCATTAATTTGCAACTTTTGTGCCTCTTAAGTTGTTGAGATTTATTTGAATTTAAATCACATTAAACTTTCAATCTCATCACTGAAAATCCTTATCTTGTAGAATGAAAACTCAAGTAAACAGTAAAACAAATATGCAAGAAAATAAAACTTTTTGGTGGTGGTGGTGTTGGTAGTTGTGGCTGTGGCTGTGGCGGTGGCAGTGGCATGAAAAAAAATGCAAGAAAATGAAACAGTTTAAGATAAAGTGATTGAGAATATAGTTAAGGAAGAATATTAAATAAAAAAATCTAGTATTTCTGCTCCGGATTCCATTAAAGCAACTTTTTGATGAAATTCCTTGGGCAAGGGAATGAAGAAAAGAAAATTGTTTATTGGTAATTGATCAATTTGGGATTTGACTTGTAGGAACGTTAGAATATATATATATATATATTTATATATTTATATATTTATATATATATATATATGAGAGAAAGGACAAGATTTTTTTTAAAATGAGGTAAGTAGTAAAAATGGATTTTATTTCTTCCATATGTAAATATAAACAAAATTTCCTAAACTATATATACTGCTGTCACATTTACTCATCCTTCCTTCAAATGATTCCTGAAATCTCTCCTTATTTATTCATTTTTTATCTCCAATATTCACATCCTATTGGCAATGGCAATTTTTTTTATACTTCAAGAATTGAATTTGATCAGTTAAACTAAGAGTCCAAACAGAGTTTTCATGATTGGATTTAAAAATAATGAGTATCCAGCCAATATTTTCAAATGAATTGCTAAAAATGGTAATAAATCATTTCATTATTCAGAAAGAAAAAAAAGAACTTAAAAATAATGAGCATAGATGATTAATAGACTGTTATAACTGAGTTTGAATATGCTAAGGGTACCCTTCATTTAAGACACAACTTGGTTTCGAATGGTCCTTGAGTAGATCATTTTGTCTGTCAAAGTTATTGTCATTTTGGCCCTTTAGGGTCAATAAATGTAGTTACAAGTTATCAAATGTGACAGATATATGTTCCTTGTTGAATCTTGGATGGAATATAGACATCAGACAAGAAGGAAAGTGAGTGAACTGATAATGCTTCAATCTCGAATTTCACTCCTCGTTGCAACATCAACTCTAGTTCCGACCTTTAACATGCAAGAAGAGGCAGGCACTTCTATAGAAATCATATATAGATGAATATCATAAGATAAAGATGTCAGGGACTCTACCTCCAGTTCGGAACTTGTTGCCAAAGGTAGCATCTCAATAACATGGCTTCAGTTTTCCTTTTATCTGGAATGAAATGTTGGAATTAATCTCAAAACAAATTAGAGAAAAGTAAAAGTAAAAGTGAGTACTGTGAGGATGCCACTGTCAAGATCTGTACTGTATCACCTTCTTTGGTCAAAGGCAGGAGACAGTGCTGAGGAAGATCATAGTTCTCTGAATCTGATGGAAAAGCTCCAAGCCATTGGATCTGTGGGACTCGTAGAAATTTGGCATCATAGGCCATTTGCTAAGGAGCAGATTCAATGCGGTGGAAAAAGGAAAAAATTCATGTCATAGTTCTGACTGACTATGGTGCATTCACAGCCTCAAGAAGTTTTGAGGACAACAACAGGTAAAAACATACTAATTACTATGCAATCAAGAAGTCTAACCATAGAACCAAACCGGTAAGTAGCCAGGATGTCAAAGCCATATGGATCACAATCTACCAAGCAATAGACAGGCAGACATAACTTGTCAACAAGAAGTAGCAAAAACCTACAAGAATAAGATGGGCCTATAATTGATAAATTAAATAAAGGCATCCCATATCTTCCAAATTTAGGGAAATTCTTTTTCTATTTCTTTTCTTCCTTCACCTTCTAGTTGGAACATCTGGATAGCCTCTTCCCTGAAGAAGAAGAAGAAGAAAGATTTTAATAAAAATTAAAACAAATATTAAAACAGTATAAATAAAGGTGATGTTGAGATAAGTTTATGCTTACTGTGATCACAACGCAACGGTTTTTTTTACAAAACTGGTCGTTTGCTAAACGCTGGAACACTGGCCAAGAATTCAGTAATCAGGATTTAGTCAATAACATTTTGACCATTCTTTCAGGTAAACCATGATTATTGCAAAAATAATTTACCTGATTCTTTCTCTACAACAAGTATGTACTGGGCAACACTAACAAGATCTGCATGTAGTAATCAAGGGAAGCTTAAATCTGATGGCATTCGCCTTCTAGCTCATATGTGAAAGTGCTCATGGTAAACGAGTGAGATCTTATTGATATTATCCTTTGCTTAAAACTTATTGGATACCTTTGACATCCTCAACAAGCACAGGTATTGTGTGGGCCTGCATGTGAATCAGATATGAACAGATAAAACATGAATTAGATATCTATTGACAAATTTAGACTGATGACACAGTGCCTTCCATTCTTACAGTGTTGAGGCTATTTATGCAATCAAATTTCCTTCCTGCTTCAAAGAATCTTAACCATCCCATCACCAACCTATAACAGATATACAGATAGATGGAGAGATAGATATCAGAATAACCTGACTTGAATTTAGGTTTGAGAAAGGCAGAACTTAGCAAATATGAAACACAGCATTGTGGTGATATAAGCTGACTCCACAATTAATTGAATTAAAAAAAACGTGCCAGCTGAGAGAAGGTCTAACCGGGTAGCTACCATGTTTATTTACAATCCAAATAACAAGTGCACTATTCATCAGTTCTTGAAACTGCTTTACATCCTCTGTTAGCCAATGAAATGCAGATAAAGTATAGTTCACTAGATCTAACTGTCATAATTTAACCTCAAATACTTACAAACTAGTGCACAAAAAGTTATCCATATAGTTGAAGACAACAATTCCATTAAGTTATCGAATCCTAAAGTTTAAACAACTCATGTTTGACATGCAGAGATCTCTTATGACTGACCAAAATGAAAAAGTATTGCGCTCACCAATCAACAGCATACATAAACCAAATGCCTTTAGAACTTGAAATGCATTTTTAGGAGACAAATTTGTTAGCAATAAGTGTATTTTCCTTTTGAATCTTCCAATTTTGAGAGCGACGAGAAAACTCACCCATTTCCAGCAGACACCTGCAAAAGGAAACATGAATTAAATTTCTTGAATAAAGTAAATTTCTTAACATTTTCAAATTTCTATCATCCGGGAGCCAATTTTGATTTGTTGTGAACAAAAACAAATGCAAGAAAATCAACTTTGGAATGTGATGCATGAGATTAGAACCATAATATTTCATTCTAACTTTTACTATATATTTTACCCAAACCACTTTCCTCATTAACAGTATAAGTTACCAACCACATTTAGATTGTGTCGACTGCATTGCAGAAGGATGCATATATCATTAATTGCTCTATCTACAACTGACTGATCTGCATCACAGTACATGAACCAGCCCAACAAAGAGTATGAAATCTTTAAATTACACAAGTTGATCTGAACAGAAGTTTAAGCTCATCAATATCATCAATGCAAATCATTAGAATCCAGAATCTAGCAAAGTAAGAACATTGGGTAATCAAGTCACTGTTATCTGCTTCTATCAATCAATTGTTTCAACAAAGTAATTAAAATGGACCTGAAAATACTGATGGGTGCATGTAATATATATCTCTCTTTGACCCATGTTTGTTTTCTTGGAGAAGTTGCTGCACTATCAGTAACACCCTCAACAACACATCTGAAAGAGATTAAACCAACTAATCAAAATTGTCCCACTAATTGGAATTAAAAATATATATAATGAGTTAATTACATTTTTTAACTTAAATTTTGAAAAAAATGTACAAATTGACACCTAAAGAAATAAAATGTACAATTTGCACCCTAAACTTTCAAATAATGTATTATTTTAATTCAAATTCTAATATTGTTAACTTAACTGACCTATGTGGTATGTAATCAGTATAATTTTGTTATATGCAAGTTATTTGTTAAATAAAAATGTTAAATATTTTGTAAAAACCTTCATGTGGATGTCATGTGACAAAAAATATTGAGTGGTTCCAGATTTTTTTAAGGTTTAGGAAAATATGTTTTTAATTTCTATTAAAAATATGTTAATAGTATGTATAGTAAACACATAACTTGATAATATTTATCAAATATCGGATACATAAACTGATATAATTAGCAGGATTAGAGTTTGGATTAATATGATACATAATTTGAAAGTTTACAGTGCAAATTGTACATTTTGTTTCATTAGATATCAACTTTTACATTTTTTCAAAGTTCATATACCATTAATGTAATTAACTCATATAAAATAAAACAAAAGCAGGTAATCATAATGTTAGTAATTTTTAGGTAATTACCAATCCTATGGACATGGCTTTCCTTTTGAAATGTAAGAATTTCATGTCCATTAGGCTTATTAGAGCTGCAACAGCTGCATTGAATCCAATACTAATAATTCCTTTCTTTTTCAAGTACGATAAATTCAAAAAAAAAATGCTAAATAAATTCAAAATTATTATCATTAAATCTCACAGTAAAATTAGATATGCTTGCATAAAAAGAGAAGAAAATAAAGCAGAAATTAAGGGGAAAAAAGCGTAAAATCTATTTCGAACCAATTGGAATCAAGATTGGTGCAGTGGATTCTGAACCGTTGGATAAAAATCAACGGAGATCGGCCTTCGCTCAAATCCGCCAAGATCGACAGAGTCAACTCTGCAGAGAAACGAAAGAAACTTTGATTTTCAGTGAAACTTAACAAAAAAAAATTGGATAATTTATTGAAGATATCATTAGCGAAACCTTTGATTTTTCTCAGCAGATCGCTAGAGTGAGTGCTCAAGCGGTTTCCCTCCATGTTTTTTTTTTTAATTTTGCTGCTTTTGAATTTGAGAAGTTTAAAAATGGGAGTATTTGTAGTACGGGTCATACCCAAGTGCTGTCGGGATTGGGCTACACTTTTAAGTTTTGGGCCTTAGTATGGGCTCAAGAATAACTCATTGGGCTTCATTTGAATCTATGTTTGGGCTCACTTATAATCAAACCATTTTTTTTAAGTTTCAAACGTGGCAAGCGGTTTTTACCGTAAATCTTTAAATTATTATTTTTTTAATGTAATATTTAAATAAAAAAATTTCTAGTAAGATAACTAAACTATATTTTCCTGTATTAAATTATCTCAACTTTAACATTATTAAAATAATATTGATGTGGCACTTAAATGTTGACATAAATGATACATGCCTACCTCGTGGTCTAAATGTTACTATCAAGTATCATTTTTAAAAAATAAAAAATATTTTAAAAATAAAATATTTTTAAAAATTTTTTTAATTATTTTTTATCTTTTAAAAATTATATATGACAGTTACGTGTCATCTGCATCAATATTTAAAATATCATATTACCATCATTCTAATTATGTTAAAATGTTGAGGTAATATAATATACATAATTAAAATTTAAGTATTTGATTAAAATTTTTTTAATTTAGGTGTTATGTTAGAAATTTTTCAATAGTTGAAGGGCCAAATGAGGTATTACCTCTTTTTGAAAAGTAGTTTTGTGTATCAATTTTTGGATTCAACTGCAAAAACACGACAACACAAGCAAATGTGATGAAGAATCAACTTTGTTTCTGTATTTTCTGTCCAAAATCCTTTGAAATCGGCAGCGTAATATGAAAGACTTGAACATACTCCCATCAGCATATTAATGGCTAATATCTGCTGCGGAAACATAAATTTGTAGTCTTGTAGATTAATTTCAATCATCTTTCGTACAATTAAGAACAAACATGAAATGTAAACTTGGGATAGACTCATCAAGTGTGCATGAGAAATTTCGCATTTTGGATGTGCATGAGAAATTTCCACTAATCTGGCACATAAGCACAAAAATAGAAAATGGCCCCCTTTCACTCCAAGAGCAAATTTATATCCTTGCAACAGAAAACAACATCAGCTTGGATCTTCCAGGAACTTTCCAATGTGTTTGGAACCCAGGTTCCCTCTACTTATAGCACTTTAAATTGAATTGCAAAGTAGCTTCCCTCTGGTAAGTCTCTTCTCTCTCTATTGATCATTCCTTGGCCTGGCAGGCTGTCTTAATGCTGGGTCACTTCAACTCTACCATTGCAATGACCTTGAATGCTGCAAAGCAGGCCAAATTGTCAATGGCTGCAGGCCCTCCAACCTTAACAGCTGATGAAAATGCTCCCAAGAAAAAATGCTTTCAAAGTTGCAAAAGCAGAACTGCTTCTGTGGCTGCAAGCTGTGCTCCTCCAAGTCCTATTCGATCAGATTTCCCTGATATTAAGAATCTGGGCATGTACTTTGGTATCTACATGTGTGTTGGCACTACATGCTTTTACACTTTGAGGAACCACATCAGAGGCCATAAAACAAATGATTTCATTGATGCTCTTTACTTTTGTGTGGTGACAATGACCACAGTTGGCTATGGAGACCTTGTCCCTCACAGTTTCATTTCACAACTAATATGCAGTGTTTTCATAGCCGTGGGGATGTGTCTGGTTGGAGTAGTTGTGAAAATAGCTGCTAATTACTTGGTTGTGAAGCAACAAATGGTGCTGGTTAATGCCCTTCACATGGCTCAAAAAATCGGTCCAATGGAAGCCCTTAAGGAGATTGAAAGCCTCAAAATAAACTACATTAAGTGTCTGATATCGTTGATTGTTATGGCGGTGCATCTTGTAATTGGGATCTTTGTTCTGGTTACTGTCGAAGGAATGGACTTCACTGATGCAGTCTATTGTGCTTGTACCACCATGACAACCGTCGGATTCGGAGATGAGAGCCTCCAAAGTGAATTTGGTCGCATGTTTGGTGTAATTTGGATATCCACCGGCACTTCCTGTTTAGGCCAGCTATTGCTCTACATTGCAGAGGTGTATACCGATGTCGAAACGAGGAAATTGGTCAAGTCGATTATTACCAGCAACATTGTTGCCATGAAAGACCTGGAGTCAGCTGATAATGCTGAGAATGACAGGGTTTATGGGTAAGACAGTATGATTCACTTGATCACTTCAATAATACAATGTTGTTAATTCTTTCTTTTTTTCTTAACTTGATGTTCCTATAGGGCTGCTGATTTCATTTTATTTAAGCTAAATGAGATGGGAAAGATCAAGCAAGACGATATTGTGGCTGCCATGAAAGATATTGATGATGTGATCAAGGATCCTGGTGTTGATGATCAGCCGGATCAATCATCTCAAAAGAAGCGATGATCAATGCCATTAAGAAGAACAATTGTAGTAGAGTTTTAGAGAATATAGATCTCCATTTATCATAATTGTCAACCTTTCTCTGGTTTAAGTGCTTCTCTTTTGATGAAGCCATAAATTTGCTAAGCCACCTTGATTGAACTTTCGTACATGTAATTTTATTTGAGTAACGATGGATTTTACATCTCAAAAATTAGCGAATTCTCCTAACAACAATGATGAAACCCAAATTAATACAAGAGATATCAATATTCCACAATCCAATCTCCTTTTTAATTATAATTCCATTGTAAAGAATCAAGAGATACCAAATTTGACAAAACACAAAACGAAGGAATTAGCCACTTAATGATGATGAAATTTAGACACGATAATTTTACACGGAACATGATGGCACAATATGAAAATAATACAAAAAAAATCGTGTATAAATTTAATACAATGTTGTTTTATCTTAATCGTGTCGATATGATTAAGATACGATATTATTCATATCGTATTCGTGTCAAACAATAATGATATATTTAAAGCATGATATTGTTCATAACATAAAAAATTTTAAAAAATATTTAATTTATTTAAAAAATAAATTAATAATCACATTTATTATATCATTTTAAAATTAAATAGATTATAAATATTTAATTTTTAAATAATTTTTTTGTTTAAATATTAATTTAAATGATATTTTTATTTAAATAAATAAATTAATTATGTCTAATCATGTTATTTTTATATAATCGTGTTAATCGTGTCATATCATATTGTATTAATTGGATATAAATTAATTTTAAATTTATTAATTGTATCGTATTATATATAACATATATAATAAATGTATCATGTTTATGTTTAAATTAATTGTATTATTCGTGTATTTGTGTCGTATTTATATGTTTGTGTTAAAATTATTCGTGTCATATTTAAAATTATATTTGATACAAAATATAATACGATGATATAAATTATCTAATCTAATCGAATCAAGTCGATTTCATTGGATACCAAAAGAAGGGAAATGGTTCCATGGGAAATCACAAGAAGTAGTAGAAGCCACATAAAATCAGCAGTGTATGCAGGCACAAGAAGCAGAAACATGACTAAATGAAACTTCAAGCAATTGCAAACTTGCAAGGTAAATTGCTATAGATATAAACAAGCTTACTTTTGCCTTTTTCTCAGTTTATCCAAGAGAATAGAGATACCAGTTATCAGTTCTCTAACTTCTTAGCCTCCCACTCATATCCTACATAAAGTAAAATTTTCATGAGCCTCAGTTCTAGCTTACAACATTCAAAATGCTTCTTAATAGCAAAACAAATGACCTTCTACGTAACATCACTTCCATATGAAGGCAACCAGATAGCCCCAAGTTATAGTTAATCAGGCTCACAAAGCCATTCTCCCATGACTGTCAACTCAAACACACAATTCTCTCACATATATCTCTACAATCTGAAAAATCATATCTACCATTAAATATAAATAAAAACCCACGTATAAAAATTTGATTTTTAGCGCAATGATCCAAATTTCTCCGCATTTATCAGAATTTTCTCAGGAAACAAACAAGTTACAGGGAGAGAGAGTTATTATACCCCACTATCTTCTTGTTTTCCAGGAAGCAAAGAAAGGTTTGGGCTTTGATATTAAAGTTTTCTCTGTCCTTTTTCATAATAGTCAGCTTTGACCGCTACCACCCGAGTCAAACATAAGAACCCATGTCATTGGTGAATGGTGATGTTGGACAGGAAGATGCCTTCCCTTGCCTGATGCTATATTGACCTTGTTTAGGACACTTTGACTGCCCCTCTCTGGAAACCCAAATATTCCATTTCTTCTTTGGGTATTGTAATTTGTAAATCTGCATTTATAACCTCCTGCTCCTGCAAATCTTCCATTTTTAGACGATTTAAGCTTCATCATATTCAAATGCAGGATAGAACGCGATCAAATAACAGTTGTTAGATTATTTCAAATGCACGAGTGGATGATTAGGGTAAAGGCAGGCAACCCATGCAGAACCGGACAGAAAGATAAAAAAAACAGGACATTGTTTTTCACTTCTGTTGACTTCTGTTCTGTTTGCCTTTGAGATTAACTTTGTTCAAAATCCGACAACCATTCACATGACAAGTCACATGGTTAAGTTCTGTTTTATTTGAAGGAAATGCACTAAATGAACAGCTGAGATTTTCTAAGTTTGAGAAACATGATTAAAAGCTCGTAAGGTATAATTGATTTTGTTCTCGTTGAGGTTTTTATCAATGGAAGAAACAAAAAAAAAAATTATCCTCTGTCCACATGCATCAAGTGCTACGTACCTGTCCTGGTTTTTAGCTACTGCTAGCTGTGGATGTCCGTAAGAGCAGAGGAATAATGGGTACCTGCCATTACCAGCCAAAAGATCTCTTCAATGCAATGGGCTTCCATCATGACTTTGAAGGGCATAACAGCATAAAAATGAATTAACATCATTGCATCTTGGTGGGTTTTATTGCAGACAAAAGAAAATGGGTGAACATTTTGCCATGATTACTGGTTACTGTTGATTTTGATTATTGGCTACCTGACAAATTTGCAGGTTTTTCTTTTTTTCCTTTTTATATCCATCCAAATTTGCTAAAAACTTTATTTGTGGTGCCATTTTAGTTACTCAACTAATCAATCAAGTTACCATTGGCACTATTCTTTGTCTCTGGGGGTACTTGATTTGTTCTCACTTTGCTTGCAAAGGAAAGACATTAAAGAAAGTAAAAAGGAGCTATTTCAATCTAAAATTGAAAAGGAAAAAGAGTGAAAGAGAAAGGCCACCTTTCACCTTTACCAGTACATAATAGTTTTTTTCAATTTCATGAGTGCCATGTGGTGAACACTGTGTTGCACATGAACTTGGCAATTCCAAAGCTTTTTGACGTTACTGGAAAAAAAAAAAAGGAGAGAATCAGTTTGAGGTAAGAACAAAGCAATTAGTTTTATGGAATACATAAAGCTAATCAATTTATTTTCTGTTTTTTCGAGTAATGCTGGTGTAAGAGGTAAGAGGGTACTGATTTCACTGCAAGCAAGGTCATAGAGAAGCCCATTTCTACCCAACTCCCATCATATATCTCTTGGCAGCGCAGATCAGGTAGAAATTAAGCAGCTGATGGCATGCATTTGCTCTCTTTTCCACTTTTGTTTCTGATTCATAATCATCAGCAGAAAGACTAGAATTCCCCTTTTCCACTGAAATCTCCTTTGCAACTTTTCTTTATACAAGTTCTCTTTTATTTTTATGAGAAAAAAAAGCACCCAAAGTCATAAAAGGTACTTTTGCTCTCTTTCATTGGTCATTTTCTGTAATCTTTGATGCCATATCTTGAACATGGTAGAAACAACTGAGAATCAAATCTGTTATCCATTTTGTTTACTTTGTGTTGCACTCCTTGTTTCTTCTATTGTTTTGACTAGTTTCCTTGGTTTGGGGTTCTCTCCTATCCTTTTTACAATTCCAATCATGATTTTGTCAACGAGTTTCCTAGTCACATTCACAAAGAAGAGAAAGGTGGTTTTAGCAGAGAACCCATCTTCCAGAAAGCTGCAAGTTGAAGAGAAAATAGTAATGGAAACTGTTTCTGAATCTGGTGCTGTCCAAGAAGCTGATATTGGCATTGTGAATGAGTATCAAGTTGAATCACTAGATTTGACAACAGAAAGTGGAAGCAGTAACGAGTCAGGTTCAAGTGAAAATCTTCAGCTGAATTGGATGATTTCAGGAAATGTGGAATTACAAAATCCCGAAATCTCAGATGACTCACCTTCAGAAGATGATGAAGAAGAAGAAGGCCTCATTGAAATTGCCATCCCAAGCAATGGCTCCAATCTGCCAACTTTCTTGCCAGAATCTATTTTCAAGCAGCAAGACCTTGTTGAATTCTTGGCAGAAATGAATAATGAGGTAAATGAGGAAGAAATCTAATTGAAATTGACATTTCAATGGGCTCCATCAAATGTCCAAGGTTTGAAATTGAAGCCTAAAAATTTGATGTTAAGGGCTAAGGTTACCTTGGGAATTAAGAGTTTTCTTTATCTTTGTTATGTTAAAAAATATCATGAACTTAATTCTCTACTTTTTTTTTTTTTTTTGCTATAAAGTTTGCTTTTTATGATGAAGTTTAATGCTTTTTAGATCATGTGTAATCTTTTTGACACACGCACTATCCATCAGGCATCACAATTTTCTTTAACTGCTGCATCTTTATCTGTTATATTGCTGTTTAGCTATGCATTTTTTACAGCTTTGTTTAAAGGAGATGTACAAATGATATATTATTACTTGTAATTTATTTTAGTTCAACTTAAATAAAATTTGAATTTGATTTTATTATTATCGAGTTGAGTTCGAACTCAAATATTTTGATTTATTGATCAAGTGAAGTTCAAATATTTTTATGTTGATTTGAATAGTTTACGAACTTATTCGAATTTTTATATTTTAATATATTTTTATTATTTTAAGTAATAAAATATCTCAAACTTGAACATAAATAATTGAGTTTTTTTTAATATAAAATTTAATATTATTTTTATATTTTAATCGAATCTAATCGAGCGAATTTAAATAATTCAATTTTTATCTTAGATTAAAATCGAATTAAAAAAATAAAATTCAATCGAATTTGAATCGAATTTCGAGCTTTAAATTTTGAATTGAATTAGAGCTTAAACTTAATACTATATCTATATCTACTTAAGTTTGATCAATTATACCTTTAATTTAAAGAACAAAGTAGTTGTTGTCTAAGGTTACATTTAGAATTTTTTTTTCTTTTATTGATTGGGTTTAGCAAGTTTGCATATTAACGATTCGTTTAGCATTGTTATTGAAAATAATTTTTGTTTTTAAAAACTTTTTTTATCTAAGTATAATGGTAAATAATAAAAAAATTTGACATTTCAATTTAAAATCTTGATTTACTAATTAAAAAAAAAAAAAACCTCTTCAAAAGATGATTTTTTACAGTAAAAGTGTATTTAGAAAAAAATTTACTTCATTATCTTTATATTTTTAATATTTTATTATTTTATGAATTTTTTAAAATATTTCTGTTACTCATAAAAAATATATTTTTTTGTTACATCGTGAAAATAAAATCTTAGTACAAGTAAAAAGAAGCGAAGGAAATCTAATTCGAAACTAGGCCCTTGATGTCCCTCAAATACCTTTAATCACTAGACTAAAAGTTTGGAGACTACTCATAAAAATTTTTCACAATAATACTAATCACTTAAAATTTTTAAATATACTTGTTAAGAGCATATAATAGTCAAAAGAGAATAGTAATCTTTTTCCTTCCTTTAGTTTTCAACAGACAATCAACGTTATTTTAATCATTTGTGCTAACCTGATATATTATGTCGGTATGTAATCTCCAATGTCACTCAGCTTGACTCTATCTTAATTGTCTTTTTTTATCCCTTCAACTCACCTATAAATATGATAATTCAGACACCATGAAAAGAGATTCATCTAACTATATATTTATTTTCTTCTTATTTTTTTACTTTATTTTTTACTTGATTTTTACTAACTTACACGTCGAAATATAACATAAAAAATACTAATGCTTTTTTTTCTAACCGTTCTATCTTTTATCTTATAAAAATAATCTCTGATCAGAGCTCCAACATCAACATTTGACGCACATGTAAGTTGACGCGGACTAGCTTTTCATAATAATCAAGCACCGAATAATGCCACAACAAAAAAAAAAATCCAAAAGGAAAGAGAAACAACTATCCCGACTATAACAAAAATTCACCAAAGCCAACAACACTTTTTTTTTATCATTCTTTTTAAATGTAATTTTTTTAATTCGAATCGCAAGCTAAACTAATCCTAAATATGCTATTAAGTAAATTGTTATAACATGTGAAATGTGATTTTGCTGTAAAAATATTGGCACTTAAAACCTTTGAAATCTATAATTTTATTTCGTTATTATATTAAACTTTGCAGTTGCACGACGTTGGGAGCCTAATTTTATCTATAGCACAAATATAATCTTATTGTTTTTTTTTTTTTATGTATATATAATTATAAGGAATAAAGAATTTGTATTTTTTTTCGCTTTCATGTAGCAAATTATGAAGCATTAATATGATATAAGAATGTAAAATTTTCATTTTTCTTAATATAATGTAAAAATTAGATTTTTAGGATATTTTAATTTTAAATTGAGGTGAGAAAAAATTAAAAAAATTAAAAATTAATTTGAAACTGTAGTATTTAGTTCAATTCGAATTAATTTTTTTATTCGGTTTAGATCAAATTCGAATAATAAATATATATATTAAATTCAAATCAGATTTTAATTTATGATGTGAAAAACAAAAAAAAAAACCAAATCAAATTATATATTTATTAGTTTTTGTATGTTTTAAATTTTTATAAAATAAAATAATTATTATATATATAAATTTATTTAAATACATTAAGAATTTTATTAAAATAATATAAAAAATTTAAAATTTAAAATTTAAAGAATCAAAATGAACTAAATAAATGAAATTCGATTTAAACCGAATTGATTTCAATAAAAATCAATTTGGATTCGAATTAATTTTTATAAATTTATAATATTATATGTTATAAAAAAAATAAATCAAATCTATCCTATCGGAATTACTATCATTCTCAATTTTAAGTACATATAAAAAAAAGTAAAGCAGATCCATGACGGGGGTCCAGATTCAATTAGCCCATCAGCCTTGGTTTAAACTTTTTGATTGGGTCAAGCCCAACAGTATGGTGTACACCTTAGTCCATTTATTTTATTTTTTATTTTTAAAAATTTTGTAAATATATTTAAATTTATAAATTAACATATTAAAGTTTTTAACTGAAAATGACTAATTTTATTAGGTTATCCATCAAACTTAAATACTTATCAGATTATAAAATAAAATAAATAGACAATAATTAAAAATTTTGAAAAAATATAAATATTTTATTAATAAATTATATTTTTTGAGAAAAATTAAAATTAAATTTGTTAAGTAAAAAATACAAATAAAAAATATTTTGCAAGTGTGAAAAAAAAAACCAACCGCTAATCAGCCCACAAATTTGCTCCACAACGTAGGCCCCACCCATAACTCCCAAACTGATGGGCCCCACAACTTCCAAGATACCTCCAAAACAAAATCTCAAACCCTTGGATGAGAACCAAACAAGATCAGGACCGTCCACTACATCCCATCTCGAATTGCGCACCATTTTCTGACACTTCCCAGTCCGACGTGGCACTTAACTTAACTAAATTTAAAATCCGGGGTTTCAAGTCCGGGACTTTGAAAAAAATTGAAGCTGATTTGATTCTCAAAATTAAAAAAATTAAAAATCCTCACTTTAAAAACGCTGCTCTCTGTCAAGCTACTGAATGGTAATCAAGAGCTCGTAAATCACTGTAAGTTTTCTCTCTTTTTGTTTTTCGATTTTTCAGCTGATATTTGGTAATTAATACTGAATTTTGTATTTTTTTGGGGATTTGAGATTTTTTTTGTATGCTAAAAAATTAGGGATTTGGATGTCGAAGTTTTGAAAATTGTAATTTTTGGGGGGTTTTTTAGTGGTTTTTTTAGGGAATTTTTAGGGTTTGTTTGGCTACTGAAAAATGTGAGGAGCTTTCGATTTTTAGATTTGGGGTTTTTTCTGTGTCCAAATTGAAAATTTCATAAAATTAAGCTTAATAGACTCTGTTTTTAGCTTTGTTAAATTGGGATTTATGATTTATATTGGTAGGGAAACAAAAAAAAAATTGTGAGATTTAAAGTGTCCTTTTTTTTTTCTTAGGAACCAAACAGGGGATTCTGTTATTTATTTTGAATATTTAGATTTTATGAGTCAAGTTTGAGGTTTTCTTTTGTTTTTTAACCTGTTCAAACTCGTGTGGATATCTAATAATGCAATTCTAGCTTGAAAATGCTTTATTTTTCTTTTGTAGTATAAGGTTTTGATTGGTTCAATTCTGATTGCTTCGCTGTAGCTCAGTTCAGTTAGAGGATTTTTTTTCGTTAAGTTGAATCAATGTCCTTTGTAGTTTATATTTTTCTTATATGGAGAGTGTAACTGTTTTTCTTGGCTACAGCTGTTTGCTTATTGTGTTTCATGCGAAGCTTTGGAGAATTTTATTGTGTGTGGAAAAGAAATTTCTTTTGTTATGTGAAAAGATTGCGGTGGAACATTGGCATGCAAAATTAGTATGGCCTCGAATTTTGGAAATGTATAATGAGCCAATTCCCATTTGTTTCCAAATATATTAAGTATTATTTGAATTTTCATAGAAAAAATTTCCATATTGTGTTTTTAGGGGGGTATGGTGTTTGATGCTGACTGGTAGTGACAGTTTAATGGTTCTTTTGTCTTGAGTTCGATTAACTGTTCTATTTTATTATTTTTATAAATATTTTATTTGGTTTCTGCTGCCCTTTGTTTTTGCATTCTACAACTTTGGAAGGCAAGGGAAAGAAGTGTTGCTGTGAATTGGATTGATTATGGGTGAAGAAGAAACAAAGACTGAAGTTGAGCCAGTGGCTAATGGGACTTCACTTCCAGAGAAATCTGGTGAAACTGTAGGTGAGAAAACAGAGGTAGAAAATAATGGGGTAAAGGAAATGGAAGAAGATAAGAAAGATGATGTGAAAGTTGAGAATGAGAAGATGGATGAAGACCAACGGGTCAAGGAAGACAACAAAAGCAAAGAGGAACTGGAAAAAGAAGAAAAGGAGGAATCCAAAACTGAAGCAATGGAAGAAGAAACCGATCCAAAGGAAAGTGACAAGAAAGTTGAAAAGGAGGAAAACAAAGATGAGGTGGAGGAGAAAGTGGATGGGTTGACAGAAGAAGAGGAGGAAGAAGAAGAGAAGGCTGAAGAGAGCAAGGAGGAAAAAGGTTCAAAGAAGCGTGGGAAAGTTCAAAAGACTGGGGAGAAAGTTAAAAGGAAGACAAAAAAGGTGGAGGAGAAGAAAGAGCCAGAGCAAAGAACTCCTCTTACTGATCGCCCTGTGCGTGAGCGGAAATCTGTTGAAAGACTGGTTGCATCTATTGACAAAGATTCTTCTAGGGAATTCCGAATTGAAAAGGTTTTTTAATTTCTATCTTGGCTATCCTTTTTTTAATGATTTAGATGTTTAAATTCGCTATTTTGAAGGTCCATAGAAATTAATAGATTGCTTTGGGAATTGCAGGGCCATGGTACTCCACTTAAAGATATTCCTAATGGTGTGTTCTTTATTTCTTCTTATCTCGCTCAAATTATTGGTTGTCTCCTGTATTCTTTATATAGGCAATATCCTACAATGGTTTTGTTTCATGCTATAGTTCTAAATCTTAACAGCACATTTCTGATATTGTTGTTCATCACTGAGTTCATACTCTTTGCTTTGTCATCAAAACTTCTCAGGATGCTGCTTCTTTAGTTTAATTTTTCATGTGTCTTTCCCTTAATTATTTCCACTAAGTTCCTTGAATGTGTATTGGAATTGCTTTTCTTTTAAAACTAAATATGTTCTGGGTATTTGATATTAGTCCAGGACTATGAGTCGAGTAAAATGACATTGCTATGTCATCTTCTGCAGTGGCATTCAAGTTGTCTAGAAGGAAGACTGATGATTCTTTCAGACTGCTTCATACTGTTCTCTTTGGAAGGAGGGGGAAGGTAATTTGATTGCTGTCAAATTTTTTGTTTGTTCTATCTAGCATTTCCAATCTCTTGTTTCATCCTCTTAATTTGAGCTTATCGGACTTACAAACATGCAAAAACAGAGTCTGTAGTGACACATTTGTGCAGAAGTATGGGCATGTGTCTTTGCAAAGAAACTATACTTGGATGGTTCTGGGTTGGTGCAGAAGTACACTGCTGATTTTGCTTTCAGTTTATGAGACTCACATTCCTTTCTCTTACAGGCAGTTCAGATTAAGAGTAATATTTCCAGATTTTCTGGTTTTGTGTGGCATGAAAATGAGGTAAGAGGATTATAAAATTAAGAAGCAGAATTTTTGTTGCTTATAATTGATTTTTCTGTAGGAATTCGACTTCTCGGCTTTAAACCTTTTAGGATGTTTGTAGTTTATCTGCTAGTTTAAGATGCCTGTCTAGTTAACTTGTTTTTGTTGATATTATTCCACTATAGTAGATTCTTCTCGGGCTGATTTTATTCAACTTTTGTAATAATTGCAGGAAAAGCAAAAAAATAAAGTAAAAGAAAAGTTTGAAAAGTTTAATAAAGAGAAGTTATTGGAGTTTTGTGATGTTCTTGATGTACCAATTACAAAGACTACTACAAGGAAGGTTTGTTGATGTGCCACTGTAATATGTGCTTTAATTCTGTCCATATGCCAAGGAAATGATGTCTATTCTGTTGGTTTGATTAGTGAAGAACATTTTCATGTTAGTTAGTTATTCAACATTCATGCAAATTGATCGATAGATGTGGACGCTAAGATAGGTATCCTATTGGGTTCTTTCTCTCACCTTGTTTGCAGTAAAATGGTGGGTAGGCAAAGCATGTATGTATGTTAACATATCTATGGGTAATCTTTTTTCCTTTCTTTTTATTTTTCTTTTCTAGAAAGCTTACTTTTTGTTGTTTGCAGCTGCGAAACCCTCAGTTATGTGATTAGTTTTATTAGTTTGGAAATTGCTGAGAATTCTTTGATTGTTATAACTAATTGGCTACTATGATTGTGCTTCAACAGAAGGGTAGGGTTGAATTTTGAAGTTTTCAAAAACTCTGATTTAGGGGATGTAATTATTATAAAAAGCAGTGTTCCCACGAAAGTCCAGTGTCATTTGTATGAGGGCTTGTTAATAATATGACTTTCACAAGCCCGAATGAAATGCTAATTTTGATATTAAAGAAGTTAAATAACTCTACTGGTTGTTAATAAGATTAAAATGGACATGCAGGAAGATCTGGTTGCAAAGCTGATGGACTTTTTAGAAGCCCCTCATGCTACAACTACTGTTCTACTTGCTGAAAAAGAAAAGGTTCCTTAATTTTAACTGCAGCTTTTGCTAAAGTTCCATTTTTACATACTTCCTTTCTAACCTATAGTGTTTATATATTATCCAGTCAAGTATGGGTAAAAAGCGCAAAAGGGTTACCAAGTCTGGGACCACATCAAAGCGATCAACAAAGGTATTAGTTTCTCCTTGTTAACATCAGAAATATGATATTTGATTAACCATTGGACCTTTTTGTTAGGCCTGTCACCTGTGGTTACTATGTTTAAGGAAATACTAGTTTTCCATTCAATTAGGTTTCCTATGTGTAAATATTTTGTAGGGGTATATGAATACTTACTATTTTACATGTTTTTGGTCAAGGGACTTAGGGGTCATAATATGGTTTTACTTTTTACATTTTAGTTATTTTGTTATGTTTTTTTCCTTTGTTTTGTGTATTATTTAGAGTCGAAGAAAGAGTGAGGATACACCAAAATCAGGAAAGACGAGTACACCTGATTCGGAGGATGAGTCTGAAGAAGAAGAAAAGGAAGAGGAAGAGGAACAGAATGAAGAAGAGGAAAATGAAAATGGCATTGCAGAAAAATCTGAGGACGAGATACCTGAGGATTCTGAAAGTGAGGAGAAAAATGAATCTGAACATGAATCTGAAGAGGATGCAGGAAAGAAAAAAAAGAGTACAAGGGTATCATCCAGAAAGAAGGAATCTGTCGTAAAATCTAAAACTAAGAAAGTCACAGTTCCCAAAAGGTCTACACCTCAGAAAAGAACTCCAAAAACATCATCATCTAAAAATTCAAAGGCTAATGATGATAGTAAAAAAAGTCCAAAAGTGTCTTCAGGGAAGAAACCAGAGAAGGTCATTACGGAAAAATCCTATACACCAAAGAAATCTGCCTCCAAGGAGAAAACCAGTTAAGATAATGCTCCTCCACCCCCCTTTTATGTTTTCTTTTCTTGTTTGTACTTTTTGTTAAGGAAGCTGAAAAATAATTGCTTCTTACGGCAAAACTTGTATGATAAGCTTTTGGTTACCGAGTGTTTATAGTGCTATCTTTTCCAATATTTATTAAGGCAAAAAGGTTGTAAAGGGAAAGGACAAAGCTAGGGAGGAGAAATTAAAGCCAAGTGATTACGAACTAAGGACTACAATTTGTGAGATTCTTAAGGAAGTGGACTTTAATACGGTAAGAGCTGCTATCAATATACTACCTATAATGGTTGCATCCATTACTGGACTGTTCTTAACAGCATTTGGGTCTGGTCCTGTCTTTAAAGACTTTTTTGGTTGTGAATTAGAAAGTCAGGTTATCGGGACTTTGTGGTTCAGAGCTTACTAGGCTACCATGAATAATAACTGTAATATCCACCACGTTCATTGATTGGAAAGTTGGAATAATCTCTGATGATCATTAGTAATTTGGTCTGATTTTCTAACCACGAATCCAAACATTCTTAGCTGTTTCATTTAGTGCTGTGCTGCTAGTTATGCTTTATTTTGAATCATTTTACTGAAGAGTTAGTTTTAGAAAGATTTGGCAAAACATTGAAATGCAGGGAGGTAGCACATACTGCCTATCCGCTTAAAGTTGCCAATATGGAAATGGGCTAAAGTCTTTTCCATCAAAGTTTTGGGAATGTTTATTAACAAAGATATTGCTTTTGGTACTCACTTTTATGAAACGCGCCGTCCTTAATCCTTGTTGGTCAATTTGATTGCAAATAAGACAAAAGGATCTCAAATGTTTTTAAGTTTATCTAGATTTATGCAGTTCTATTGCAATTTCTTTTTGCTTGAAAGGAATTTGAAAATTCTTAATCTCATATTTTCATTTACTCAGATACTGGTTCTAATGTTCTTGCTTACATAAATTGTATTATTTTGTTCCGCAGGCTACATTCACTGACATTCTGAAGCTACTTGGTATGCATCTTTCTCTTTTTTATTGTGACATTTTTTTTTTCACTTATTTCAAATTCTGAAGATAAGTGGCACAACTTAGTAACCGGAACTTAAATTTGTTGCATTTCTGACCGAACTTGGGAGTTTTTTCAACTTTTGTTTGTTTGGCTCTACCTAACGAAGTATCATATTGTAATACATCTAGCGCTTAATGATGAATTAGGAAAACTGACAGTGAAAGCCTCTTTTTCAATGGTTAATTTCATACTTCGTCTGATAAGGAAGTTTTAGTAGTGGTTTACCTTCTGAATTTCTTTGTAAAATTTGAGATACGCCTTGATTTGGATTATGAAATGCTTGTTTGGGGTTGAGGGCTTCGATGTGAGGCTCTAGAATTTTCTTACATGCATGTCCTAACGGAGAGTTTGCTACCTTTCAGCTCAACAATACGATACCGACCTCACCCCAAGAAAGTCATCTATAAAGTTCATGATTCAGGAAGAGCTTACCAAGCTAGCTGATGAAGCAGATGATGAAGATGGAGAAGGGGATGCTGAGAAAGATGAAACCCAGTCCGCTGGTCAAGGGGTTGAGGCCTGACCGACAAGATGAAAAATAACTTAAATGGAAATAGTGCAGTTGTTTATGTCTTGTGCCAATATGTACTTTTAGTTGTTACTTAGAAGGTAAGCTTGTAATCTATTGTTAGTTTCTTTAACTCTTTTTGTTGAGCAAATTAGCATTTATCAAATACTAGAGGAGCTGCCCACCTGTGCTGCAGGGTTGCAGCTTGATATGTACACTATTAACATAATCTGTAGGAATTTTCCTATCTGAAAACTGAGTATTTTGAATTACAGAACTCTTTTTTTTTTTTTTTCCCTCTGTAATGTAAACCCTGGTGGCATACTTGATCACTGAGGTGTGCTTTTGCTCATGTTACTTTTTCACTGAATGATTTTTTTAAAATTTTTTATTTTATTTTTTATGTTTCTTTGATCCATTTGGATCCAGTACTGCACATTGAACATTTGAACTGACAGTAGCTTGTGCTATCATCCTTGCATTCTGTGCAATAATAACATGAATTTCTGGAAAGTTGGTCCATTGGATTTGAAGAGTAACTGATTGCTGAGTTGGTTTTCAGACCCCGTGTCCTTGACAGAGCTTGATTTGTTTTGATGTTTTGGAGCCATACGATCATCTCTCGATTTCCGTGGATAAATTTTTTAGATAATACATAATTCAATTTAATATTTTTTATTTTTCACTTTTCATTTCGATATATATATTTAATATTTAAATTTAATTTAAATTAAATAAAAAAAATTATTCAAATCAAATAAAATATTATAATCTTGATTTTATTTTCGATTTTCCCGATTCTCTCTTACCCAGACTCATGACCAATCACCATATTCATTAATTGTTGAAAATTTCCCAAGCTTTTGCTTGATATTAATCTTGTTGATCTATTATCACATCTTTAAGAAAATAACATTGAAGACATATGACATTTGGCACTGAAATTATTGAAGTTTTCAATGTCAATAATATTGCAAAACCATGATTTGCTTTGGTTCCTTCATTCTGTGGGTACAGTAATAATTATGTTAAAGTCAATTCGAGCATTTCTAAAGAAAAGGGCCGACTAAATTCATTCAAGTTGCAAGTCTTAAATCATGATTATAATAATTAATTTATGTCTATTTAATGCCAAATTGGAGTTAAAGCAAAGTTGCTCCACTAATTAGTGGAGCACTCATTCACTCTCTACTCATCAATTTCATAAAGCCAATTTATAAAACAAAGCTTAAATTAATCAAACAAGAATACCAATCGGTGCATGTGTCACGTTAAGCATTTTAAGAGAGAAGATAAAATATATTTAAATATAAAAATTTGTATATTCATATCATATAAAATAATATAATTAATATATTCATATCGTATTTTGTACGAAAATTATATATTATAATTTGTGTCCACCAAAAAATATAAAATATATATTTTTAATTTTATTAAATCTAGATATAATTATTGCTAAAATTTTAAATTATCACTTTCATATCTTATATTTATATTATATTCATATTGTATCACTTTATCATATTTTAAATTATTAGATTTAAGTATATTAATTTGAAATATAAAAAGAAAATAAAAGGCTACAAATCTCAATAAATTAGTTTTGTCAAAAGAGAATAATAGTCATTTTGACACATTTTTTATCTTATATACTAATAATAAATCTTTGCTAACAATTGAAGCTATCAATTGAAGTTTGGATTATTATACATTTTTTTCTCTTATTTTTAGGTTATTATTTATTATGTATATAAAATTAGATTAATTGATTAAATGGGTTTTTAAGGAAAAGGATAACCCTTTAAAAAAAAAAAACATAATGAGAAGAAAAAAAAAAACCTATCAAATACCTTAAGGAAAAAAGGGACATGAATTATTAAATCCAAAAAATTTAATGACATTAAAAAAAAAAAAAAAGACAATTGAAAAAATTGCAAATTTGCTATAAACATTAGTATTATTAGAAAATTAAACTCCTTGAAATAAACAAGTTATTGAAAGATTAATAATAAGCATGGGTGTTAGGCAAAAAGTCAAAACCCAAATCACTTTAAAAATATTATTTAATAATAATAAAATTATTATTATCTAAGATATTTTTTTAACCATCTCAACTAACCATATGACTTTGGGGTGGACGTTTAATTATATTTTAATTTTAATAAATTAATTATTTTTATTTTACATTATTTTAATGAAAAAATAATAATTTAAAATAAGAAAAAAAGATTTATTTTCGTCCATGCAAACGAGATACTTATCAAGAAAGAACGGTCTAAAATGAACCACGTAGCATTTGTGAATAGTATTTTAAAAATTTTGCTTACGACTTTTCGTTTTTGTTTTCCTTCAAGTTGGAATTTGTTATTCGTAATTTTAAATTTTTATAGCTATATGGTTGTAATAATTAACATTTTATGTTTGGAATTAGATGAATTACTGTAATATTATTTTTTATTTTGAAATTAAGTTACGAGATTTTAATTAATTATTATATATTCTTTTTGTTTCAAAATATTTATCATGTAATAATTTTTATGAAATTAAAAAGAATTTTTTGTTTTTAATGTATTTAACATTAAAATTAAATTCTTTTATAAAATTAAAATTTTATAATTTTTAAAGTCAAAACATAAAAAATTTTTCACTTTGACATTAAGAGCACTAGACAAAAAATCACATTACGTGAACATCGACAAAAATTATGATAATGCTTTGTTTTAATTAAACAATCAGATACCCCTTATCCGTATCAGTTCTGAGTTGATTGTTCGTCGCTTAAGGAAGGCTCCCAAGGGAGTCATTCCCAATCCTTCCCTCGGTCGACACCCAACAACCGATTCTTATAATAAAAGCAGCTCGAGTAGTGCACCGACAGCAGATGAGTTTAGGATTGATACAAATTATTCAAAAAAAATTTTAAAAAAATTTATAAAATATAATTTTAAAATATTAAAAGTAATATAAAATTAATATATTCTTAAAAAAAAAAGATAAAGAATATATAATATGTATAATTAACTTTCAAATTCATAGATCAAATATATGTCCCATTATAACTTGAATTTAAATGATTTTTACTACTAGTTTTTTTTTTTTTTTAATGTAAATTAACTTTCATCTTCTAGAAAAATGTATGTATTCTATTTATTATATTGATGTTAATATGTGACAATTTTGGGTAAACAATATGTCAAATTTTCATCATATATATATTTATTATTTTTTTGTCTTATTTTTCTTGTTAATTTATTATTAAAATGTTTTTAAAATTTGTTTTTTAAATATCTAAAAGTCTTATTTTAATTGAATTTTTTTAACCTTTTGTCATTAAAAATCATATGAAAATAATTGTTTAGAAAAAATAAAAATTTAATATTAACTATACTAAAATCAAAACTTTTTTTTTAAATTCAATAAAAATAAACTTGGAACAATAGAAAGGAAAGTTAAGAGTAAACAAGATATATAAATATGGCTTCAATAAAAAAAAAAAAAGTATTAGAATTTGTATGAAAGTTAAAATTTAATTCAGACCTGAAAATGAAAAACCTCAATGTCTCTCTTAATTTCTCAGTCAAGATGAACACTATATATTAAGATGCCAAAAACAGCATAGCTCCCTTCCTTGACTTCTAGGGCAACAGTCATCACTTTAAATCAACCTGCTAACTTGTTTTTTTTTTTTTTTTTTAATTATGTAAAGTGATAATATTTGGAATCGAATTAAATTTGATTTAGTTTTTTAAATAATATATAATTTTATAAATTTTATAAATTTAATTTAAATTTAAATTATTTTTTTAATAAATTTGATTTTAATCGAATTTTATTGATTTAATTCTGATTTATTGATTTTTAAATTTAAAATTTTTTATATATTATTTTAATATAAATTTTAATATATTTAAATAAATTTATATATAAAATAATTATTTTAATTTTATAAAAATTTTAAAAATATATAAATTAATAAAATATATGATTTGATTAGATTTTTTTTCATAATTTAATATAAAATTAGACTCAAATTTAATATATATATTTAATATTCAAATTTTATTTAAATTAAATAAAAAAAATTATCGGAATAATATAATTTTAAATCAATTTTTTATCTTTTTTAATTTTTTTCTCGTCCCTCACTATATCCAACTTCTCTCTCTTCCACAGTTTTATCACTATCAAATTCCAAATCTCTTTAGGTCAAGTCATAAACTCAAGATCTTTTTCATTATAACAAGCTTCCAGACCTACCCCATGAACGGTAAACCCTTCTCTCTCACTCTCTCTCTGTCCATCCAAGGCTCACCAAAAACCCCACTAAAAAGCTAACAGAAGAGAGAAAGCCTAGTGGTATATATTCAACTTAAACTACTCGTTTTCACTGCAAAACCCCCATATTCCAATACCCTTTTAAGCGTTTCCTCCATATATGTTGTAGTAAAGAAAAAGCCATGGCAGACTCAGACAGTGAATCGGGAGGAGCTCAAAACAACGCTTCAAACGCAACAGGGAACAGCGAGCTTTCCTCCCCCAAAGAGCAAGACAGGTTCTTGCCTATTGCTAACGTGAGCAGGATCATGAAAAAAGCTTTACCTGCTAACGCCAAGATATCGAAGGAAGCTAAAGAAACGGTGCAGGAATGTGTGTCTGAGTTCATCAGCTTCATCACAGGAGAAGCCTCTGATAAGTGTCAGAAGGAGAAGCGGAAGACTATCAACGGTGATGATCTGTTGTGGGCCATGACGACGTTAGGTTTTGAAGAGTACGTGGAGCCCTTGAAGGTTTACTTGCAGAGGTTTAGGGAGATGGAAGGGGAGAAGACCGCGGTGGCACGTGAAAAAGACGCTCCTCTTGCTGGAGGCGTCGGTGGCAGTGGTAGTGGGATGTATGGGATGATGGTACATCAGCATCAAGGACACGTGTATGGTTCGAGTGGGTTTCATCAGATGGGTAGTGGGTTGGGTAAAGGTGGGCCTGGGAATAATTTGGGTGGGCCGAGGTAGTTCCTCACCTGTCATCATCATGACACGTGTATGGTTGTTACGAAATTGATAAAAAAATCTGGCTTGGTAATGGTTGGGCCTACTGGAAATTGGATATACCCAGGTAGGTGTATCAGTGGGTACACGTGTAAGCTTTAGGTGATTTGGGCAACTTGGGCTGAAGGGTAGGCCTCTTAGGATTATGTTTTTTGTCTGATATTGTGTACTTCCCTTGGAAATATACAATGAATTCCTAATTTTTTGTTGTCTTCCGTTGGAATTCTTTCGTTCACTATAAATTTTAATGGAAATTCATGGCCATATTAAGCACGTTATTAATTGAGTGATGAACCGATGGACTTAGGTTTTGATTTTTTAAAAGTCAAATTGCATTTTGGTATTATTATTTATAAATATAATAATTTATATATTTTTATTACGTAAATTATTAATAATTTATATATTTATATAATAATTTATCTTTTTTAGTATAGTAGTTAATAGTTAAAAATTAAGTTAAAAGTCATATAAGTGAGGATTCAATCCCGTTATTTTTTTTCTTTTGTAAGGGTATTAGCTTTTTTTTTTTTTTTTTTAAATATTTATATAATTTTTTATATAAAAAATTATGTAACATAATTTGTTAAGATATGAAAATATAAAATATTTTTATTTAATTTTATTAAATTTATATATAATTTATATTTATATTTATATTTTTTATTAATATTATTTTGTATAATATTATTATATTATGTTTTAATTATAAAATCTAATTGCAAATAAGGTTTACTGTTGGACAGTTAGGTTGTTCCAATAAATTCGTATATAATTAACTCGAGAGAATTGGATAAGGCTTTGTGATCGCTCAAGAGCAGGGACACAAGCAAGTTATGCTACTCGTAAGTTAAACTCGAGCCTAATCAAGTCTACTGAGCCGTGCTCGAGCGGCTCAATTAAAGTACTTCACTTTTAACGCAAAAGAGAGCTTCGTTCTCGACTACGCGAAAAGGCGAAAGTTTCTTCTTCGAAATATTTCGGCCATTAGCATGTTCACGAACGGCTTCTTTCGCAGTAAACGGCAATCCTTTGCCGGTAACCGTCGCGTTTTGAGGTTGGTGCGTAACATTTTAATATTATTTCTCTCATTCCCGTTTGATTACCGAGAAAATGATACAAAATGAAAATTTTTATATCCGTGCTTGAAGTTTTTTTTTGGCCTAATGGAATTAGTTTTATTAATCGAAGATCTGATTGGAACCTTTGATTTTATGAGAAAATTTTGGATTTTTCGTATCTTTGAGCTGTACATTGCAGTTAATGTTTCCTGGAAAAGTGATTGTCTCTGTTCGTACAAGTTCCTGCTTAGGTTGCTTGGATTGTGATGATGGAATATCACTTAGTAAACTTAACGAATTTAAAAACTTTATGGCTTTTTTTTTTTCTTTTTTCTTTAGCTGTTTTTTAATACCTTTCCCTGATGTAGAAGTATTGATATCTTGAAGAACGGATGCTCGAGAGAAATCATGATCTACGATACTGGAATCATCAAAATGTAAGAGGGTGCCTATTGTTGTAATGATGCCTATGGATGCAAAATGATTTCTTGGACTTGCTTCCAGTAGTTAGTATACTGTTTCTTTAAAAACAAAGCTCATGTTTCTGGTTGTGACTGAATTGGAATTATCTTCTAGTATAGTGAAGTGAGCATGTGTTTTTGTTGTGTCTGAATAAGTGTTCCTCTGTTCTGTGTTACTTCTTCTTCATATTCATTTTAGTTTTCCTGGAAAATGATTGTCTCTGTTTGTACAAGTTCCTGCTTGGGTTGCTTGGATTGTGATGATGGAATATCACTTAGTAAACTTAACGAATTTAAAAACTTTATGACTTTTTTTTTTCTTTTTTCTTTAGCAGATTTTTACGACGTAACATGATTCCCTTTTTGGCCTTTCATACAGCCGACCCCAGAGTTATGGGATATAAGTCTTAATTTGTTGTTGTTGATTTCGCTGATGTAGAAGTATTGATATCTTGCAGCATGGATGCTCAGAGAAATCAAGATCCATGATACTGGAATCATCAAAATATAACAGGGTGCTTATTTTCGTAATCATGCCTGTGGATGCATTCGCTCTTGATGCCTCTGGGAGTCCAAGAATTAGAAAGTAAGGTTTTGGCTTTAAATCTGCTTGATTATCAATATATCTTATGGTTTAGCATTCCTAAAAGAGAGGTAGACTCAATGCGTTCTTCATACTTATCCCATATAAGGAGAATATAACCACCTTTGTCCTAACTAACATGATCATTTAATATGTTCTTTTTTTTTGCTTTTGTTATCTTAAATCTTGGAGATTATGCCTTGTTTTGCTTTTGAAAATAAAATGGTTTTTATTTTGGCCCTTGTTGTTGCAGAGTCAAGGCCTTATCTGTATCTCTAAAAGCACTCAAGTTGGCAGGTGTTCATGGAATTGGAGTTTGAGGTCTGGTGGGGAATAGTGGAGCTTTTTTCTCCTTTTGACTACAATTGGTCTCTGTATGAAGAGCTTTTTAAATTGATATCTGATTCAGGTCTGAAGTTACATGTTGCTTTGTTTTTCACTCAAAGATTCACTCATCTAATGGAAAAGGGGGTGTGTCTTACACTGTGGATTTTAGAGGTTTGCCATTTACTTGTTACACTGCTATGTGGTTGCACACTGACTTGTAATTGCACAGTTGATTTATGGTGCTTTTAACTGTTTGCACTAAAGGTTTTATTTTAGTGCAACTTATCAGACTGGTAGGAATCTTGCCATCCAATCCACCAACATTGATGTAATAAATTAGGACGGAAAAATGTTATTTATTTTTCCTCAACTACCAATCCCGTGTGCTGGGTGATCTACTATTGTAAGCCTGTAAGTAAGACTGTATTCAGCCTTCCAATATGTATGAAGCTGCCCCAGTGAAAAGGTTACCTAATTAGAAATATATAAAGGGGACCTTATTTACATTATGGTTATTTTAACTGCTAATGTACTGCTAACTAATACATTTTTTGCTCTCAGATTGGTGATGTAAATAAAGATTTATACTATCGAGATCAACATGGCTTCTTCAACAATGATTATCTTATGCTAGGGGTGGACCAAGTTCCTCTGTTATCTGGGCGGACTGCCCTCCAATGTTATGAAGACTTCATGCTTAGTTTTGTTAACAAATTTGAATCCTTTATTGGAAGTGCAATGGAAGAAATAAGCATTGGTCTTGGTCCTTCTGGAGAGCTTACGTACTTTATGGTTCTTATTTCATTCTTTTCCCTCTTTGTTAAAACTGTGAAGTTATTGCTGAAACATAATTATGAAGCCATTGCATGATTTTCTTAGTGCTGGTATCCGGCTCATCCTTTGGGTGATGATAGATGGAAATTCCTTGGCATTGGTGAATTCCAGTGTTATGATAAGTACATTTAGGTGTAAACCTTTTTCATCCTTTGATGGAAACTCAGTTGTTTCAGTATTCTCTAGATAGTTTTGCATACAGGATGGAGGACTTAAAGATGGCTGCATGCCTAGAAGGAAAGCCTCAATGGGGGTACAGAGGCCACAGAATGCTGATTGTTACAACAGTCTTCATTCAGGGGTGCCTTTTTTTGAAGAGGGACAGGGAGGCTTTCTATCTGATTATGGCCATTTCTTCCTGGTATGTATGCTTTATCTGTAATATTTGCATACCAGATTTATGTCTGTATATTGTGCAGATTAATATTCTACAACATTCATGTGCTATCTCTATCTGTGCTGCTACAATACATTAACTGAAAAGGACTCAAACCATCCATTTGAATTTAATGCATTGACAATATATTGCAATACAGAAGTGTGGTACTGAGATAAATGATGGTCATAGTGATAGGTTATTATCATTACAACATTTTTATTTTAGAAGTTACTCATCTACTAAAATGGTAAGATATGGGGTAGAGCTCCTTCTGGTTGGTGTTGTTATTTCCTTATTAGTAGCTATCAAATCATTTCAGAAATTATCAAATATCTGTTTAGACCAAGGTTGCTCATAGTCATAGATATATGTTAATTGGGGAAAGTGTGTTTTGCTTATAACATCATGTTTTCAGAAATCCAGTGTGCAATACCCTGCCGCACATTAAACATGATTATAGAAACTTAGAATCTAAAAAAACTGACTTTGGGATGATCTTTTAAAGGAATGGTACAGTGGTAGGCTGATTTGTCATGCAGATGCCATTCTTGCAAAGGCAGTAAAGATACTGAAAAAATACCAAGAAAATGAGCAAACTTCTGTTATGTTGGTGGGTAAAATTGGTGGAGTTTATTGGTGGTACCAGACTGTATCACACCCTGCTGAACTTACTGCTGGTTACTACAAAACTGCTCTCTGGGATGGTTATGATCCAGTCATCTCAGTGTTGTCTCACTATGAGCTGCTTTGCATATTCTGTGCGAATTTCATCTCTATTTAGTTCATTTTTTTAATCTTCTTCTTTACCTAGATAGGTTTCTGTTTGGTGGATTTCTTTAATCCAAAAACTTTTCAGCACAATGCATTATTCATTTAATGACTGAAAACAGTTTGGTGCAATATTTGGTGTAAATTGATACTTGACTGAAAAATAGAGTGGACTGATTGACATACAAGGCTGTGAATCTCCTGGAAAACCGACCTTGTGAATCTCCATAATAAAAATTTATTTTATAGAAAGTTTGAAACCAATTTGATTCTTTCTTTTTGCAGATTGATTGAATCTTGAGGTTAAAATTTACAAGATGAAGTATGAGATTTTTAGGGAGTAGCAAGCATCAATATTATTTGAAGTTTGCCTTGTTCTTTGTTGAAGTTCTATGCTATTTCATTGTGTCCCTCCTCTTATCTAAGTTTGTGCATGTATGATGGTTGTAGATTATAGATATTTAGTCATTTCCTTCCTGCATTTTCATTTCTTTAACTTCCACTGCAGCTGCTTAGAGATGATGGACAGTGAAACCCCACCAACGTATATTCGCAGTCCTGAAGGATTACTGAAACAGGCATGAGTTATCTCTTAATTGACAAAATTTCTTTTCTTCTTTGATGTTGAAATTTGTGAATTTTAGTCCAGGAAATTTTTACTGCTTAAATCTACGAAAAATACTTGATTGGCCAAAAAACAAAATCTACAAACAGTACTGTTCCTTTCCCTGAATTTATTTTTGTAATTGATTAAATAAGTTTATGTGTATATTCAACGATTGTGATGTATTTTGACATTTCCTTTCATGCCTATAATTTGATGCTACCTTTTATTTAGCTGAATATGTTTACATGTGTAGCCTCTCAGGTATGTCCCCTTGAAAAAGAAAAAACAAAAGATAATATTGTTCATTTGTAATGAGTGAACCTGATTCCGTGTACTTTTTCAGGCTTTATGGGCTACACCCCCTGGTGCCTAACAGATAAAAAGAAAAAGGGAACTGAACTAATATGTTTTATTTATCATAATCATTGTAACCCTTAAAACCTAATTCCTTTCCGGACATCTGGTATAAGTATGAAATTTCATAAAAGTTTCTCCTGGGATACAATATTCCAAGAAACAATTCTGTTTTCACCTTCCTTCTGTACTGCCCATAAGGACTTGGTTGTAATATGTGACAGATATAGAGGACACATCTTGTTGCCTGTTACAAGGAAGTTAAATGAGGTTCTTTAAGACTATATGATATGCCATTTAACAGCTAAAGAGTGTGAATATCAGATACAACTTGTCTCATTCATGTACTTCTCTTGTGACAAAGCCTAATTTCTTTGACCTTTTGAGTTTCAATGCTGATAAAGTCTGTTTCAAAGAAAAGGGTAATTAACTTGATTGGAAGAAATACAACCGAACAACTTGATGAGGTAAATATCATTCTATCTTAACACACTCTTGTCTACCTTTAGTTTAATAATAAGCTTTTGTAATTTAATTGTTTCGTGGCAATGACTAGTATGGCACTTGTGATGGCTTTTAACTCTCAGGTTTCACAATTATTTTATAGCTTTATCTAGTTTAGTTGTCTATAGTTTTCCTAACGATTATTCAGCCCTTTCCTTTTCTGTTTCCTTTTAATTTTTTTTCCAGTATTTTCTTTACTAACATAACTCATATTTTCTCTCTCTCTCTCTCTCTCTCTCTCTCTTAAATTCTTGCAGACTGGACTATGGAAAACCCATTCAAACTATTACAATCCCCGAGCAGAAGTTGTAAGATCATTTACTTATTTCAGAATGAATGATAGTATATTTAGGGTTGAAAATTGGAATAACTTTGTACTTTGTCAGAATGATGAGCACAGATTTGTAATATACTATTGCAAATGTCTAACCATTTTACTAAGCTAATTAAGATCTCCCTGCCCCTACCTTATTTTTTTTTCCTGACTGGAGGACAGCGGGGGAATTGCAAAGGCTTTGTAGCCTTGTCATATATCTAGTTATACATCCTTACATCCTCATTCAGTCCAGCTTTGAAATTTTTTATGATGTTGGAAAATAAATCCAAAAAATAACAAAAGGTTCATCTAAATTTGAGAAAATAAAATGCATTAAATAGTAGAAATTTGGTTGGCTAGATATTAACATCCGTGGCCTATTTGGCAACTTAGAGTTCCAGCATACTTAGCCGTCTTTGTTAGAAGTGACGTTGGTTTTGCCACCATGCTTGATGCTTTTATGTAACTTTCTGGAGCTTCTTCTCCAGAAGGTGTGAAAAAAGCACCATTGAGCATCGTATCTCCTTCTGATCTCCAATTCCAGTTCTTCCACTCAGTATCTAATGAGCTTTCACGCTTTGTCACCTGATTAAAAAATAAATTATTGACAACACATGGAAGCTTATGGAGTACATTTTTGAAGAGATTGAGGTACATGATTTTCGAGACTTAGGTTAGTTATTTTAGGAGAAAGATTCCAAAGAATAGCAACCTTTTTAAAAGTTTTTGCTTGTCTTCTAGCTCTTTTATGTTCTTAGGCCATGTTGGGCTTGCTATTAAGGCACTTTGGAACAATTGTTTATTTTGCTATTGGTCAATCAACATATTCTTTCTATGTGGTGGTTAATACGAAAATACCAAAGTTTCTTCTTTCTGTAGCCCTAATATAATGGTTGATGCTAGCATAGCTACATTTGGGTAGAGAAACTTGCCTCCTTTGAAGCATTGTTATCTGATGCTATGAAGGCATTCCCTTGGCTATTGATTGTAGGGTTTGCACTTCCGCCAATTGCATACATCTTCCAACCATTGTATACATTATTAACAATGTGAAAATACCCATGCCTGCATCTGAAACATTTTGGAAGTATGTTTAGAAACCATGTTTAGAGTTTTTATAGGAATTAGTATCGATAATGAAGCATTTATAATGCTACATGTGTGTGCATAATGCCGTAGGTGAATGCTACCTGGGCATTCTCTGAACCAGGCCTTCACCAAAGTAATTGAAGGCAATTGTTACTTGCATGTTCTTGTCATCAAGGAACTCATCACTATGACCCATAAGCATTACTTCGTTGTGATGTAGCATATAGTTGTTAGAGATTGTTATCGATGTTGAACCATATGTGGCATCAATAAGCCCGTCATAACAATTTGCAAGTGTGCAGTGATCAATCCACACATCCCTTGAGGCAAATATTGAGATCCCATCCCCATCAGATCCACCACTTATTGCAAATTGGGGTAAAGGGTCCCACACTGTGGATCCTGAAGGTATGCAGTCATGTATGTAGATGTTATGTATGATTATATTACTCACATTACGTAAGGTTATGCATGGTCCATGTGCTATTTGGATATCATATCCTCTTCCATCGATGGTCTTGTCTGAGTTGATCAGGAGTTGTTCTCTTAGGCTTATGACCATGTCATGATCAAAGATGATCCATAGAGGTTCTTCTTGAGTGGCTGCATGACGTAGTGTTCCCGGAGTTGGCTGTAATGGATCATCATTATCAGAATCTGTGACTACATAAACTTCACCATCTCGACCCCCAATGGCATTTTTCCCGAACCCAACTGCACAATCAGCCAGCCTTTTCCGGTTGGTGTCCCATTCAGGGTCACACCTCCAGCAATCATCTATAGGGTTACCAGTTCTGCATTCTTTCATATCCAACTGCCTTCTTGTTGAATCCCTGTTTATATGCCATTACATAGCATAGAAACTTGTCAGAAGTCAGAAAAAATGAGCTTTAAAAATAAAGAATTTACGAAATTCAAGAATTTTAGACCATTATGTTGACAATCAAGCTCCTCCAGAGGGGCTTTACCTTCCTGCAGCTTCTGATATTTGTTGTGGTGGATGTCTGGAGAATGTTGGTGCAGCATGTAAGAATATGACTAGGGAAACTAGGTAGAAATAGAATCTTGTCATCTCAAGCAAAGGGAAGCTTTTGCTAAACTACAATAGAGCAATGACCCAAAGATCTGGGTATTTATATTTATATAAAAGGAACATTGCATGATTTTAAATTATGGATCCAACAAAACAAAACCCTAGGAATTGAATGGTGCTGTAAAATGCTGGTTAGTTTTTTCACGTGGGTAGCTGCTCTGAGGGAAGTAGTTGGTGGTCTAAAATTTCCATTTTGATTAAAAGGTGCTGCCTTAGTGTTTGTTTACAGGGAAAGGAAGGACTCGAGCAGCCACTCCAGTAATGGCGACCGAATAGTTAGGTTCATATGGCTGCTTTTTTCAGCGGTTTTTGTAGGCTTTACTTGGTCTATCCTATATGTTTTGCGAAACCTCTTTTAGCAGAAAATTTGTCGGTTGCAAAGGATCCAGAATTTATTGTAGAGAAAAGTGGTTGCATCCCAACTCTTATTCAATAGAAAAGAGTACATAAAATCTTCGACATTCCCCATCTTAGGTAATAAGGACAAATGTAGTGCAGCATCTTTCATTTGGGTTCAACTTGTCCGCATAAAAAAAAAAAAATTTAGAGATCTAATCCTTTATTTATAGTACAAATTTGTTACCTTAAATTACATGCTAAGGGTTTTGCTTATGTTACCCTAAAAACTTATTTTGCCATCTCAATCACACATTAAAACCAATTGCCCATAATTCAAGAAGTAGATAGCTAAAGCTTAGAACAAAATTTAGGGATGAGAAAAAAATTGAAAAAATAAAAAATGATTTGAAATCGTAATGTTTGATTCGAATTGATTTTTTTTTATTCAAATTGAATTAAGTTTAGATTTAAATATATATATATATTATGTTTGAATCAAATTTCGGATGGAAAGATAAAAAAAGTTTAAAAATATTGAACTTAATGATATATTTTACGTAAGTTTTATATATTTTTTTAATTTTTATAAAATAAAAATAATAATTTTATATCAAAATTTATTTAAATATATTAAAATTTTATATTAAAATAATATATAAAAATAAAAAATTTAAAAATTTAAAAATTAATAAATAAATTTGATAAAATTTAATCCAATTCAATTCAAATAGTATAAAGATTTGATTTGAATTCAAATTAAATTTTAAAATTTTATAAAATTATATCATATTTAAAAAATTAAATTAAATCCATCCGTCATAATCCCAATCAAAAACCCTTTTTTTACCACATAAAATGTTGACAACAATAGCTCTTTAACTATTTACCTCCCTAAAATACCTATTCAATTTTTCATTAATCATTTAATTATAATCATTACATGATTCTAATAAATAATAATAACAATTAGTGGCAGTAGTATAAAACGGAATCATTTCTCTTCACAAGTATATAATGTTGGCAAATTTTCGGCAAAATTTTCTCATTTTTCCTCAATGAAGTAGATATTCCTAGTCAATCATAAGGCAATAACCAACGCCTTACATATCTTTTTTTTTCCTCCTTTCCCTTCCTCTCTGAACTTTGCTTCTGCTTTTCTGCAAGATCTTCACTTTTTACATCCAAAACGATTCAAAGCAGGATGCTTTTATTCAATCCTCTCACTTTACAACCAACTCTAACCTTATCTCCAAAAACCCATTACTCCCCTTCACTTTCATATCTCAAAAAGCACACATCTTTTTTCACCGTACCAAACTTTCCCAACAAAGGAAATAACCCAACAAGAAGAAAACTTTTCATGGTCCAAGCTAAAGGTGATGACTCAGCTGATGGTCCAGACAGGCTGATTTCAGCAATATGTTATTTTTATCCTTTCTTTGATGGCATACAATATGGCAAGTATGTTATAACACAATTCTCTCCAATTCAAGTGCTTATACAACCACTTTTCCCAGCTATTAAAGTGTTCAAAAGCTTTCCCTTAAATGGGTTTTTAGTGTTTTTAACTTTGTACTTTGTGGTTGTTAGGAATCGAAATTTTAGTAGGTATGTGAGGTTTAACACTATGCAGGCAATCGTGCTTGATGTTTTGTTGATATTTCCTGATCTCCTGGAGAGGAGTTTCAATCCAAGAGATGGGTTGGGTTTGGATTTGGTGATGAGCCTGGATAGCACTGTGTTTTTGTTCCTTTTGGTTTGTTTGATTTATGGTTCATCTTCTTGCTTGTTCGGGCAGTTACCAAGATTGCCAATTGTTGCTGAAGCTGCTGATAGGCAAGTTCTTTGATGGCCTTTATTTGGTTATTGATGTTTAAATTGAGATTTAATTGTTAGAAATTTTGGCATCTGGATTTAGTTGGCCAAAAGAGAAGCAAGATATACATCTTTTAGATGCTTTCATTATTGTTTTATGTTCAATTTAGTTTCTCATTGTTGGTTTTTATGTTCAATTTAGTTTCTCATTGTTGGTTTTCTGTCTCTCTCTCTGGTTTTAAAGTTGGATAAGATTAGTGGAATTGTATATTGGCAAATTTGCTAGCTACACTGCTAAACTGGGAATGATTTGCAAATTAAGTGGTTTATTTCTTGTTTCATTTGGCATACTCTGAAAATGTGCAATGAGTTCCTTGAGCATTTTATCCTAGTCCAAGGGCCAGCTGTAGTTCACATTTCACAATCCACAAAGATTAGGCCATTTCCTATATAGATTCTGGCTATTTCATTATTGCTTTTTGTTAGATTTGCTGTGGGAGACTAAAACCCTTCTCCATTCTCCTTTAAGATAAAATTGAAACACAGTTTTGGGCATTTTGCCATTCAATATGATGACCCGAAGCTTTAAACCATTGCAGTTGCTGATAATCTGATATAATTTAACTAATTAAAAACAAATCCAAGCATGCTTAAACCCCCAAGATATTGGGAGCTAGAGAGGAGATTTCAAGTTTAATGCTCTAGTTTATTACTCTTGAAAGGTGCATCCATTGAGAAGAACCATCTGGCGTCCGATATAATATCAAATAAAGCTTGGGTGATTTCTGTATTTTCAGTTTCCTCTGCTATGTTATTTCTTCATCTTACAACCTTTCCTTTGGTTTCTTGTTTCTATTTTGTGATATGCAATTGAGCTTAACTGAAGAGAAATTAAATACATTATACTATTATTTTATTTTTTTAAACGAGGAATATATAATAAATCATAGATGAAAATTTAGGATTAAAAGTGATAATAGTTTGGATTAAATTTAATTCGTTTTTTTGATAATATATAAAATTATATATTTTTAAAATTTGATTCGAATTTGAATAAAATTTGAATATAATTTGAATCAAATCCACCAGTTCAGTATAGCAATTTTTTAAATTTAATTTTTTATATATTATGTTAATATAATTTTTAATATATTTAAATAAAATTAGATATAAAATAATTATTTTATTTTATAAAATTTTTTAAAATATATAAAAACTAATAAAATATATAATTTGATTTAATTTTTTTAATATTTAATTTTTTGATTTAAAATCTGATTATATATATTTACTAATCGAATTTAATTCGAATCAACTAAAAAATTTAAATCAAACGAATATTGCTGTTTTGGATTGAATTTTTATTTTTTCAAAAAATTTCACTTCTAACCCTAATCAATGTATATAATTTGATTTAATTTTTTTAATATTTAATTTTTTGATTTAAAATCTGATTCGAATTTAATATATATTTACTAATCGAATTTAATTCGAATCAATTAAAAAAATTTAAATCAAACGAATATTGCTGTTTTGGATTGATTTTTTATTTTTTCAAAAAATTTCACTTCTAACCCTAATCAATGTAAACATTAAAAAATATATATATTTAAATTAAAAATTTTAAAATATATTTATTTTAAAATTATTTATTTATCATATATTATCGTTCAAAATAAAATACATTAACAATAAAAATAATATTAATTAATAACTTTAAATTTTAAATACACATTAAAAATTTTTTAAAATTTATAATCATATTTAACACGTCACTGTATTTAAATCATATTATTCGTAACGTTAACAAAAACAAATAATATCGTCGTGCGTACATCCAAGCCATGAAACGTTTTGTCGGTGGAGGTTTTCGCTAACGTCACAAAACCTATCTCTTTTCGTCCACGTGGCATCCTCTCATTGAACTCTTTCCAGCCTGGCCTTGTCGGGGCACGAAGCAGTGGCCCACAACTGAACTTAACTCTCTCTCTCTCTCATTTTATCAAATTGCCCTCCTATTTATCATCGAACTACGAAAATACCCCAACATAGACGGGTGAAGTCATGACCATTTTGATCCTTCGCCGACAGTGTCACATTTGGCACCTGTCATTCAATCGGACGGTGGTAGTTGATCCAATTTTTGGGATCAGCAAAATTAACCGCCAATGATTGGTAAATTACATGAAATTTGGTTTTAAAAAATCCCAAACAAATTATTCTGTTCTCTGTTTGATAAAAAAGTGAATAAATAAATAAGACTCATAATCTCTGTTTGATAAAAAAAATTGAATTAAAAAAGTCAAAAAGATGCAACGATAGAAAAGTTGGATTGGAATAATTGGTATGGCTTAGATTCCATTCTTGCAAGATGGTTTTATTCTCTACATAGTTTAATTGTAGCTTTAATAATATAATATGCCTTGATTTCTGACGAAGAGATGCTAACACACAAAAAGATTAGAAGGATAATAGTTATAATCGAATCGAATTTTATTTAATTTTTAAAAATATTTTTAGTATTTTATCTTATTATTATTATTTTTTAACTTATGTAATCAATCTTTTTTATTGTTTTAATACTCGTACTCTTGTGTTTTAGATTGATTTAGGCATAAAAGAGGAGATTCTAAGCTTAAGGTTGCACAGGTTCAGAGTCTAAGATCGGAGCCCGTTTGGAGCTTAAATTTCGACCAGTAACAAGTGGTATCAGAGTTAACTCTAAACCGTTCGATTCACGTCAAGCACATCGAGAGAGGTAGGCAAGATAATTAACCTTCGTGACGAGAGCGTCACGAGGTTGGATGAAAAAAAAGTCACGAACATAAGAAAGAGTCATGAATCTTACATCGAACATAATATGAGGGTCACAAATATCACGGATATAAAAAAGAGTCTTGAATCTCACATCGAACATAATATGAGAGTCACTAAAGTATAAAAAGGTTTATACCACCTCTACCTTGTGAGGCACCTTTTGTAGGATAAAACCATGAGACAAGAGAATCAGAACGAATAATATTTCACAAGGATGTGAACCGTAACAATTAGACTGATCTGAGACGTCAGATGAATAGATGTTCGAGTCTCAGAAACACGCGAATTCAAAACTTAAATCTCAACCCATGACACCTAATACAACATGTCTGTTTCCTTCAACTTCTTTACTTAAGATCCCAAGGTTTTTCATTCCCAAACTCTTAAACACCATCTGCATGCATACATCTATTTGAACTTTTTTTTCATTGCAGCTTGGAACGTAGCCTTATAACTTCAAATAAATAATAAAAATAATAAAAAATTTGAAAGAAATATTGAGAGAGACAAGAGTTGCTTCCGCTACTAAATTGGGTAAAAATATCACTTTGATCCTACACCTAAAAACATAGATTTATTATTATCCCTCTGTAAAATAAATTGAGTTTAAGTGTAAAACTACAGTCCCATTGGCCCCTCAATTAAATTCTCCCGACATGAACTTCCCATAGACATTGTGTCTCATCTTTCCTGTATTGTCACTCTCACTCCCCCACTACAACTCACAACTACTAAACCATATCATAGATTTGTGGCTCACCCGCTAATTTAGCCAAAATTTAAACCCCATTTCCACAAAGTACAATCCAGACTTTTTCTAGTTTCAGCTGTAGGAGACACAGCTCACAGTCACGATTAGATACAGTGATATTGTATTATATTAAATATTAAAATTTATTTTATCAAATTTGATCGATCTACGTATTGTTATCATAATACCAAATAATATTATCAAAATTTTATCATCCGAAAAATTCAAAATAATGTTAATTATCAGAGTCTTGATCATATTACTTACCGTTATATAAAAATAATTTATTATAATTTATAAAAATATAAAATATATTTTTTTATTTTTATTAAATTTATATATAATTATTATTAAAATTTTAAATTATATTATTATTTTTATATTTATATCATTATATTTTAAATTATCGTACATGCATACAACGACAAATCATCTCTCAATCGTGGCCTCCTTTGCTTCCCTTTCTCGCTCTTCCAAACCCCAAAACCACCAGCATAATGGCTCGTTTTGTAATTTAACCATATTCCAAGCCCCTTTTCCCACCTTAGAGTTCTCAACTTTCCGTCCTCTTCCTCCCCCTGTAATCTTTACACTAAAAACACTACAGCAAAACCCTCAATTTCCTTCCTTTCCTTTCCTTTCCTCCATAAAAAGAAAAAGAACCCAGAAGGGAAAAAAAATACAGGGAGAAACAACACAATGCAGCAAAGGAAGTATCTTGTTCTTCTCTTTTTCTCAGTTATTCTTCTGTTCCAAACCTCAAATGGCCATAACATAACACGTCTTCTTGCAAAGCACCCATCTTTATCAACATTCAACCATTACCTCACTCTCACACACTTAGCTCCAGAGATCAACCGCCGCACAACCATCACTGTTCTTGCCTTGGACAACTCAGCCATGTCATCTCTCTTAGCTAAAAAACCTTCCATTTACACCCTCAAAAACATCCTTTACCTTCATGTTCTTCTTGACTACTTTGGTGCCAGGAAACTTCACCAAATAACCAATGGCACTGCACTAGCTGCTACTATGTTCCAAGCTACTGGGGTGGCTCCTGGGGTTGCAGGGTTTGTTAATATAACCGATTTTAAAGGTGGCAAAGTTGGTTTTGGAGCTGAAGACAATGGTGGAAGTTTGGATTCTTTTTTTGTTAAATCTGTTGAGGAAATTCCTTACAATATATCCGTGATTCAGATCAGCAAGGCTTTACCTTCTGCTGTAGCTGAGGCTCCTACTCCAGGGCCAAGTGAGCTGAATATTACTAGAATTATGTCAGCACATGGATGTAAAGTGTTTGCTGATACTCTTTTGGCAAATCCTGAAGCCATGGGAACATATGAGGTAACCTCAAAATCTGTTGTTTTATGTAAATGTAGTAATTTGATTTAATATGTTTGTGTGAGGGATTTAATCTTTGAGGTTGATTAGTGAAAAAAGAAGGGAAAGAAAGAAAGAAGATGAAAGATATAAATAAATGCGATAGAGGAAATGGGTAGATTGAAAAGTTATGATAATGGCATAAGATACTGTTGTCTTTACTCTTTTGTTGGCTACTTTTAGTTTTCATAAGGCAAGGTATGTGAATTTCTGGACAAGGTCTTGATGAAGTAATCCAGATCTGGGTTTGTTTTCTTTTGAATTGGATACCAAATGTTTAAATGTACAGCATCAAAGTGTTACAACTCAAGCATATGGACATTTTGCTCTGGATTTAACACTAACCCATATGAGGCAATTTACATATATAATTTTAACTTGATATTACGATAAACTGCATGTTGGGAATCAGATAATGCATGATTCAGTAAATGCATTGTGCATGCGACGGTTGTTCAAGACATTAACTAAATGATAGCGGTTGTTTAGATATATAGTGAACATAGTTTAAGTGGTTGGAAGGCATAAGGCATTGTGAATTTGTGATTTGTGACAAAATCAGGTTAGATGCTTGTAGTAATAGGCTAAACTAATAGCCCAGGAAAGTTGCTCTTCTGCTTTGTTATTTCTCCATCGTTGGAACTGTTTGCCACTCTGCAGTTTGCCCATTATGTTGTGAGATCTAGTCTTTTCTCATGCATTTTTGGGAGGTTTCTTGGGGATAAACTATAGGGAAACTGATCATTTAAATGTAACATTTGCTTGTTTGTTACTTCATAATCTCTAAATTTATCTTGGATTTTTCCCCTTTGTAACTTATTATAGTAAAGCATTTTTGAATAATGAACTTGTTACCATACTTCTAGGATAATGTTAATGGAGGATTAACTGTGTTCTGCCCTCTGGATGATCCATTTAAAGCTTTTTTACCAAAGTACAAGAACTTGACAGCCGCACGGAAAGCATCTTTCCTAGAATTTTTTGGCATCCCAGTGTACCAGTCTTTGTCCATGTTGAAATCCAACAATGGAATCATGAACACATTAGCTACTGATGGAGCTAGCAAGTTTGATTTCACTGTGCAAAATGAGGGTGAAGAGGTGACACTAAAGACAAAGGTCAACACTGTCAAAATAACTGGGACTTTGATTGATGAGGAGCCTGTGGCAATTTATACGATCGATAAGGTCTTGATGCCTAAAGAATTGTTCAAGGCAGCTCCTACTCCAGCCCCAGCCCCAGCCCCAGAGGAGGCAGCAGATGCACCAAAGGGATCCAAATCAAAATCCAAGTCTAAGTCCAAGTCCAAGGCAGCACCAACACCTGAATCAGACTCACCAGCTGATTCACCTGATTCTGACCCAGCTGATCTGACAGCTGATGATAATGCTGCTGTGAGTTTCAGGGGTGGAAGGTTTGCTGCCGTTGGATTGAGCTTCTTGTTGGTGTTTTTGTTGCTGTAAGTTTTCCAGTTTAGTTTTGTCTTCCTTTTTCTTCTCACTTTTATATTTTGGAGAAATGAGAATAAGTGATGCCTGTTATCGGCTAATTTATTACTCGCCTTCAGTGTGGTTAGTTAAATTTTTTTTTTTTTTGGTTGATATTGTTTTTAGAGTGTGAGGAGTTTCCGAAGTATTATTTTTATGTTGGATAGATTAACTAAGGTGTACTGGATGTAAGTTTGATTAATGTTTATTGTCAAAAAGACATGTTGCTGGATGATGGTTTTCCCATCAGTTTTCATGTTATGTTCTTGCCTACAGTAAATTCAAACTTGTTATGTCTGCTGATATCAATTAAGTTTGGTGTATGATATTGATGATAATTTTTGTTTGAAGTAACAAAACTATAGAAAATCACCTTTTTTTTCAATGAACTCAACTGTCCCTCATCTAATCACAATCTCATTTATGAATGGTTCACATGATCATAAGAATAATACAGCAGAGCATGTAAAGGGATGAGTTGGATGGCCTACTAGAGGAAAATCACCAAGCCCTGCCATTTGAATCAAATTCAAAATTTCAATTCATTAACAAAATTACAAGCTGAAAGGTGATGAAACCAGAAGCTTAGTGATGATTAACATGACTTTATTACAAACAACTGCTAAATTTTTAGAGGTTTACGGTACTTTTTGACAACAAAACAAGAAAATTAGCTGATACAGCTAGAGTATTAAAACAGCAAATGACAATGACAGAATTACGATGGCAAAGGTGGAAAGGGGCATATAAAGGGTAGGTGAATTGTCATCAAGAGGCTCATATTCATAGGGATTTGGATGGGAGGGGTACTGGCAGCACTGTACTTGAACTGGCGGACAGTTGGCTTGAACTGGACGTGATGGTGGAGGTGAAGCTCCATGTGAAGGATAGGTAGAAAGAGATGGGGGAGTTGGTGGAGCTTCATATGGAAGATAGCCTGAAAAAGATGGGGGTGGTGGTGGGGGGGCTCCATATGAAGGATAGCCAGAGAGCTGCCAGGGTGGTGAGAGAGGATGGCATGGATGTTGACATATATATATATATATATATATATATATCTCTGAAAAACTCATGCTTTTGTGCAATATATTCTTCATTCAGCATCCACTGTATAAAAAGGCAAATATTAGGGAAGAAGAAAGATGCTTAGCAAATGCATGCATGAGAATCCTGGTTTCTTCACTCTTATTCAAGGTAATGAACATTCACCCTCAAGATAGCAACAAAGGCTAAATATATATCCAGCTCTTGCTTCTGAATGTCAAAGGATGGTACTGGAAGCAACATGCATATGAAAAATAGATATGAACTTCTCCAAGAATGTCTTATGTGATTGACTTAAGAAAAGGATCCATGTCAAAACAAAGAATTCACCAAATCCTGGATTTATTCAATAGGCTACATAAGCTGATATGCCTTAATGAAATGTTTTTTTGTTCTTGTTAGATTATAGTTGTAATCCTATATGTATACTATTCTTATATTTATTTTATATAAAATATTAATAATTTATATATTCATATCATAATTCGTATTAATATAAAAATATAAAAATATAAAATATATATTTTTTAATTTTATTGAATTTATTTATATTTTTATTAAAATTTTAAATCATATTATTTTTATATTATATTATCACATTAAATTTTAAATTATAAGGTACAACAAAAAGTGACAGCTAATGAGCAGTTATTTCTCACAACATCCCAAGTGTAGGCATTGTTGAAAAATGGAAGAACCTTCCAAAATTAATTGGAGCTAAAAGGCCCAAAAACAGCCCTAAAAGCCATAAACAACTGTGTCCCATTTACCTATATTTCCACAAAAACCATGACACATGTTCTTGACTTTGTTTTCTTTTCTTTTTTTTTTTCCTAAATAATTAAAATTTATTCTTCTGTTTTTAAATTTACAAATAATAAGATTTAAATTAAAAAATTCAATATGTAAATGCCATATTTATGCACTTATTACTTAAACAGATTTGACTTTTTTTTTTTTGAAGAAAAATCAAATAAAAAAATTTATTAGATGGTGGTTATTTCTTAAAGGTTGACATCAAAGAACCACCAGCCTTGTATTTAATAGTCTTATAGCTACTTTTAACTCTATAGGACAAAAATCTATAAATTGGAAAGGATATACTATTTGTTTCATTTTCAATGGAAAATTAAAGTTTTAACCTTGAACTTTCATCCTAATTTTCTTTTGCTCAATTCACTCAAGTAAATAAAAAAAAAAAATTATCAATGACATGTTAGTTCAATTATATTGAATTTAATTTTAAAATTAAACGTATTAATTATTGAATTTTAAATTTTAATCATAATTTAAAAGATACAAAAATTTATAATTTTATTAAAAAAATTAGAATTGCAAGATTGAATCTTTGATTTATAAGATAAGATGACCTTTAACTTTTATTGTTGACAAAAAAAATATTTAAATGATCTTATTTATACATAAAATTATTTGAGAATGATTGATATTCAAGATTTTAAAATATAAGATATACAATAAAAATTTACCTTTAAAAGTTTGATAAATCACACATCATATTACCATATTGAAATATTTTGGACATTAAAAATTCTTATTGCTTAGCATTTTCTAATTATTTTATACCAACAAATTACTTTATATTCTTTAAAAATATTTTTTTCTAAAAAAAAAAGGAAATTAAAGATTTTATAAAAACCTAACTTTAGAAGTTTGATAAAATCACACATAGTATTATCATATTGTAGCACATTTTGGACTTAAAAGATTTGTATTAATTAGCATTTTCTAGTTACATTGTATTCTTTAAAAAACTTTTTTTTCAAGAAATTTTTTTTTTTAGAAAACAAAGGAATAAAAATTCTAAAATTGAGAAAAAATTTAATGAATGAAAAAGAAGGGGCATAAATGTTATTTCAAGTGTAATGGGAAATTCTTCCCCGGTACGCAGGTGAAGCAAGTGCCATCATCTTTACTGCTCTTTTTGGTTTCCTGAGCAAATTAGAGAAGAAAGGAAACAGGAAGAGGAAAAAAAGGGAGATTTTTAGAGACCCTTCACTCTCTCTTCTCTTTGCTTTCTTTTGATCCCAAGAAACAGTTGCCATAGGCTTCAGGAAACTGCTTTTAGAGAGAGAGTTGCCATTTACCACTATGTCTCTGGGCTATGCAGAGAAGCTCTCATTCATAGAAGATGTGGGTCAAGTTGGAATGACAGAGTTCTTTGACTCAGCTCATGTTTTACAGGATAAAGTAAGGTTTTTTCTCCTTAAAGTTGATGTTTTTGTTGCTAACTATGCTGTTTATGATTGGCTTCTTTTTTTTTTTTTTAAAAAAGAAATTTATGATTATGTTCTTAATGACTACTAAGAAAGCTTTTGTACCACCCAGAAATGGTAGTTGGGCTTTTTTGGTTGAAAGTATGGCGTAATGTTGTAAAGGTGGTGCTTTTGAATGATTTTGCTATCAAAATGTTGGCATTTAGGGTAGCAAGACCGGGGCTGTATTGTGTTTGATCTGAAATTTGTTAGTTTGTAGTGCTTTGTATGATTATATTGGAATATTTAAGTGGAAATTATAGAGTATTCTTCTGATCAATTTTGATCATCATTATGTGTTCTCCTATGAGTGTGGTAGGCCTGATCTGGATTATAGGGGTGAATTATGTGTGTGAGCCAATGAAGGGCACTTAAGGGCTCAAGTATTGCATAGTTTGTTAAATGTTCTAAACATGCATGCATAGGTTTGATTGTTTTTTAGTGTAATGGCAATGTAGATTCATAATCATTCGATATCGATTGTAGAATTGGTCTGTTGCCATTATTATGTAAGATAATTGATAAGATTTCTTATATGTTTTCTGCTTTTGCTAATGAAAAACTTATGCAATGGCAGATTGAACAACTTGCAAAACTGATACAAAAGGTTTGAACCTGTGCTAACTTACTCATGTCACTGGTGCATATAATGATCTATGATTGATTTATGCCAATCTGCCTCTTTAAATTTTTTGTTTGTGCTGCTTGCAGAGTAGCCATTTAGTGGTGTTTACAGGTGCAGGAATATCAACTTCTTGTGGCATACCTGATTTTCGAGGTCCCAAAGGAATATGGACATTGCAGGTTAAAACATGACATGTCTTCTCAGTAGACAACTAGGCATTTGTTGAATTTCTTGTTCTTTTTAAGGAGCACTTTGTTTAGCACTCTCAACTCGTACATGTGGAGGTTAATTCTGGGAAGTTGAAACAGTTTCCTTAAATTATGTTGATTTTGTGAAGAAATCCCCCCTGATTTTGAAGAGAAATATTTTACATGTTGAGAAATGCCTTATCGAAACGGAGTTGATCTGTTCCTGGCCAAAAAAATGATGAAAAAACAGATTTAATGTGTAGAGAACAGTTTGATTTAGCCATTTGTTTAACCTTCCTAAATCGTTGACATGTAATTGGTGTTTGACAAGAAACAAGCATTCACTTGAAAAAAAATCAAATTTAAGTTGCAAAATAAGCTATTAATCGTGCATTCCTGATTCTACCTTCTAAATAACCTTCTTGATGGTTCCTTCAATTTTCATTTATCTAATGCAGCGTGAGGGTAAGCCCTTACCTGAAGCATCCCTACCTTTTGACCGTGCAATGCCAAGCATGACTCATATGGCTCTAGTTGAATTAGAGAAGGCTGGGATTTTGAAGTTTGTTATTAGTCAGGTAGGGCTTGGTTATGTTAGTATTTTGGTGCATTGCATATATCTTTGTTGTAGTACTTTAGTTTGAATATGGTTAAATAGGGCTATTCTAGTTTCATATTTACACTCTTAGAATCCCATTTCAAAATTTTGGGGCTAGCAAGTTTTTTGTCTCCATCTTCTCCTTGCATAAAATTTTGAGATTTTTTTTTTCTTGTTGTCAGCACAACACTGTATAATAACTCAAATCCTGATTCTTTGTCTGCTTTTTGGCTCTGACTAATAATCACAACTGCTGTTGACAATGTGCTTACTTCTGGGATTTTAGTTTTCTTTTCAGGCTGAGTGATATTAAATATTCCCTTTCAATTGTCCCATCCTCAATAATTACGGATGAAATTCAATACTTTATAAACTTTTTTTTGGTTTTCAATCCTCAAAGATGCTGTCTATTATTCTCCTAACGGTTGTGGACTTGATTTTTTACTTAGTTTTCCTCTACTTTTAACTAGAATGTTGATGGTCTCCATCTTCGATCTGGAATACCAAGGGAGAAGCTTGCTGAATTGCATGGGAACTCATTTATGGAAGCTTGTCCCACATGTGGTTCCGAGTAAGAAACATTCTTTGTCAGAAGCCAGAATGCATTCCTAAGCTTTCCTCATATAATTCTTCATTATACTTTACAGCTTTTCATACAGCCGACCCCAGAGTTATGGGATATAAGGCTTAGTTTGTTGTTGTTATTGTTGTTTATACTCTACAGCCTTTCTTTTAGCTGTGTTTTTGCTGTTTGCTTTACCTATAAAAGAAGTCCTTTGTCCCATATTAACCTTTTCTTTTATTTAAAAGCTTGTCTTCTATGATAGAATCTTTTGTTACCATAAAACCTTTGTAGGTATTTGCGAGATTTTGAGGTGGAAACTATTGGATTAAAGGAGACATCACGACGTTGTTCTGATAAGAGATGTGGAGCAAAACTTAGGGACACAGTTCTTGACTGGGAGGTAGGACCTACATTTTCCTCATTGCACTTGAATTAGGCGTGAATGATATGATATTCTAGGCATCCTAGCATTTAAGCTAGTGCACTTACTTTCATTTCTATTAGAATTGAAAGATAATAAGAAGGAAGCATAATATGTATGCAAAATTAGATTGGCATATTTCATTTATACTCTAAAGTAAGATGTATGTTTCAGCATAATGAAAAACGGAATAGATGCCAAACTTCCTGACATCTTTCGATTCTATGATTCCATCTGTGACCCATGAAGCATACAAACCAAATTTGATGTCCTGCCTTGTTCTTTACTTTCTCTCCATCAATCTGTCAAAGATGTCTTTCACGTTTGGGTACATTTTAAAGCCTACTTATTAGAAGAATTGGAGGTATGAGATTGCTTAGTACAGTCTATATACATGATAAAATAGTGTAGCAGTTGTTCCATTTGACGCCAAGGGCTGGCTTATTCTAATATACTCATCTAAAAGGGGTGGATATGAAATGTACACAAGATAACAATTGTTTAATTTGATTCGATGATATAATATGCTGGCCAAGAAGCCTTAATTGTTGGATAAGTCTGTTGTCTGGTTTCCCTTTTATTAAAGGAAAATGTCGCTAAGAACTGCTTTTTTTTTTCCTGGCACCTTCCCTCTATCTGCAGGATGCTTTGCCACCAAAGGAGATGAATCTAGCAGAGAAGCACTGTAGAATGGCTGATGTGGTGCTTTGTTTGGGGACAAGGTAATGATCTGTTTCCCTGCTTAATGCTGCCATGGTAATGTATTTGCTATGATTTTTTTTTTTTTGAATTATATATTGTTTCTATATATAGAATTATGCTATTATGCTTTAACATGGTGAATTATTCTGATTGGTAGTATTTGAGAAATTTAGGTTCTTCATAAATCATGAGCCTATACAAGATTTTGACAATAAATTTTTGAAAGCCATTGGCAGACCACCTTTTTCACTTCATAATTTGAAGAAGTTTGTTAGGATAACTCAAATTGAGCATTACATAGCTTTATCTTTGAAGGTTTTGCTATAGCTTTATCTTTGAAGGTTTTGCTACCCAAAGAGTTGCATATGCAGGAATAAACTTTATAGAAATGCTAATCTTCTAAAATTCTCACAAGGCTCCTTTCCAAACTTTGCTCCCTCATTTAATAGTCATATTTTCTGAAATCAATGTATCCATCAGAATTAATATGTTAATCTTGGATAAATCATTTCAAGTGGCTGAATTATGAAACCTACTTTTCTAGTACTTAGAAAATCATACAGAAAATTTCAATAAAGTTTGGTCTTAGTTGATGTAATTTAGTTCTTAGATGGGAAGCCTTAAACAGACATCCAGCCTTTAATGAATTTACTCCCAAGAGTTAGATAAAGGATAGAGGAGGTGGAAAATGATTAGTTCTATGTTACATTTCAAGTGTCAAGTTTTGTGGTGAATGGCCTCTATTCTCTAAGCTGTTTGTGGATCCTGACCAGGGAAGCTATTTCCACCATGCAGCATAGCTTCCTGCCAACCAGTTACTCTTTTGGTATTTATTTATAATGGACCTTATCCTTTGTTTCATTTTGGTTCTTGGTCATGGCCATAACTATTCTGTACAGTTTGCAGATCACTCCTGCATGCAATCTGCCTTTGAAATCTCTTAGTGGTGGGGGGAAGATTGTTATTGTGAATCTTCAGGTATTCTATCTTTGTTTGAGTATTTGCAGAAATCTTTTAGTAAAAATGAATTTATACCTTTTTTTTTCTTAAATCAAGGTAGAAGCTGAAAGTGTATGGGTGATGTATGATGAATATATAATTCCTAATGTTTGAAATGTGAAGTTCCCTGAAGCATAAAGATTTAGATACAAACTGTAAGGATAAAATGGGTTCCTGAAAGGGTTGCAAATTGTTCATATGGAATTCTATTTTGAATAAAGGCTTCTTAGTGAGCTCTGTGATAGAAAATCTTACTGTGGCAGAGATTTTTTTTTTTTTTATCTATTAGTACTTTCTAAGGCCTCATGCAAAAAATCCCACTGCATTTTGCAAAGGTTTAATAATTATTGGAAAGGAAAATTTAATGAGGATAAAGTAAGAAAGTAGGTGTGAGTAGTCAACTTTCTTTGCTATTCTCTTTGCTGTTGGTTGCTAGGATGGTGTCAATGTTTTAATAATGTCTTTTGCTCACCTATGCAGAAAACTCCAAAGGACAAGAAAGCAAGTTTGGTGATTCATGGCTTTGTGGATAAGGTATCATAAGAGCCTTAATGCACTGTTATTTATCTGAGAATTTATCCTGTCTCAATTTGTTGGCACAGGCTATGTACTCGTTAAGCATACAGGTTAACTATTGCTCTATGTTTAACTCGAAAAAGAACAGGTTATTGCTGGAGTCATGGAGTTACTTAATATGCAGATTCCTCCATATATAAGGATTGATCTGTTCCAGACAATTCTAACTCAGTCCTTGAGTTCTGGTAACATTCTCAATTGTGTGTACCAATTCAATTCTTTGTAGAGTATGGAATTGAATTCATTTGCATACAAGTTATACTTCTAAGATGATGCTATAATCTTTTCAATGAGAAAGGATGCATCTTTTAGGTCACTGACCTAATATGGAAGTAGATGTGGTGCAATCTTTAGATAAAGCCTAGGGTTCAGTACTTTGTCCGGCTGGAAAGCCCTTTTCTTAGAGCTGTATGGCTTTGATAAGCCTGTTTTTACATATTTCTTAAACAGTTTAGTTAAATTCTTTCTCCATAGAAGTATTTGTTTGTGTTTATTCTTTTAGGATGGAGTACACCTTATCTGCTATGTGAAAGAAAACAAAAAGAATTTTTTTCTTTTTTTAAAATTTAGAACTTATTATCCATCTTCTATAACCAAAATGAAGTAACCCAATCTATGCAGGTATCATCATGATATTATTATGACCATATATTTGTCTTGTAATTGTTTTGTTGCTTCCTGACATGGTTTGCTCATTGGCATTGCAGATAAAAAATTTGTGAACTGGACAATCCGCATGGCTAGTATACATGGACTAACAGCTCCATTGCCATTCATTAAGTCTGTTCAGGTCAAGTTAGATTTCTGCACCAGATTTTTTCTTTCCAGCAGCATATCTCTTGTCGTAGGCATTATTGAAATTTCTATCATATGCTTCAAAAGTTAGGCTACTGTAGGACACTTCATTTTGTGAAAAAAAAAAAAATATTTTAAAATTTGCTGCAGGATTAGGTCCTTTTGTTGGAAACACAAGTTTGCATTTTAGCGATCCGTTCTCTCTGTTTCTGAAGGGCTATTTTCTACTTTATAAGTTATTAAGAAATTACCCGTAATAAAAAAAAAAAACATTGCATCTTGTTTATCGTACAAATGCAATCAATATGATGAGGTGGTAAGTGGCTGGGCCAGGTCATTCTACAATAATTACAACTGTTGTTTAGATGAAACCTGATTGCCTAATTATTGTATATTTTTTCTTGACCTACTATTCTGCTTTGCCCTTGCACCAGGTTTCCTTCTCAGATAATCAAAGTTACAAAGAAGCTATTCTAAATACACAGCCGTTTCTACTAAAAAGGTAGCAGTGGGATTCTAAAACATGTAGCACATATTATGTCTACTAATGGTGTTCTATCTGAATGCAATTTTGGTTGTGCAATTTAACATATATGATTACAACCTGAGGAGTTTCAGCTAAATTTTGATGCATGAGGAGAGAGGCTTTAGTCAACCTTAAGCTTTCTATATCAGTTACATCAAAATTTTGCCGTGTAAAAACATTTTTACTCGATAAATTTCCATTCTGTTGTCGGCCAACTTGAGGGTTTTTTAAGAGTCTCTTGTACATCAAATTGGATTGTAGTCATGATCTTTTGCTGTTTATGAACAAAACATGAACAAATTGAATTAGCTCATACTTGTTTAACTCTATCTAATGTGGGATCTATAAAATGAACATCATGTATCTGACCCAGTTGTATGTTATCAGTGGAGAGGCTAGATGTGCCAAACTATGTAACATATAAAATGTCTCTATGGCTCTACCTCATGTCTTCTTTATTATGTGTATCAGGAGAACTGTAAGGACAGAAACATTTGAGATTTTCTTGAACCTCAAGTTTAGTGATGGTTGTGGTTGCCTTAGCACCCAAATCAAAATCCCTTTTAATTTTCAGGTGAGGAGATATAGAATATATTTACTTATTATTCATTCCATATTTCAGTAGTTGTTAGTTCTTGCTCATTTATGTTAATTTCAACTCTGCAACTTGTAATAAAGACTTCATTGCTCTAGTTCAACCTACTTCTCAAGGCTGAATCCTTGAGTTGAAGAGAATCTTGACTTCATTTTTCTTGTTAAAACCTGGATTGCTTGGCAAAGCAGCTGTTTGTTCTCAAACATGTCCTTCACATTTTTATTTGTGCAGGCTTCAAATGAAGGTTTTAAACTAGACAAGAATGCCACATTCGAAAAGATGAGAGACGCAGCGATTCAAGATTCTAGCTGCGGACAGAATGCAGTGGTTGAGAGACGAACCGTTTTAGTCCCAAAAAGCGAGATCACAGTTCATGCAATTATTACAAATGTCAAAGCGTTCGACTGTCATTCAAACAATGGAGATGTCAAGCCAAGAAAAGAAGGTATGAATGGTTCTGAAACAACCCGAAAGCGATCAAAGGGACGCAAACGGAAAATGAGATATAGAGAGTAAAAGGCTTGTAGTTTGGGATGTGTATATGTGTTAACATTCATCAGATTAAATGGTTAGTTATAAATACGAGACTGAGTGAATTTTGTTAGATACTAACACTCAAGAGTCTCTTAAACTATGATTAGGAAAGTGCAAACTTGTTGACATCACCCAGTTTTGTAGGAGAAGATTTTAGAATCTCTAATGTTTTTCATTATTACTTGGTTGTATGTATAATATGTTGATTCATATTGTTTTATGGCACAACATTTTCATCTGTCTTCATGCAGTGGTCTGAATATTGTTATTATATGGAGGATAGACTTTGCCTTGTTGTTGTTAAGGGTTGTATAGTTTTAATTATATCCATTAATACCTCAAGTTTTTAATTTGTATCAATTTCATCCTTGAACTTATAATTTGCATCAATTTAGACCTCAAATTTTCAATTTGAATGAATTTCCTTCTTGAACTTCCTACTCTTTATGGTTGTTGACAGGTATTGATATTGAAAATATAATGATTAATAGAAAGATATATTTACATTGAATAAATAAAAATTTGCAATTTCCTAGGTTAGAGTCATTAAACAAGGGCAATTAATGGTATTTGAAAGAAAAAAAAAAGTGGTGCTAAATGCACTTCATTTTTTCCCTTCACGTCTTAATTATTATTATTTTTAAAATTTTTGTAAGTAAAATTACTTAATTATTTTTTTCACAATAAATTTTTAAAAAGTCATAAATCTTTTCAAAAATGAAATTTTGAAAAATTATAAAATTTTTTTTAAATTTTAAATTTTGAAAATTTATTTTCTAAAAGTTTATAATCTTTCGAAAATCTCGTAAAATTATATAAGTTTTTGAAAATTTATTTTTAAAATTTATGTGAAAGAAAAAAAATAATTAAATAATTTTACTTATAAAAATTTAAAAATAAATAAAAGTTAAGGTGCGAAAAGAAAAGGCGATCCATTTACCAGCATTAAACAAAAAAAAATGGAGAGGTTTATGACTGTCCACCTGTTAATCCCGGTTAGGGGAATGGCATTGTCCAATCAGAGAGGTTGGTGTGACCGGCTATACAGAGTTCCTCGATAGAAACGCCGGTTCGCCATGCGGAGTGTGTTCAGCACTATAAATCCCCACTTGAATGCTGAATTGCCCATTCAAAGGACACAGGTCCTTCAACAGTCCTTAAAACACAAATTCTTACATTTCTTTAGATTTGTTTTTTGAGAGACAAGGCATGGAACGTGGTGATGGGTTCAATCGTTTCCACCAGCATGCAAAATCAAGCTCTGGTAAAGTATTCAAACACTCTGCCCCCAACCAAAAGAAGATAAATCTTGTATACTTGATCTATTTTCATCAAAAACATTATCTGATTAGATGTTTTTGATGAAAATAGATCAAGTATACAAGATTTATCTTCTTTATAAGATTTACTCTTGAGCGATGATCTGTTGCATGCATGAAGATTTTTTTTTTTTTACTTGGGTGGGATTTTGATCTTGCAATCTTGGTTGGATTTAGCGTTGTCTTGTTTGTTCCTTTGCATGCAACATTGCAAACTTGTTTTGTTGTTCACCATTGTTTCTCAGCGGAGTTTAAGCTTGAAAGTAATATATTCAAACCACCTTTTTTACTTCATCTAGTTTCCCTGTGTTCCTACAGTAACGGTTGGCTCATTCTCGTTTGTCTTTTCTCTTGCTATAATTTTTTTTTGTTATATATAAAATACAAGATGTGGGATGTAAAACATTTTTACTTTTCAATTTCGATGTTATTATATTTCTGTCGACATGTCTTGCATGCAAGGCTTGAAGGGATCGATCCTATCTTTTGAAAGCGTCCAAAAGTCCAATTTCTGAACAAATATTTAATAAAAACGAAATAAAAAAAAAATACTGATATAAGTTTTTCTTGCTATGATTATTATTGAAAGTAAAAACCAGTTGAAAAAAGAGAAAGGTCAAAGCTTGGATATGGTGAAAAGGCTTTGACTTTGGACTGAGACTCTCAACAAAGAATCTAAACAGTGATAGGTGGGGCCCGTATTTTCAGGAGATAATTGGGTCCCTTGTTAAAAGTGGGGCCAAATTATCTCACTTTGGATTGGCACGTGTGACATGAAAACAGCTCTTTTTCTTTGAAATTCTTGTCTTCATTTTAGCTCTTTGGTTGGTTTAAGACAGAAACATGGCTTCTGATTTCAGGTTTGAGCATCATTCAACTTGGTGACACCTCAAACTCCAAGAAAAAGGATACTAACATCATCAATAACACCAACGATGGCAACGACACCATGCCTCCGCCTTGTATGGTGCATGAACAGGATCAATACATGCCTATAGCCAACGTGATCCGCATCATGCGCCGCATCCTTCCGGCTCATGCCAAAATCTCCGATGATGCTAAGGAAACCATCCAGGAATGTGTCTCAGAGTACATCAGTTTCATCACTGGGGAAGCAAATGAGCGTTGCCAACGTGAGCAACGCAAGACCATCACTGCTGAGGATGTGGTTTGGGCAATGGGAAAATTGGGCTTCGACGAGTACGTTGAGCCCCTCACTGTTTTCTTGACCCGGTACCGGGAGACTGAGAATGAGAAGACTTCACTGCGTGGGGAGCCCATTTTTAAGCGTGGCATAGACTATGGGCAAATGATGATGGCGCCTTATGGACCTGCTTTCCATATGGAAAACCATCAGGGGATTTTCGATGCTGCTCGTGCCGTGGGTGGATACTACTATAGAGATGCTTCAGGTGCTGGTGCTGGATCATCTTCACAGGCTTCTCTGACTAACAACTTTGATCCATTTGGTCAATTCAAATGACAAGATGAACAACAGGCAAGCACAGTGAAATATAATTAATCAGATAACCATGACAAACTACCCATTGTTTAGAAATATAGGGAGAATTAGGTAAGCATTGGTGTGGCCATCAGGGTGATATTTTCTTCTTGCTGTATGTACTTGAACATGTGTGTTCATTGGTATTGTTAAACAGAAACAGTAGTTGAGCTGGTGGTGCTTTTCCTTTAACTGCCCTTTTACTTCCATTAGTTTTTATTTGTTTTTTTTGTTTTCCCACCCCCTTTGTTGGTAATGGTGGTGGTCAGATGGCGCTAAGAATTATACCTCAGGTGTGGAAGATGCCTGTTAACTTGTCAATATATAGTCTTCACCTTTATGTGGTCTAGCAGTAATGGCATTTCAAGTTATCTTGGCTAAAGTTAACAGGAATGGTGATAGAGTAAGTTCAATCCATAGCTCATATATTGGACTAAAATCCAAATATCATCACAAGTAAAGACCATGAATTAAGACCTTGATTTGCTTCTTGTGAAAAAGTGGAAAGAATAAAGAAATTCCATGAACCCTGTTTTCTTTCAAAATTTCATCATCGCTGATGATTTTTTTTCCTAATCTTGTCCTTCTCACAGAGACATAAAGACTAGTAATATACTGCTAGATGGGAACTTTAATCCAAGACTTGGTGATTTTGGATTGGCGAGGCTCATGGATCATGACAAAAATCCGGTTTCAACACTTAGTGCAGGAACTGTGGGCTACCTCGCTCCTGAGTATCTTCAGCAGGGGAATGCAACTAAGAAAACGATGTTTTCAGCTATGGTGTCATTATTCTTGAAGTGTCTTGTAGTCGGAGGCCAACTGAGAGGGAACTAAACATACAGAAAATGGTGAATTTGGTTGACTGGTTATGGGGATTTTATCGTGAGGGAAGGAACCTTGAAGCTGCTGACAAAAGGTTGAATTAATGGGGATTTCAAGGAAAGGAAGAAATGAGGAAGCTGCTGCTTGTAGATTTTAGTTGTGCACACCCCGAGAGTGTTGAGAGGCCTTCAATCAGTGGAGTCCTTCAGATCCTTAACAAGGAGGCGGATCCAATCACTGTGCCAAAGATGAAACCAAGTCTCACTCTCTCTTGTAGCTTAACTGTTGATGACATTGTTTCATATGATGAAGAACGCAAAAAAACTGCTTGAGGGTGGCATTCAAAACTTCCTAGGGTTAGATTTCACACTCTCAGATGCAAAATTCATTGATTGTTTGATTCTTTCATTGTTTTTTAGACTATCATTATAGTGTTACTTCGTTTTAGTTTGCTAATTTAGAGACTAGAAGTTCCATTAGTCTAACTTCAAAAGTACTGCATTGAACTATGTGGTCTCTGCTGTAATCTGAAGATATATTCCTTCCAAAGTTTTAAGATGCCATAGTTTTGATCTGCTATTTCTCGTTCATCCAAGCTTTCTCTTTATAATGGCAATGCGACATTTTCGGTTGAGTTAGATTTAGATTCTTGCTCCTCATTCACACAAAACCAACAAAGAAATGAAGTGTTTCCTGTAGTTTTTAATCATATAAAACTTGAACTCCATTCACATCTCACACTGCAAAAAAACCCTAATCTTTCTTTGTGCTTAAGTAGTTCATATGAGGTTTCCTTGGGCATTTTTACTTTATTAAAGTTTTGCAACCAAACCTTCTTCTCTTCTGCTCCAAACCAAGAGTGTAAAAAGGGAGCAAATGAGTAAAAGCCTGAAATCCACAAACTGGCTGTAGAAATATTCACATGAGAAGGTTTATGTCACAAAAAAAAAAAAAAGATATAGACTAATATAGCCTGCAACAAGCAGATGTAGCACATTATGTCATCAAATAGCAAGCCAAGAGCATGCCACCCCATACAGCAGTTTCCTTAAACTTCTATTGTTAGATTGCTTGCCAGTGGCAGTGCTTCTCTTCATTTATCATATGTAGGCACACACCAATGAAAGCAAACTAATAGCATTAGGTAAAAGAGAACAAAAATGGAACGATTAGAAGAAAGCGCATTCAAATTAAGCAAAGGTCTGCAGAAGCAGTAACCAATTTGCAAATTACAAAGAATTATAACTTAATAACCCAATTCGCTCTAGTTAATCCATTGCATTCAGTATATAAAAACTCTGCTAAAGAGTTGGAAAGATAAAACCATGTCAAAAAGGGATCAACAAACAGGGCATCAGGGGACCACTTTTGAGTCAAATTGATATCACATTCAACTTTCATAGTTGCTTCCTGAGTACTTCTTTCCCTTGCAGGGGTGTATTAACTCTCAGCTGCTGAATTTAAGGCACTTCCAGCTTCCCATGTGACAAGTGAACTGGCAACCCTTGGATCCATGCTATTGTTGTTTCCTCTACTTTAAACCTCTGGCATTGATCTTCCATAACTGGTTTTAATGCTTTTGAATTATCCTTCTTTGCTCACAGCTAGTTAGGAACAACTTTCATGAAAGTATTGCATTTGTTCTGAAGTGATCTGTGTAGCTGAGGACTTCCATCCCATCCCTCATCACTTGCAACCATCAGCAGACACAAAGAAAGAAAAGGTGTTTGGAATATCTTTCAATTTCATATACTTAAACAAATGATAGGGTAGCCATGATCTATCATCATTTTCTTCCATAAATCTAACAAGTGCAAGTAGTATAGGACTTGAAGTCTAAAAGACGACTGCATTCATTGTCGATTGTTTCATATATGAGTAATAAAGTTCTACTATGCTTCTGGGGCTGAATGAAGCCTATATAAATAGCCAAATAGCTAGGCTTCTTAGTTGAAAGACAAATCTATCTGAGATTCTTCACCAGATGGATAAACCATCACCCATTCAATCAACCTTCCTTTTTGCATGTATGATAATCTGTCAGTAAAATTTAGATTGTACTCAATAGATATTACCTTCCCTTAATTTCTGCATTATTAGACATATATCAGAAGATTATTACCAATCTGTGTGAAGTCTGATTAGATAAGGTAAAGTTTAATTCTGAAATACTTGTAAAACAATGAAGATATTTAGTTTTCAAACGCATCAGCATACACAATTGCAGTCCTTCCAAGGTAGAACATACTAATTATATATATATCACGAAAGCATCTCAAAAAGCTATGTTCCATTCCCATATCTTTCTATGCATGGTCCAACAAGACAAGGATGAAGATTATATTGAAGTATTTAAGATCCTTAATCTTTTGATTCTTCATTTTGTGATCAGTTGAAGTGTCAAATATGTTCTTAATTATAAAGAGAGATTGAACAGGAAAGATCTTTTTGAGCAAATAAAACTATACTTAACAGAATAGTAGGAGAGGAGGATCAGCAGTTCATGATTTGATGCGTAAGAGATGATACTGGAACGACAGGAGAGTAAAAATGATGGTGACAGAAGAAGAGAAAGCACACTCCCAACAAAAGCAAAGACTCTCTTTAGCTGATCCCAGGTTGTGCTCTCTCTCTTCTGTCAACATGGCCAATATCTATTCTTCCCATCTCTTCTTCCACCATGCATGCATTCATGACCTCTTCTGCTGCACTGTCACAATATATATACAGCATCAGAATCTAAATAAAAATAAGATAAAAGTTACTACTAGCATTAGCTATTATGGGAAGTGATCTTCAATATATATACATAACACATTCATGTATGCATGCAAATCCATTTATTATGAACACATTGACATCTTCTTGAGAAATATAAACATATCAAAATAGAATTAGCATACTCATGATCATGATGATGAACCAAGACATAATTAGTGAACTTCATGGAAACCAAAATTTCTAAACCCTTTTTCTGATAAATTGCTTGCAACATATAGAAAGAAATAATTAAGTACCACAAACTCATGACTCACCTAGAAAATTTGGCTGCCAAGGCTTTTACTCAAAATAATACTTCTTTGATTTGAAACTAAATATAGATTATGATTTATGACAGATGAATTTTTTTTTTCAAAAAAGAAAAAGAAAGGATTTATGGGGTTTCTTAGGTTAAATAATTAAGCAAAAAAAACGTTGAAACCCTTATGATCATCCTCTCTTTTGAAAGCAGTAAACATAAATTGATTGATCAAAATCAACTAACTATAAAGAAAAGAAAATTTTAGGAAAAAAGGAAAATATTGGAAAAAAAAAAAAAAACAAAGAGAAGAGTAACGTATAAGCCAGTAACTCTGAACTACAGTGCCATGAACAACTAGGGAAGCAAGCACCCTTCTTATACTAATAACTTGGTCACCGGCTAAAACCAGTAATTCATGGCTAGGACCGGCTACTGACGGTTAAGTGGTCCCTAAACAAAACCCTAACGCTTACTTTTATTTATTTATATTTGGCAGTTTCTGCAGAGATTCACGGTCACATTTATTATGGGTTTTACCGACAATTTTTGAATTTGCCTTGTTTGGAAACAGGAAAAGGATGCCTTTGCATCAGAGAATTTCCTCGAAAATTCTGACAATACTATTAACTTCGAGCAGTGGAGAATTACTGAATTTACTGTCATATCTTACATTCGCACATGGGAAGTCTTAGATTTCCCATCTTCATTAACATTTATCAAGTGAAAGAAGAACTGATGATCTTTTCATTGCCATCTAGTTGCATCTATATTCAATTTTTGTGCATGCCTCTGTGATTTTCATACCTGAAAGTAATACTTAAATTAAGCCATGATTCTCATATATGAAAACAACCCTTTGATTAAAAGGTGAAAAAATAGTATATCTATCAGTTGTTATTGACTGTAATTAAGTTCTTGGGTAAGGGAAAAGAAAAGAAAGGAGAGGGTTGATATAGATCAACTGATCACGAATTGCTATCGCATGCATGTCTACTTCTCTAATCAGAATGATCTACATGAGTTCTAAGATGACAGATCGTTGCATCAACTGATTATTCACTGAAGTGCGATCCAGTTAGGACCCCAGCGCATAATACGTGTGAAAGACGAGGTCAAAGTTCAAAGAACGTGGGACTATCAGGTCTTTAACTGTCCAACCCCACTAATCAACCCCACGCGAGAAAGGTAACAAACTTAACTGCAATGCCACTTTGCTTCCCTTATAACTTGAAAGTAAAAGAGTTTTTGCTCGCAGCCTTTTTCTTTATATTAGTAGCTGAAATTCTACACATTTTAAGCATTCAGGAAGAAAAAATGGCTTCTTTTTCTCTTCCAAAACTCTGCAAAATTGCTTTGTTTTCTCTGGTTTTGATCTCTATGATCGCGCTCGCTGCTGCTTCTTTTCAGTTCAAGGTTGGTGGGGAGAGAGGATGGACCAAACCAACTGGGAATGAGTCTGAAACATACAACGAATGGGCTACCAGGAACAGGTTTCATGTTGGGGATTCTCTTTGTAAGTTTATATTATATACTTTTGTTTACAAAAACGATAGTTTGATAGCATGAAAAAGGCGTTTGCAACATTTTTTTGATAGCTTTCTGGAAGGAAATTGATGGATTCAACTAAGTTACTAATTTGTAACAGAAATAGTGGCGGTTTGCTTTAGCTTACTGGTTTGTTACTTATGTTTGCTTGTCTTTCATTAGATTTCAAGTACAACAATGACTCAGTACTGGTGGTGAACCATATAAGCTACACTAATTGCAGTGTGTCAAATCCAATCTTTAAGTTCAAAGATGGAGACACAGTTTTCCAATTTGATCGATACGGGTTCTTCTACTTCATCAGTGGGGAGCGTGGTCACTGCAAAGCTGGTCAGAAATTGATCGTTCGCGTAATGGTGCACCCTGCAGCAATCATCTCTCCTCAGCCTGCACCTGCACCTGCACCTGCACCTTCACCTTCACCTAAGGACGATGGAACTGATGATGGGGATGGTTGGGACTCATTTTGGGGGCCACCGCCACAAAATTCTACCATCAGACTGACAGTTGCATCTTATTTCATGACTGCTCTTGGAGGAATGTTAGTTATTATGTATTTGCTGATGTAGTATCTTATAGTATAGGAGCTGTTCATTTAATTAGTTTTATTTTTAGGTGATTGTTGGTTTCATTCCTTACCTCCATGGTTTGTTTTATTTGATATTCTTAACTATTCGTGGTTTCTGTTGTTTGATTGATGTTTCTGTCATGGTTAGCTTACAATGTGCTTTTTAATTTGTCGCCATTCTTTTGCTTTCTTCAGCCTTTCTGGGAAGTTTATTCGCTCAGGTTTCATTTGTATAGGTTAACCAAGCTTGAAAACAATGAAAAGATCAGTGATTGAGACTAAATGACAAACAATTGAGACAGTTCATGTTAATTTATATTCTCAAGAAATAAATCTTACTTCAAAGACAAAATGTTCATGAACAGAATATGGATTAAAAATTGTCTCAAAATGTGATCTTCAGTTCGTACTTTTAAGACAGGTTATGAACACTGATCTGTTTAAAAGTTTCATAACTAGCAGCCACCTTCTAAAAGTTGTGAAAGAGGATGCACTAGCTGTCAGAAAGTGAACTTAATCCTGACAGTTGGATTCAGGAACCTTCCTAATCCTATTATTAGTAGGATTAACACTACTCTGATTCCTATAAGGATTAGGATTTTCAGACACCTATAAATACACTTTTTCATGGCCTGAAACTAAAGTAATCTTAAAAAAATACAGAGTTGAGATATAGTCTTTGATTACAGTATTATCATCAGAATAATGGTCTACCATCTTTTTTCTTGTAAGGATAGCTTGATGAAGAACCAAAGCATTGTGGAAAAAAGGAAGAGAAAGGGAGGGAAGGATTTTCATGGAGATGATCCAGAAATCAATGCCATGTTTGATGCTGTTAAAAGGAGGAGAAAGATTGAGAAAAGTTCTCAAGAAATCATCCAGCTTGTTGAGAAAGTAATGGCTGAACTTGAAATCGTAGCTGAAGACTATGCACAACTCAGTAGAATAGGCCAACCAGCCATCATCAAATTCCAGAAACTGCCTTTCCTTACCCAAATTTTGTCCAAGAAAAGTTTTCAACAAGAGTTTTTGGATCGTGGAGTTCTGACACTTTTGAAGAATTGGCTAGAGCCCCTTCCTGACGGCAGCTTACCAAACGCAAATGTCCGCAGCACAATTTTGAATATCTTGACAGATTTCCTACTCGATTTAGAGCAACAAGGACGACAAGTACAGCTCATGAAAAGCGGTATTGGGAGGAGCAGAAGCTAATCATGGAATATATAGAGCCTGATTTGGACTTCAATGTTTCCAAGGAGCAGAAGCTAAGTTCCCGACCATCTTCTTCGAGCCAAGCTGTTACAATGCCTGAACCAACCCACTGGTTTATGTGGTGAATCCTCAATCCAAGTGCAATCCGGAGGTATTCAAAGCTTATGCTAGAAAGCAAGTACAAGGAGACTCCCGCCAAACAATAGCTAAGAGGTTGAAGCAGTTAAAAGCATCAAAGAAGAAGCCGCTGCAAGCAGAAAAACCTAGTGCACAGGGTCGTCGCATGCTACTAAGCTTTTGATATTAAACAAGTTAATATAAGTATTAATTGAAAATTTTGACAGTTGCTGTAAATTTTTGAGTTGTTATTAATGAAGTGAAATTTTTGCATCATAATTATTCAAAAATGTTGTTCTCCGATTTCTTTGTCATGAAAAATCGTGCTTTTATCATCTGCTTTCATCTATGCCTATAAGTATGCTTTCTAGCATAAAGAGGGAGCATGGTTCTTCCATATGGAAGCAACGAGTTTAAAAGGTTCATCTGGGCTATGCTTATCAAACCTTGGTGCTATGAAGTTGGAGAGCATAAATGTGATGGCAACGACCTAACCAATTCTCTGGTTCAAAGTATTGGACAAGAGGCCATGATCAGTAAGCTGAGGTAGCCAAAAGCTGTACCTCAAGAGCTTCTGAAAACTTTCCTGATTCAAGGAAGAAAAAGAGTAACAGCTTAAAATATCAGGATCATGAAATTGAGAAGGACTGCCAGAGTAAATATAATGGAATTCCAAGTTTTAGTCCCTTCTAAATATGAGGTTGAATATGCAGATGATGCAGGCAGGTGAGTTCATATATGGGTGAAATAAACATACGACAACTCAATTCGTATGCATGCATGCATGCATGTCTTCATATTAATCAAGTTTCATGCATGAATTGTACCTGAAGAAATGAATAATCTTTGCTTTAATGGCTGCCCCTTTTTTCTTTTACCTTTTTCAGTGGGGAGGGGAAAGATTTATTAATTAATTTTTAAGCACTGCTTCCCCAAAGTAACAAGAAGCTGGTAAATTTGAAAACATGAAAAAAAAAAAATGAAAATGAAAGAAATAATATTGTGATGTTAACTTGACTTACATAGTTTGTTTTAAAAAAAAAAAGATTGAAAGTGTATTTTTTTTTTTATCAATGCTTTAATCAATCATGAATGAGTGGTTATAGAATCATATAAATTTAATTAAAATAGAAAATTTTCGTAAATGATGAAGAGATAACAAAACAATTTATTTATTTTAATATTAAATGTTTATGTGGTAAGAATAAGAGAATATTAACAGAATATTTCACTTTTTTCTAGTCTTGCTTGGGAAATAAATTAGTGATTGATAAGAAAAAAAAGAAGAAAATGATAAAAGATTGTAAAATTAAAATTAAAATTAAAAATAATTTGGTTTTTCATTTTTTCACAAAAGGCTGAAAACACCCATTAATGTTTTTTTTTTTTTTAAAATTTTTTTTTCTCATGAATAGTTACTGACATGAACCAAAAGAGAAAGAGCAAAAACTGTGAGAAATAATATCGAAGCTTTGAATGTGTCGTCATTTTAGGTATCGAGGACAAAAATAATAGTATGTTAAATATATTTATTGGTCAAAATGCCTATAGGTCCTTATATATTTTTTATTTTTAAACTTTAGATCTATAGCATTATTTAAAGAAATTTAATCCTTATAATATTAATTTTTAAGGATTTCAATTCAATCATTAACAATACATATAGAATAAATTTCTTAAAATATAATACTATAAGGACTGGATTTCTTAAAAATAATATTACAAGAATTAAATTTCTTTAAATAATATTATACGGACTAAATTTTAAAAATAAAAAAAAAACGTGGATCCATGACATATTTTAACCATATTTATTCAAGATTATTGGTATAACAATAAAAAATTATATGATTTAATCTGTATCATATGGTAAGATATTATTATAATGTAATGCGTAAATTATTGTGATAAAATACACATATCAATTTTCATAAAATATTAAATGATTTTTTAATATCAATGATTTATTTTATGAACTTTATTTTAAAGCATATGCAAGATATTAACCAAGAGGTTGTATATTTAATTTTATATCTCATGGTAAGGATTATTATAAAGTAACAATATGTAAATTGAGTGATAGAAATATATTTTATAAATAAATAAATATATAAAGGCAATAACTTAGTTCATATTAATTGAATAATATTTTTTATTCATTTAATAATTAAAATTAAGTACTCCATAATTTTTTGTATGCATTAATATATATAATTTTTTGTTATTTTTTGTATGCATTAATAAATATTCTTTTTGTTATTGAGAAAAATAGAGATTATAATTTTTTATTTTTACATTTTTGATAGAAAGCATATTAAATCATAACTTTTTAAAATACATATTTAAGAAATAATAGGTAAATAAATAAATAAAATATATAATTAACATTTGAAATATGTAATTTGCAAAACTCACCGTTTTGATGAGGAAATAGAGAAAAATCAAAGAAAAATATCCTCAAAATGTGATCTTTAGTTCGTACTTTTAAGACAGGTTATGAACACAGATCTGTTTAAAAGTTTCATAACTAGCAGCCACCTTCTAAAAGTCGTGAAAGAGGATGCACGACTGAAGTACTTCTAAACACAGGAGACAAATTAATTCTTCAGCAGTCAAAGGAAGAGGACCGAGGAATTTGCTGTGTATGTGAACCATATCTGTATCACAAAAATAAAAGCACTTCAGTAATCTGTTTGACTAATATGAGATCATCTCATTTGAGACTGGTATGCGTACCCAGAAGGAGATCAATCACCTGGTGAAACCCCACCACAGCGTTGATCTCATTTCTGCCCTCTATGATGTTCATTCTTCACCTCAAAAAGCGGGCACGAGTCGTCACAATATGCAAAGGATGAGACACCAAATGCAGCTGTCAGAAAGTGAACTTAATCCTGACAGTTGGATCAAGGAACCTGCCTAATCCTATTATTAGTAGGATTAACCCTACTCTGATTCCTACTAGGACTAGGATTCTCAGACACCTATAAATACACCTTTCCATGGCCTGAAACCAAAGTAATCTTAAAAAATACAGAGTTGAGATATAGTCTTTGATTACAGTATTATCATCAGAATAATGGTCTACCATCCCTTTTCCCGTAAGGATAGCTTGATGAAGAACCAAGGTACTGTGGAAGAAAAGAAAAGAAAGGGAGGGAAGGATTTTTATGGAGATGATCCAGAAATCATTGCCATGTTTGATGCTGTTAAAAGGAAGAGAACGACTGAGCAAAGTCCCAAAGAAATCATCCTGTTTGTTGAGAAAGTAATAGCTGAGCTTGAGATCGTGGCTGAAGACGATGCTCGACTCAATAGAATAGGTCAACCAGCCATCAACAAACCCCGAAATTGTCTTTCCTTACCGAGGTTTTGTCCAAGAAAAGTTTTCAACAAGAATTTTTGGATCGTGGAGTTCTGACACTCTTGAAGAATTGGCTAGATCCCCTTCCTGATGGCAGCTTACCAAACGCAACTATCCGTGGCACAATTTTGAACATCTTGACTGATTTTCCACTTGATTTAGAGCAACAAGAACGACGACAGCAGCTCAAGAAAAGCGGTCTTGGGAGGGTGATTATGTTTCTATCTAGATCTGAAGAGGAAACAAGTTCCAACAAGAAACTTGCCAAGGATTTGATTGATAAATGGAGCCGAATCATATTTAACAAGAGTACAAGTTTCGTTGACTTGAGAAACAAAGACCATGTTAACGTTCCTGTGATGAAAAAGTCTGTGAGCAAACCAGCAATCATGGAATATATAGAGGCTGATTTGGACTTCGAAGTTTCCAAGGAGCAGAAGCTAAGTTCCCGACCAACTTCTTCAAGCCAAGCTGTTACAAGGCCAGAACCAATCCCATTGGTTTATGTGGTGAATCCTCAATCCAAGTGCAATCCGGAGGTATTCAAAGCTTCTGCTAGACAACAAGAACAAGGAGACTCCCGCCAAAGGATAGCTAAGAGGTTGAAGCAGTTAAAAGCATCACAGAAGAAGCCGCTGCAAGCTGAAAAACCTAGTGCTCAGGGTCGTCGGATGCGACTAAGCTTTTGATATTAAACATGTTAATATAAGTATTATTTGAAATTTCTGACATTTGCTGTAAATTTTTAAGTAGTTGTTAATGAAGTGAAATTTTTTGCATCATAATAATTCAAAAATGTTGCTCTCCGTTGTCTTTGTCATGAAAAATCGTGTTTTTATCATCTGCTTTCATCTATGCCTATATGTATGCTTTCCAGCGTCAAGAGGGAGCATGGTTCCTCCATATGGAAGCAACGACTTTAAAAGGTTTATATGGTATCTCATCGAAAGCCATATCCACTGCTGGTATCATCAATGGATACCTTCTGAACTATATATAGTGGAGTGAGCAAAAATGCCAATGCTCCGAGCACTGGTAGAGCCATTCAGGATCTGCCAGAAGAACAGCTGAGCATCAAAGAAGACAATTACTGCTCAAGGCCCGAAGCATACAAAATGGTGCCTCACCACCATTTATGGCCAGAAATTAAGCTCTCAAAGCAATTCATTGTTTCTGTCACCAGCGGACCGAACTGCTGGAATTCCAAGGGATAAGTTCATAAGTAGTGAAGTTGGGAAGCGAATTATCATAGCCTCAAATGACATTAACAAACAAAGTCCTTCAACTCGTCTTACCAAATTCAGAGATGGGGAACTGTTACGCTACAAGAATTTATCTATGGCTAAATTCTTAGTGTATGAGATCAGTGAGATGATGACTGAGGAAACCAATTAATGATGCCTCCTGATCAATAGTGGACGCCAATTCATTGTAATCGCTTGCTTTTATGAAGTAAAATTTTCACCAATTGACTCATCATGCTCTAAAATTTTCTGCATACTTTTTTGTTCTTAATTGC